GGAATCGAGCAGCGGGGAACAGCACGTTGCCTGCCTGCACCTGTTTCTGCCAGCGTTGCTTTTGCTACAAATCGAGCAGGGGGGGGGACAGCGTCGCTTCTGCTAGGCACCGAGCAGCGGAGGACAAGCCTGCACGTTCGCGACTCACCCCACCCTTCCGAACTGCACCCTCCACTTGCACCCTCCACAAGCGCACGCACCAGCACGTTGCACCTCGGCAGCACCATCACCAGCCCCACCTACCCACGATACTGTAACCGCTTCTGCACTGCATCTCTCATTGCGTCCATGCTACTGCGCGCGAATTAGCCACAGGTGTTACACATATAGCTGCACGCATCTGACACTTTCTCTCCCTCACTAAAAAAAAAAAAAAAAAAAAAAAAAAGACAGCGGATGGCGAAGCGGGACAGGACGCCTGAAGACTCAGAACCCCACCCCTCTCGTCCTCCTAATCGTTCGCGTTCAACTCCGGCTTTCGCAACCCTTCCGATTCAACAGCCACGCTCACACCTACGTCCGTCATCTGTCCCTACTGAGCCGGCCGCCACACACATTTCTTCATCATCGCCAGAATCAGCTGCTCCACAACCCCCAGCCTCTTCTTCTCAACACCCCAAGTCCTCAGACACGCCGCGCTTCATTTCAAAAGAGCAGAAGAACGTACTTCATAAAGTCCTTGCTGATACCTTAGCCCCCTCCTCCCAACAACACTCTTCACGCCAACCTGAACCTGCAGTTGTGCCTACTTCACAACCTTCTCCTTCTTCTCCTCCTCCTGGTGCACCTCCTACTACGGCAACTGACTCGTCTCCTCTACCTACGTCGGTCCCGACCCCAAGATACCACTGCACTACCTGTAACCGCAACTTTGGCAGCTCGGGTGGTCTTACTCGCCACCTCTCTGCTTGTTCCCGCAACAACACAACGCGTCAGCAATCAGCCCGCCCTCCTCCCCCTCGTGCCACCGCTACCCCCTCCCCCTCGTGCCATCTTCAGCACCACCACCGTTATCTCAACAGACTTGGGACTCTGTCGCAACATGGGACTGGGGGACGTTCTTCAGCCCCACTGTCACTCCAGGCCCACTGTTGCGTCGGATTCCACCGCGTGTTCGCCTGCTAGTCCTGGATGCTGTACTCATACCACTTCGCCGCCTTGTCATCTTCCCGCAAGATCCTGCTGCTCATTTCCTCCTCCTTGCTTTCCCCCGTCTGGTGCTTCGCTCTTCCATTTCTCCTGCCTCACAATCAGCCACAGCAGCATGTGCAGCCTTTGCACGTCGTTTCATTCAAGGCGACTGGCTTTCTCTCTTCAACGAAGCTGTCGCTGCTGCCGTTCCAGCGTCTCGACCGCACAGTGTCTCATCCGCCCGGTCCACAGCCACGTTCGCCCGACTGAACCGAGCCAAACGATTCGCGCATTGCGGGGACTGGTCGCGTTCCCTTGCCGCTTTAGAAGCTGGCGAGCTTGCCCCACAGACCCCTGAAACTGTTACTGCGCTTAAGGCCAAGCACCCTCCTGCTACCGAAGAACTTCCAGACTGGCTGCCCGACTTCTCGCCTTCGGAAGTGCCTCAGCTCACCATTCCACTTCTTCATCAGGCCTTGCGTTCAGCCCCACGAGGCACAGCTGCTGGCCCTTCGGGGTGGCTTATCGAGCATCTTCGCGACACCTTCCTCTCGTACCAGACTCATCTGCCGCATCTTCTCCGCCTGTTCCAGAATTGGCTGCAAGGCGACCTCCCGCAAACAGTTCGACCTTACTTCACCGCATCCAATCTTGTTGCCCTCCAGAAGCCGCATGGAGGGGTCCGCCCCATCGCCATCGGCGAGATACTGCCGCGCCTGCTGTCCCGTTGCGTTACTCTTCACTTCAAGCAGCAGATCCGGGACTTCTTCCTTCCCTCCCTACAATTTGGGGTCGCCGTCTCCGCAGGGATCGAGGTTATGGCCCATGCAGTCCAGTCGGCCCTCTCCCTCCACCCAGAGTGGGTTGTGCTGGAACTGGATGTTGCCAACGCCTTCAACTCCTTCAGCCGTTCTGCTATGTTCAACGCCCTGCGAGACTCCCCGTTCTCCAGCCTCATCCCTTTCTTCCGCCTCTTCTATGCCTCCCCCTCCTCTCTCCATTACCGCAGCGGCCCATTAATCGAGACACTGCAGTCATCATCGGGTGTTCGACAGGGTGACCCATGTGGGCCATTCTTGTTCGCCCTCACCCAGCACCTAGCCATTCGCTCCATCCAGCGTCAATCTCCAGCCCTTTTCATCACCTCCTACGCGGACGTGTTTCCTGCCTACACAGCGCTTACAGCTCTTCTCAATAACCTGGGCCTGAGGGTGCAACCATCAAAATGCTCCCTCTGGGCCCCTTTGGACCTCCCTTCGGACCTCACACCTCCATCAGACATCGTCATTGCCCCTAACGGACTCACGGTTGCAGGAGTGCCTATCGGATCGGACACCCACATTATCTCTGCAGTTCGAGACAAACTGCACTCTTTCTCTTCATCACTGCCTCTCCTGCATGACCTTCATGATCCACAGACTGCCTCTCGCCTCCTTACTCTCTGCATTTCCGCCCGTCCCTCATTCCTCCTCCGCACAGTGGCACCATTTCCCGAAGTAGAAGAGCTTTACACTGACTGGGACAACACCCTGCTGGATCACTTTGTTCGCCTCATCGGCTCTGACTACTGGCCTCCTGCATTTGACCACACTGCCACAGCACACCGACAGCCATTCCTTCCCATTCGCCTTGGTGGGTTCGGCCTCCGTTCTTCAGCTGCAACTGCTTTTCTCTGTTACTTGTGCAGCTGGGCACAGACAGTTTCACTCCTCTCGTCATGCTTCACCATTCATGGCTCCCCTATCTTCCGTCCCTTCATCACTTCAGACACCATGGACCGCCTTGACCCATGCATTCCTACAGCCATGTCCAAACTTCATCCTACCATTCGGCAGCACTTCCCTACCTGGCCCACACTTCACGCTGGCTATCCACAGAAGCTATACTCCTACCTTTCACAGCACTTGGAGGCTGTCATGCTCGAGCGCGTGCGATCCACAGTAACCTCTCCCCAACATTTGGCCCGTTTAACCTCCTTACAAGGGCCCCATGCTGGCGATTGGCTTACTGTGGCTCCATGTTCTTCGCATATGCAGCTGTCACCTACGGAGTGGTGTATTGCAGCCGCTATTCGTCTTGGCCTCCCCATTCCACACCTCACGACCACCCGCACATGCACTTGTGGCTCGGCATTCACAGACCCTTCAGTCGTCTCTCACGTCCTCCGCTGCCCATCCTCTAACGAGCCTACCAGGGTCCACGACGCCATCAAGCATGAGGTCCATCGCATCACGTCCGAGCTTGGTTACGTTGTGCAGCTCGAGGACTCCCACCTTCTTTCAAGTCGTCGCCCAGACATCAGCTGCCGTGACATCAGCTCTGGGACTACGTGGGCATTAGATGTTTCTGTTGCAGACCCCCAGCATGGTCCCCCAAACTCCAAGACTGCATCAGTAATCGGTTCAGCTGCATCTGCTCGCGAAACTGAGAAGCGGACCCTGTATGCATCTTCGTTACAAAACCGCCCAGACGTGAAGCTTCTTCCTCTTGTTCTTGAAACCTTCGGTTGCTTCAGCACGGCATTTCTCAGCTTCATCAAAGACTGCAGCAGACGAGGGGCGACTCGACTTCGTGACATGGGTGGTGCATCTGACCTGATTCCAGAGCTCTTCGAGACTAGCTACTTCAAGAGGATCTCCTTGGTGCACCAGCGTGAGCAGGCTCGAACCATCTGCCGTCGGACACAAATTCGTTACAGTGTTGACACACCCTCCGCCCCACCAGATCCCACCCCACCTTCCTTGGCTGATTTTGCGTACCTTGGTGTTGGTTCTTGAGACCTCATTGGGGGTCTCAGCCTAGGGTTGCAGTTGGGACATTGTTGGTTAGCTAGCCTTCTGATGCTCAACGTGTATCTTTTGTACACATATACATTGTAAATAAAGCGGTTAGGATACTCGGCTCTCACCCGAGAGACCCGGGTACAAGTCCCGGCAACGGATTAATTGTTTTGACCCTGCACCAACACGATCTCCTTTTATTCTCCCAACGGCCATCACGCTCTCCCTTCGAGCCTTCTGCTACTTTTCTGCTAACCATTCTCAACTCAACACGCTTCGCTCATCGTTACGCCCACTCATTTTCTCCATGCTCCCCTACGTTCCGTATTTAACCATAATTTAGCCGACTAATCACTCGGTCAGTCGCGTTATAATTCCATGCAGCCGCGCAAGAAGGACTCCCGAATTTCCGATTCTTCCCAAGCCTCCGTCGTCAAGGCCTCCAAGCCTCAATCCGCCTTGTCGCGGCATGGCCGAGCCGGCGGCGCAGGCTCGGCAGATTCGAGAGGGGACGGAGGAGGGGGAGGGAGTCAAGGCTCGTCGCTGCAATCAGGGAGGGAAAAGAGCGGGAAAACGGGCTTGTCGTTTCGTTCGGCGTTTTCAATGGTTCTCGTGTTCGTAACTGCGTTGTCGATCGCGGTGTTTGCCGGTAGACGGATATCGAGTCGGCATGAGGCGAGGATACGGAAAGAGGCTGCTTTTCCTGCCTCGGATCTGCCAGTCGTCGGATCAAGAAGCGGTTCGACTGAAGGCAACGGTCAATTGAGCGCGAATCGCGGAGACGGCGCTATCAGCGTAGATGGCAGGAGAAGTAACGGTGAAGCTTCCAGAGGTGTTGCGGGAGGTGATGGTGACGCTTCTGCTGCTACTGCTGCTACTGCTGCTCAACGAATCAGGTGCTGCTAGCGCGGACGCTTCTAACGAGGATGCAGCTGAGGCTGGTGCTAAGGACGACGAGTCTCCCCTTGACGTGGACAAGTACCTCTGTACGTGGCCTGGTGCTTGCAGCTCGTGTCTCATTGGGGGTGTTTTTTAGATATTTCAAAGAGTGCTTTTGAGGATTTTCAATAGCACCCTGCAACTTCAAGGATGACGAGGCTCCCCTTGACGTGGACAATTACCTCTGTACGTGGCCTGTCTGCTGCTGCTGCTGCTGCTGCTGCTGCTTTTCCATCTGGTGACGTGTCGCCACAGCCATGTTTGCTCTCTTTCATCCCCTCCATAAGCTTACTCGCTTCCACAATGCCGTTTCACCATGCCATGGCATGACATGACTTGCCCTTCCATCCCCTGCCACAGTGGAGGAAGCGAGGAAGCTTATGGAGGGGATGGAACAGCAGCAGCAGCAGCAGCAGCAGCAGCAGGAGTCAGAGGAGGAGACAGATGGAGAGCAGAGGGCAGAGAGAGCACGGCTGATGGATGGTGGTGCTGTTGCTGGGGAACGAGATGGAATCAGTGCTGCTGATAGGCTCGGTGCTGCTGCTTCTGGTGAAAGAGACGCTGCTGCTGCTGGTGCCAGTGGTAGCTACGCCAGTGGTAACCATGGCAGTGGTAACCACGTAGATGCTGCCACTGGTGGCGATGAGGACGCTGCCAGAGTGCAATCAGGTCAAGAGTGGGGGGTGCAAGTGGGAGAGGAGGACGAAGAGGAACAGGAGCAGCAGCAGGAGCAAGCGGGTGTTAGTCCAGTGAGAAAAGTTAACAAGGAGACGGGAATCGATCACGTGGGAGGAGGAGGGGTCAGCCACTCACCAACCCTAAACGGCACATCCAGCAGGCACGGAATGACAAGGAGAAAAGGAAAGAAGGGCAGCAGAAGAAGAAGAAGAAGACAACCGTTGCCGCTCCTGTCGGAAACCTGCGACCTGTATTCAGGGGAGTGGGTGAGGGACTCTCAACACCATCCGCTGTATTCAGGCAGCACGTGCCAGTTCCCTCTGCCCCACTGGACGTGCCGTCGCAAGGACCGCCCCTCCTTCCTCTACGAGCAATACCGATGGCAGCCAGAAGGGTGCCGCGTGCCGCGTTTCAACCGCACCGAGCTCAAAGAACGGTGGGTGTGTGGGTGTGGGGTTTGTATGTATGTGTGGGTGGGATGTGAGGAGAGTGGGTGTGCCAGTTCCCTCTGCCCCACTGGACCTGCCGCCGCAAGGACCGCCCCTCCTTCCTCTACGAGCAGTACCGGTGGCAGCCAGAGGGGTGTAAGGTGCCCAGGTTCAACCGCACCGAGCTCAAAGAACGGTGGGTGTGGATGGATGCGAGGAGACTGGGTTGGTTTGTGTGGTTTTGCTTCTTGGTATGCCGCAAGGACCGCCCCTCCTTCCTCTACGGGCAGTACAGGTGGCAGCCAGAGGGATGCAGAGTGCCGCGTTTCAACCGCACCGAGCTCAAAGAACGGTGGGTGTGGACGGGTGGGTGACTGGGAGGGTTATAAGGAGTGGTGGGAAGGATATGAGGATTGGTCGGTGTGGTTAACGAGGGCCGCCCTTCTTTTATGTACGAGCAGTACAGAAAGGCACCCAGAGGGGTGCCGCGTGCCCCGGTTCAACCGCACTGGGCTCAAAGAACGGTGGGTGTGGATGGGTTAGATGGGATGTGGTGTTTTACTTGGTGAGGCGATGCAAGGACCGCCCCTCGTTCCTCTCCTGGCTGTACCGCTGGCAGCCGCAGGGGTGCCGAGTGCCCTGTGCTTCAGTTCAGCCCCAGTCTGCGCAACAAGAAGGTGGCATTTGTGGGCGACTCAGTGCGCCAGCAGCAGTTCTTCTCACTGCTCTGCCTCATCTCCCCCCTCCATTCCCCACTCTCCCATCCCACCCCTATGCTCCCACTCCCCCCTCCATTCCCCTCTTTCCCTACCCGCGTTCCCTCCCAGTCTCCGCAACAAGAAGGTGGCATTCATGGGCGACTCAGTGGGGCTGCAGCAGTTCTTCTCCTTCCTCTGCCTCATCTCCCCCTTCCCATGCCTCTCCTCTCTCCCATCCCACCCTTATTCTCCCACTTCCCCGTCCATTCCCCACCCACTCTCCCATCCTCATTGCTCCCAGACTGCGCAACAAGAAGGTGGCGTTTGTGGGCGACTCAGTGGGGCTGCAGCAGTTCTTCTCCTTCCTCTGCCTCATCCCCCCCTTCCCATGCCTCTCCTCTCTCCCATCCCACCCTTATTCTCCCACTTCCCCGTCCATTCCCCACCCACTCTCCCATCCTCATTGCTCCCAGACTGCGCAACAAGAAGGTGGCGTTTGTGGGCGACTCAGTGGGGCTGCAGCAGTTCTTCTCCTTCCTCTGCCTCATCTCCCCTCCCATTCCCCATTGCCCTCTCTCCTCCCTAACCCCTCCCACGCCTCCCACACCTCTCTCTCCTCCCTGCCCCCACCCATCCCAGCTTGCGCAACAAGAAGGTGGCGTTTGTGGGCGATTCAGTGGGGCTGCAGCAGTTCTTCTCCTTCCTCTGCCTCATCTCCCCCACGCCGCGCACCCACGAGCCGTACATCGAGTCACGAGATGCAGATTACAAGTTCAACTGGACAACCGGCTGGCGCGGATGGCAGGTGGGTGGGTGGCAGGTGGGTTAGTAGCAGGTGGGTTGGGTTGTGAGGTGTCTCAGAAGGTGCCTCATCTCATCTCTCCCCCACGCCACGCACCCACGAGCCATACATCGAGTCTCGGGACAGCGACTACAAGTTCAACTGGACAACTGGCTGGCGCGGATGGCAGGTGAGTTGATGGTGTCCTGGAGGTGGGTTGTGAGGTGAGAGTGGTCCTGTCTCTCTCTCTCTCTCTACCCTGTGTACTCACTCACTCCTACTGCAGGACTCAGCCTATTTTTTCCTTGAAACCAACACCACAGTGCTGCTCAAATGGACCACGTCTCTGTGCTCACCACTCTGTGTCTGTGTCTGTGTCTGTGTCTGTGTCTGTGTCTCTCTCTACCCTGTGTACTCACTCACTCCTACTGCAGGGCTCAGCCTATCGTTTCCCCGAAACCAACACGACCGTGCTGCTCAAGTGGACCACGTCGCTGTGCTCACCACTCTGTGTGTGTCTCTCTCACTTACCTCCTCAATTCTCACGTCTTCCTTTGCTTACTCGCTCCCTCCCACTCTCATCACTGTAGGGCTCAGCCTACCGCTTCCCTGAGACCAACACCACGGTGTTGCTCAAGTGGACCACGTCGCTGTGCCACGTGGCGCGCAAGGATTGGGCGAACGAGTCAGCGGGGCAGGCGGCCCATCTGGACCAACCGGACGAGTTTCTGAGGCAGCATATGGAGGAGATGGATGTGATTATAATGAACACGGGGCACCGCTGGAACATGTGAGTGGTGGAGAGTGATGTGATGAGGTATTGCGGTGTGGTACTGGCTGGTGTCTTGAATCTGCGTGTGGAGGAGCTGGATGTGATTATAATGAACACAGGGCACCACTGGAACATGTGAGTGGAGATGGGTGTGATTAAAGTGGTAACAGGGCATGTGAGTGGAGATGTATGTAATTATATTGCTCTCTATTACTAGGACATGTGTGTATTGAAATCTGTACTTATAACAAAGAAAGGGTGCACAAAAAGTGTACAGAGGATGAGTTATTATACACATTGTTGTTACACATCGTTTTCTCTCCACTTGTCTCCCCATTCCTGCATTCCCATGCCATGTGGGCTCACCGGCAGCTGCAGGAGACAGCCGAGGAGAGGGAGAGGGGGAGTAGGGAGAGTGGGGAGAATGTTTTCAGTATCTTCCTCCCCTCTTCCACTCCCTCCCTCCCTCCTTCAGTAACAAGATGCAGGAGTATGGGTGGCACTTTCACCTAGGCGGCATCCCTGTTCCGCCAGAGACTCACAAGGAGATGGAGGGCGAGTTCAACGTGCCCATGCGCACCGTACTGCGCTCTTCTGCCATGTGGGCTCACCGGCAGCTGCAGGCCATGGCTCAGTGAGAAAGCTCTCACTTGAAGGTCCTTCAAGCTCTCGCAAGCGTCCGAAATGAGTGCAGAGGCGACTTCCGTCGCAATCCGATTTAGGCCGTTGAAAGAAGGCGAGACTTCTGTCTGGTCAGTCAGAGACAACAAGCTTTTGCTCCACGTTAGTGACGAACCGGAAAGCAATGCTATCAAAGAATACACATTCGGTAAGTTTCTCGCGAGTTGCGTTTTTTTTCAAGTATATCATTTGTCAGGCAAGTACCTGACACTCGGAAACCCGTGTGATCTGTTTCATATCACGCCTTCAATGAGAGCTGTGCTTCAAAAGATGTTTTCGACAAGAGTGCGCGACACATTGTTACAGCTGCTCTCCAAGGCATCGACGGTTAGTCGCACTGCATCTCGAGTCCCATTTGATTGCCAATCACACGATTCTTAGGAGTGCCGATTGGCTTGAGTTGTCACAGCATGTTGACTGCATCATCGTGGACTCTCCAGGTACCCTTCTCGCTTATGGTCAAACGAGCAGCTGCAAGACTTTTACCATGAAGGAAAGCGTCATCCCTCTTTGCATCCGACAGGTGTTCGGCCACATCGAGATCGAGGTAACAAATCAACATCACAGCCCCACGACAGCTGAGGAATGCGTGAGGGATGACCTCGCTCTCGATGTGGCCGAACACCTGTTGGATGCAGAGAGGGATGACGCCTTCCTTCATGGTAAAAGTCTTGCCGCTGCTCGTTTGACCATAAGCGAGAAGGGTCGTTGGAGAGTCCACGATGATGCAACCAACATGCTATGACAACTCAAGCCAATCGACACTCCTAAAAATCGTGTGACTGACAATCAAATGGGACTCGAGATGCAATGCGACTAACCGTCGATGCCTTGGAGAGCAGCTGTAACAATGTGTCGCGCACTCTTGTCGAAAACATCTTTTGAAGCACAGCTCTCATTGAAGGCGTGATATGAAACAGATCACACGGGTTTCCGAGTGTTAGGTAGTTGCCTGACAAAGGGCATACTTGAAAATAAACGCAACTCGCGAGAAACTTACCGAATGTGTATTCTTTGATAACATTGCTTTCCAGTTCGTCACTAACGTGGAGCAAAACCTTGTTGTCTCTGAAGGACCAGACAGAAGTCTCGCCTTCCTTCAACGGCCTAAAACGGATTGCGACGGAAGTCGCCTCTGCACTCATTTCGGACGGTTGTTTGCGAGAGCTTGAAGGACCTTCAAGTGAGGCCATGGTTCAGGCCATTGACGAGGAGAGGGAGAGGCGCGGAGGGAGAGGACAGGGAGAGAGGAGAGAGAGGAGAGGTTCAGTATCTTCCCCCCCTCTTCCACTCCCTCCCTCCCTCCCCACAGCAACAAGATGCAGGAGTACGGGTGGCAGTTCCATATGGGATTGCTGCCAGTCCCTCCAGACACACACAAGGAGATGGAGGGCGAATTCAACGTGCCCATGCGCACCGTGCTGCCCATGCATCCCCTCCCACGCCCTCATTCCTCCTGTCCCCCATCCCCCCATCCCCCGCCCTCCCTTCCGCCCCCAGCAACAAGATGCAGGAGTACGGGTGGCAGTTCCACCTGGGCGGGTTGCCAGTCCCTCCAGACACCCACAGGCAGATGGAGGGCGACTTCAACGTGCCCATGCGCACCGTGCTGCCCCTTCAGTCACCCTCACACCCCCCATCCTTCCACCCCCTCCCTCACCCCCCCAGCAACAAGATGCAGGAGTACGGGTGGCAGTTCCACCTGCACGGGGCCCCGGTCCCCCCAGAATCACACAAGGAGATGGAGGGCGACTTCAACGTGCCCATGCTCACCGTGCTGCGCTCGACCGCCCTCTGGGCTCACTGCCAGCTGCAGGCCATGGCTCAGGAGAGGGAGGGGAGGCAAGTGAGCGGCGAGGGAGCATGCTTTTCAGTATATTCCTCCCACCTCCACACCCACCCCCAACCGCCCCCCCTCCAGAAACAAGATGAAAGAATATGGATGGCAGTTCCACCTGGGGGGAGTCCCAGTGCCACCAGACACACACAAGGAGATGGAGGCGACTTCAACGTGCCCATGCGCACCGTGCTGCGCTCGACCGCCATGTGGGTGCACCGGCACCTGCAGGAGATATCCGAGGAGCGGGAGAGGCGGCGATTGGCTGCCATGCGGGAAGGGGAGAGGAGGGAGGGTGCGGAGGGAGAGGAGGGAGAGCGGGCGCTGCCGCTGGTGCTGCTGGTGACGCGGTCGCCGGCGCATTTTATGGACGGGCAGTGGAACACTGGCGGAGGGTGCGACAAGCTGCAGGTGAGGGATTAGGGCTGTTCAGGGTTTTCCAGGGTTTTTTAGGATTGTGGGCATGGTAGTTGTTTTGTTAACAAGCGGACCTCCTTTTTTGTTTTGTTTTCTCCTACCCCTACCTCGGGTTTTTTTTATCAGCCGGGGCCCAGTCCCGTCCCCCCGTTTCAAGCCCTAAAAAGCCAAACCATGAGGCCCGAAACCCCTGCAGAGCATGTTGTCTCAGGAGCAGATTGACCGGCTGTATTTCCAGTCACGAAATTTGAACGCAGAGGCAGCAGTTGAAGTAACGGCGGTGGGGATGCTGAATCTGCCTGCCACACACTTCTATTCCCAATCTACAACCCCCAAAGTCTGAGACCCTAAACTCCAGAATAGTAGAACATGCTGATTCAGGCGGAAACGGACCGGCTCTTCCTCCAGTCGCGGGATTTGAACGCAGAGGCAGCAGTTGAGGGCATGGCGAATTGAAGGATGTACAGAATCGAACCGTTGACGAAAGCACGAAAAGTCTTTTGAGTCGGCTCAAGATGACTTTTGAGTCGACTCAGTAGCGGACCGGCTCTTCTTCCAGTCGCGGGATTTGAATGAACTGGCAGCAGTGGAGGGCACGGCGGTGCGGCTGCTGAATCTGCCCCTCCCCCAATTTCCCAATCCCAATCCCTGACCTTCAAACCCGGAAACCCTGAAATCCCTGCAGAACATGCTGACGCAGGAGGAAGCAGATCGGCTCTAAGGCACGGCAGTGAGGCTGCTGGACGTCGCGGCACGGTGCTGTCTGTTCTGCGCCCCGAGGCACACCGTCCCGGTGGTGCGACAAGGACGGCAAGGCACCGCGGCAGAAGGGATGCTGCTGCTGTCTCTTGCCGCCCTTCCCTCTCCCTCTCACATTCCACATTCTTCATCCATCCCTCTCTCCCAACCCAACCCCGCTCCCTCCTTCCCCAGAGCATGTTGACTCAGGAGGAGACAGACCGGCTGCATTTCCAGTCGCGGGATTGGAACGCAGAGGCAGCAGTGGAAGGGACAGCAGTGCGGCTGCTGAACATCACGGCGCTGTCTGCCCTGCGCCCCGAGGCACACCTGTCCCGGTGGTATGACAAGGACGGCAAGGCACCGGGGCAGCAGGACTGCGTGCACTGGTGCCTGCCGGGCGTGCCTGATGCTTGGAATGAGTTGCTGTTCTGGGAGATTGTGCGGAGTGGTCGGTTTCCCTTGCCTGGGGAAGCAAGAGGGAGAGGGGATAGGGACGGTAGCACCAGGCTTATTCAAGACACGTAACTGATATTGTACAGATTGCAATGGATTTTTTTTTTACTGGTACTATTTGTATTACCGTAGATATTGCTGGTGCACCTGTGTCACGGTGTGACGGTGGTATGACAAGGACGGCAAGGCCCCGGGGCAGCAGGACTGCGTGCACTGGTGCCTGCCGGGCGTGCCTGATGCTTGGAATGAGTTGCTGTTCTGGGAGATTGTGCGGAGTGGTCGGTTTCCCTTGCCTGGGGAAGCAAGAGGGAGAGGGGATAGGGACGGTAGCACCAGGCTTATTCAAGACACGTAACTGATATTGTACAGATTGCAATGGATTTTTTTTTACTGGTACTATTTGTATTACCGTAGATATTGCTGGTGCACCTGTGTCACGGTGTGACGGTGGTATGACAAGGACGGCAAGGCCCCGGGGCAGCAGGACTGCGTGCACTGGTGCCTGCCGGGTGTGCCCGACGCGTGGAATGAGCTGTTGTATTGGGAGATTGTGAGGAGTGGCCGGTTCCCCCTGCCTGAGGAAGTTGGGGGGAGAGGGGATAGGGGCGGTAGCAGCAACCGGCTTACGCAAGACATGTAAAACAGTACTGTACTAATTCCAGTGGATTTTTATACCTAGTTTTATAACACACTGCTGGTGCCCACCTGTCACTGCGGCATGACAAGGACGGCAAGGCACCGGGGCAGCAGGACTGCGTGCACTGGTGCCTGCCGGGTGTGCCCGACGCGTGGAATGAGCTTATGTTCTGGGAGACTGTACGCTACGCCGTTGTACACCTACAGTTTGATTGAATCTTGCAACATTGTTCTGTTGTGCAAGTGCTGTACCTGTACAACCTAATATTCGACAGAATGGCACGCGATAAAGTAGAACCTCAAGTCGAGATTGGGTACAACAACCCCATAAAAAGGGCACACATAACCACAATAAGGTACATGAAGTTCGTACTAAACACTCATTGTTAATATTGATATACTTTGATCAAGCCCCATGAACATGAGTGACACAGAAAGCATATACTCGCTGTGGCCCACCTCCAGTGGCGTAGGGAAGGATAAAAAAATTGTAGCCCCTACCAAAGAAAATGCAACCACGGTCTACAGATATCCCACCATAAACAGAAGCACCAGGTGCGAAGGACCATAAGGTATGTCCCGATGCAGCATCAAACGCGTACACGTGCCCTTCGATGTCCGTCGAACCTGCGAACACCACCCCATTGGCTGCCGAAGGAAGCATTGCAAGTGCTGGGGCACTCGGATTGGCCGTTGACCACAGCACAGCCCCCGTTGCAGGATCGAGCGCAACCCAAGCACTGCCATTTGTGACTGTTGTGGAAGGCAATAGAGTAAAATTCTTGAATCCGTCGTTCTCAATCCCCACGTAAATTCGCTCCAAGTCTGTCGCAATTCCCCACGACGCGCCTCCGTCCCCCTGGGCCAGCAGCTGTGGACCACACGATTGATCCATCTTCACGATCGAGGGCCCAGACTATTCCAGACTTTTGGCCCGCAACTGCAATGTCGCGTTTCACCCTCTGCTTACCATTTCCTTTCGTAATGTTGTTGTTGATGGACATTAGCAGAGGAGCCATTCCGAAATCGTAATCTGCTCCCGGAGTCGGCGGGCAGTTAGGAGAAGGAGTTTCCGCGATGCACGCTATGTTCCACGCGTCGATTGGGCTCAGGTTTGTCGCCCACTCTACGGACCCACTCGAGAGGTCAATAGCGAGGATAGAGTCGAAGTAATTTCCAGGTTCGATGCATTTGTCGGGAAGAGTTGCGCCGATTTCTTCCTGCTCCTGCTGGCATTGCGAAACGTGATCAGGCACGCGATAGTTGTTACCAGTCGCGACGAAGACCAGCTCCCTCGCCTCGTCGATTGATGGGTTCGCGCCCCACACGGCCGCTCCGGCGTACAGGCTGGCGTTTCCGCCGTTGGGCGGCAGAGTGAAAGTCTGCCAAACCTTTGCGCCACTCACGATATTCAGCTTCACGACGCTTCCAATGAAGGTGCAGCAGGGGTAGGTCGGATTCGACGCGAACACCTCTTCTGCAGATGAAACGCCAACGTACAACCCGTTTCGGTACGCCGTACCGGACCCCGTTACAACTGCCGCGGGATGCGGATCAACGAGCGTTTTCCAGGCCAGGCCGCCGTCGCTGCGTCGCACCGCCAAGACGTACGCAGGCCCGTACACGCTGATAATCAGGAGGTTTCCGAGAAACCCGCTGGAGTCGACCACAACAGGAGTGGCACGAGAGTACGGATCGCGACCCTGAAAATTGTCCTGGTCGATCCCATAATCCGTCCGAATGCGCTCCTGCCAGACGGTAGCTCCCGTGCTCCGTCTTACCGCGTAAAGGTACCCTGCCGACGAAATCCCCGAACACAGCGGGCGTAGCAGTGACATCGCCTTGAGTGGTGAATTCCCAAGATAATGCAAGCTGGGAAGCGGAGGAGGGGGTAATCTGGTTCTCAGTCTTTGCCCACCGGCGGTTCAGGAGGTCGCCTCCGTGAGTGACCCAGGAGCCGTGCGCGCTAGGCAGAGCGGAGTGGAGAAACAAAACGAGCAGGAGCAGAATCCATGAGGCGCGTTGAGAGTTAGCCATGGCTATGAAATTTCCGAATTTGCGAGGGAGTTGGGAGTTCAGCTCACAAATTTCTTCGAGCACCATGCACACATTCGAAAATGATACATTGTGCAATATTTGTAACCACTGTCAGCAGGTTCGCTGGCGAAGATTCCACTGACAAAGGCGAAGGTTTCTTCCAGTTCTTTCGCCACCGACCGGTTGCCGGGCCGACCTCGCAGACAAATGTTGCTGTTTCGCTGTTGCGAATCTGATAGGCTAGGTTACCGGAAGGGTACAAGCAACCAACCTCGGCAGGCTTTGGGATTACGTACTGGGGCGCGACCTTTCGGCGTGGAGAGGGGCAGAGCATCGAAACACAAGTTATGCTGTTTGTTTTATCCAAGGTCCAAGGTTTGATTCACAACCACACTGCACCCACTCTAATGTACTTCCAGCCCGCCAAAGCCAGGTATTGTTTTTGGGGAAAGTATGCCAATGGTAACATACATGGGGCTCTTTAACGCGTACAGTAACTATTACAGTATATTTTCACACGTTTGGTAACTCATTTCACGCAATTGGTAACTTAGCACAGGCGAATGATCACGCGAATGGTAACTAGATGAAACTCCCGCCGAAATGATCCTGATTAAAAGGCATTTGTTAGTTTGAAAGATTTCACACACAGTTTTATCGTTCTTGAACGATTCCCGCCGTAACTTTGAAGGATCGCGTTTGTTCAATTACCACGGACCAAATAGTTTCAGAGCCGTTTCATATCTATTTTAAGCTCGGACAAATAGTGCTAACAAGTAAATTTATATTTTTGCAAGCATAATTGCATAATTGCAAAATGATGATATTTTCCCGGAAAAGCGACAATAATTGTATTTCAAATTGTGTGTAATAAATGCAACGTGAGATAATTTTGGAGGTGGGAAAATAATACACCCTTCCGAATGGCATGCCTTTATTGTAGAATTAACCTTGAACGCCTTGTCGCAAGGAGTTTAGGGTGATGCTCTCAAAATCATTTGCCATCCGAAAGGGGTATATATTTTTTGCCCCGGTTGTACGATACAATTAAGTAAAATCAAATTTCTGCGAGCGCCATAATATCAGCTTTATATGAAACACGGTTTTCAAAACAGCAACATGTCACTAAATAGTCCGGATTTCGGAAAGTGTGTCAGAATTTCGGAAAGTGTGTCAGAATTTCGGAAAGTGTGTCAGAATTTCGTGCTTCAGGACTCGTCAATTCAGTCTGGCGCGAGCGGGAAAACCCAGAATCAGGGTCAAGTTGGACGAGGGTTTCTTCTAGTTACCATTCGCGTGATGGCTTGCAGTTTATAGTTACCAAACGCGTGAATCGAGTTACCAAACGCGTGAAAATGCATTGTTATGGTTACCGTATGCGTTATAAAGCCCCATGTTTGTTACCATTCGCATATTCTCCCTTGTTTTTGTCATTGTAATTGTAATTGTAATGTAAAGACTCCCAGAGGTGTTATGTAAGTGCACTTACAACCAACGTGGCATATAGACACAAGGTATAACCCCTAAAGGATGCAATCATGTTGACTGATGCATGCATGTGTGAATATACCGTCTACAAAACCTTCCAAATAGCAAAATCGGATAACCACTTTAACCCCTTCCATTTTCTTGTGACCGGTTCCTGCTCCAAGTCGAGCCCGTGTCACCCGAATGGTTAGTAAGGCGCCTCAAGAACAGAAATGGCTAGTTAGTTGCATCAAATAACTACTTCACACCCGTCCATTCTCTCGTTGTTGGCTATTAATCCAAGGGCCTCAGAAATCACTTCACCCCCTCCATTCTCTCGTGGTTGGTTCCTGCCCCAAATCGAGGTCGGTTCACCTGAATGGCTAGAGGCACTGCTCTCCCTACATTTGCCCTCTCCCTCACCGTTCCCACTCCCCCTCCGTCATCCATTCCCTCTCCCACTCCCACACCCCCTGGCACCCCTCCTGCTCCTGCTCCTGCTCCTGCTCCTGCTCCTGCTCCTGCTCCTGCTCCTGCTCCTGCTCCTGCTCCTGCTCCTGCTCCTGCGCTACTTCCTGCTTGCATCTGCTGCTGTTGCTGCTGTTGCTGCTGAACCTGCTGGTGTTGCCGCTCCTTCACTCTCAATGCAGCCACCAACGGGGAGGTGTACTGCTGCTTTCCTACAGGCAGCTGCGGTGGCCGCGGGCTGAACCGGGCATTAGGAGGCGGATTCAGGGAGTTGAATTGCGCAGGGGGGAACGATCCAACCCCGGCGGGGGAAGGAGGGCCAGCAGCGCGACGCATAGCTAGCGCCCCCAATGCACCAGGAGTGCCTAACCCCCCGCCGCCTACCAGTCCTCCCCCTCCTGGCGTTCCTGGGCCCCCTCCTGCCCCAGGGTTTAAGAAACCCATGGGTGAGGGGGGAGGCACGCGGAGGGGCGTGATGGGGGCTGGTGATGCTGACAGGCCCGCATTGTCTGGTGTGGGTTGGGGAGTGGGGGGGGGGGGGGGGGGGAGAGGGGGGGGGGTGTGCGGGGTGGAGGGGGAAAAGGGGGATGGGGAAAGGAGAGAGTGTCAAGGACGATGCTGACAAGCCAGCTTTGCCTGGTGAAGAGGGGGGGGAGGGAGGTGAGGGGGTTGGGGAAGGGGGGAAGACGGGGAGGGGGGCACGCGGAGGGGGGTGATGGGGGATGGCAATGCTGACAAACCCGCATTGTCTGGTGTGGGGTGGGGAGGGAGGTGAGGTGGGGAATGGGGCAGGACGGGGTGAGGAGGGGGTAAATCAGAGAAAGGGGGAGAGGGGGAGGAAGGGGTGATGGGGGGTGGCGATGCTGACAGGCCCGCATTGTCTGGTGTGGGGTGGGGAGGAAGGTGAGGGGGAGGGGGGAGGGGGGGCGACGGGGTGAGGAGTGGGGAGGGGGAAGGGGGGAAGGGGTGATTGGGGCTGACGATGCTGACAGGCCGGCATTGTCTGGTGTGGATTCGAAGGAGGAGGGAAAGGGGAAGAAGAAAAGGAGGGAGGGTTTGCAGGGGGAGGCGAAGGAAGGGGGGGAGGGGGGGCAGGGGAGGAAGGAGGGGAATGGGGTGGAAGGGGGAACTGTCATATCACGTTGGGTCGGGAGTCTTTTGAGTCGACTCAAAAGTCACCACGTTGGGTCGGGAGTCACTGCTTCTGGCTCTTAGCTAAGCACGGAAATCAGGGAGCCAGGGAGTACGCACCGTTGTTCCACCATACCAGAGAGATCGAGCAATGGAGTGAGCGACTCGACAACTTGGGTCATAATGGGGGGCTGCTTTTTGTTTTTAGCTAAGTTCGGTGATTAAATAACTAGAGAGTAGGAAGAGTACTTCCGTACCTGTGAGGTCGAGCAGAGGAATAAGTGACTCAACGACAAAAGCCATGGTGGGGCGCTGCTTCTGGTTCTTAGCTAAGCAATGTTCTTAGGAAACCAGGAGGGAGTGAGCAACATAGTAGTTCCGTACCTGTGAGGTCGAGCAGTGGAGTAAACGACTCAACCACTTGGGTCATGGTGGGGCGCTGCTTCTGGTTCTTAGCTAAGCACCAGAGCGCCAAAGCAGCCACTTTTTGCGATGCCTTGGCTGAGTACTTGCCCTCAAAGCCTGGGTCCATGATTCGGAAGAGCCGGCGGCTGGGGGAGGAGAAAGGAGAGGAAAGAGGAACGACAGGAAGAGAGTGAAGGTAAGAGAATGATGAAGATGCCTTAGCTGAATACTTGCCCTCAAATCCCGGGTCCATGATGCGGAAGAGCCGGCGGCTGGGAGAGGAGAGAAAGGAGAGGAAAGAGAGGAAAGAGAGGAAAGAGGAAAGAGGAAAGACAGGAAGCGAGCGAAGGTAAGAGAATGACGAAGATGCCTTGGCTGAGTATTTGCCCTCACAGCCCGGGTCCATGATGCGGAAGAGCCGGCGGCTGGGAGAGGAGAAAGAGGGGCGGATTTGAAAACAAGAGAGAGAGAAACGGGGGAAAAGACAGGGAAATGCGAAAGAGGAAAGGGTGGGAAGGCAGGGGGATGGGGCGGGTTTGAGGAAGATGTGGTTTTGCACTAGCCCAACCCCGTGATGCAGAAGAGATGGCGGCTGGGGGAAAAGACAGGGGGAAACGAAAGTAAGGGACGGCCAGACGGGGGCAATGAGATTGAGGAAGTAGTGATTTTGCACGTGCACTTGCAACCTCGGGTCCATGATGCGCAAGAGGCGACAACTAGGAGAGGAGAGGAAGGAGAGGAAGGAGGAAAGGAAGGGAAGAGAGTGAAGGTAAGAGAATGACAGTGATGGCGGCACAGCACATGCCCTCGAATCGAACGAGCCTAGTTTTGAGGCGCCTCAGAAATTGACAATGATGATGATGATGATGGCACATGCCCTCATCACTGATCCATGAGCACATACCCTCGAACGAGCCCTGGATCCATGAGCTGAAGAGACGCGGCTGGGTCGGGGGCGATGAGAAGGGGGAGATGGAGGAGGCGGGAGTGGTTGAGTTGGGAAGACGGTGATAATGGCACTTGCCCTCAAATTCCGGGACTAGGATGCAAAAGAGCGAGCACCACACCACACCGCAATGCACCAAATCAAAGCAAGCATCACAACCACCACATTGCACCGCACTCACATCTTATCTAGGTACGGCTTGGCCAAGTCCACCAGGAAGACCTCTTCTCTGGGACAACTCTCATCCAGCGCCCTATGGGGCACACCAGACCCCACCCCATCCCACCCCACCGCACCGCACTGCACCGCAGTCAACTCTCGGCAAGGTATGGCTTGGCCCAGTCCACCAGAAAGACCTCTTCTCTGGGACAACTCTCATCCAGCGCCCTATGGGGCACACCAGACCCCATCCCACCCCACCCCACCCCACCCCAACTGACCCCACCGCACTGCACCGCAGTCAACTCTCGGCAAGGTATGGCTTGGCCCAGTCCACCAGAAAGACCTCTTCTCTGGGGCGGCTCTCATCCAGCATCGTTTGGGACACACCAGACCGCACCCCACACCACCACACCGCACTGCACTCACGTCTCGGCGAGGTACGGCTTGGCCCAGTCGACCAGAAACACCTCTTCTCTGGGGCGACTCTCATCCAGCGCCCTCCTGCCCGTCAGCAGCTCCACACGCCATACCATGCCACACCCCACCCTACCGCACCGCACTGCACCTGCACCTCACTCACGTCTCAGCAAGGTACGGCTTGGCCCAGTCGACAAGGAACACCTCTTCTCTGGGGCGACTCTCATCCAGCGCCCTCCTGCCTGTCAGCAGCTCCACCAGCACTACCCCGTAGCTCCACACACCACACTGTACCACACCCCACCTCACCACATTGCACCGCACTGCACCACACTCCACTCACGTCTCAGCAAGGTACGGCTTGGCCCAGTCCACAAGGAACACCTCTTCTCTGGGTCGACTCTCGTCCAGCGCCCTCCTGCCCGTCAGCAGCTCCACCAACACCACCCCGTAGCTCCACACGTCACTGCGTGCTGTCAGATGGCCTGTTAAGACATATTCTGGGGCCGCATAGCCCACAGTTCCTACGACCTGCAGTTGGGGAGGGATAGTGAAGGGGAGAAGGGGAAGGGCAGTCAAAGAGAAGTCAGCAGCTGCACCAGCACCACCCCGTAGCTCCACACGTCACTCCTTGCTGTCAAATGACCTGTTAGGACATACTCTGGAGCAGCATAGCCCACTTGCCCACCACCTGCAGTGACGGAGGGATAGGGGGAGGAGGCGTAAAATTGGTCAAAGAGAAGTCAGCAGCTCCACCAGCACTACCCCGTAGCTCCACACGTCACTCCTTGCTGTCAGGTGACCTGTTGGCACATACTCTGGTGCAGCATAGCCCACTGTGCCCACCACCTGGAGTGACGGAGGGATAGGGGTGGAGGAGGTGTAATAAGGGTGTTTAGTGAGAGGAAGTCAGCAGCTCCACCAGCACTACCCCGTAGCTCCACACGTCACTCCTTGCTGTCAGGTGACCTGTTGGCACATACTCTGGTGCAGCACAGCCCACTGTGCCCACCACCTGCAGTCAGGACGGGATAGGGAGAGGGGAGGGGAGGAGTCGTAATAAGGGCGGTTAGTGGAAAGTGGTGGAGCTGCTGACTTTCCACTAGCACCACCCCATAGCCCCACGCGTCGCTCCGCCGTGCTATCACGTGGTCCGTTGAGGCACACCCTGGAGCAGAATTTCTAGCTCTCGCCTGAGTCAAACGACCCTCCCTGCCTCAAACGGACCCACCTGCCTCAGACCCACCTGCCTCAGACCCACATGCCTCAGACCCACCTACCTCAGACCCACCTGCCTCAGACCCATATCCTCTCATCTGCGTGCTGACGTGGGTGCGGTCGCCCTCAGGCCCTGGCGAGTGCTCATGTGACCACATGCCTCAGCCTAGTGCGCCTCTCAGGCCTCTGTTCCTACCTACGTGCTGACAAACTTTGAGACGTCTAAGAAATTGTTCCTACCTGCGTGCTGACGTGGGTGCGGTCGCCCTCAGGCCCCGCCCTGGCGAGCCCTCAGGTGCACATGTGTGCACCTACCTCAGCTCAGACTACTGTGCCTCTAAGGCACCTGAATCTACCTGCCCCTGATCCTACCTGCGTGCTGACGTGGGTGCGGTCGCCCTCAGGCCCCGCCCTGGCGAGCCCTCATGTGCACATGTGCACCTGCCTCAGACAAATGCATCCCGCGGACCCATATCCTCCTCACCTGCGTGCTGACGTGGGTGCGGTCGCCCTCAGGCCCCGCCCTGGCGAGCCCAAAGTCCGACAGCTTGGCGTGCAGGTCACTGTCCAGCAGGATGTTGGCCGCCTTGAAATCTCGGAATATCACCTGAGGGTGTTCGTGTGGTGGGAGGGAAGAAATCGAGCCAGCCTTGAAGTCAATCTATCTACCCAGCCGAGCCAGCCTGTGTACCCAGATTTGGTAAAGCAGTGCAGCAGTGCAGTCTCACTTGTGGGAATTCTCGAAAGTGATACACGCATAGCCGGTCTTTGGGTTGGGCCCAGATTTGGCATGCAGCTCTTTCTTTCTCAAGGAGCTCTCTGTCAGCACCCACCCCACCACACACACACACCGACTTTTGAGACGTCTCAAAAGTCGTATTTGGGCCCAGATTTGGCATGCAGCTCTTTCTTTCTCAAGGAGCTCCCTGTCTGTCAGCACCCACCCAACCACACACACACCGCACACCGTGGCACAATTCACCTGGTTCTCTGTCTCGTCATGAACTTAGGCCAGCCCCTTAGCTGCATCCAGAGCAACCTTAATCCGATCCAGCCAGGCCAGTCCGGGCCCACCCTTGTTGCCTCCTCCAGTCTTGAACAGATGATCTTCGAGGGACTTGTTGGGCACGAACTCGTACACCAGCAGCCGGTGCTCCTCCTGCCCTTGGGGGTGGGGTGCTTGCCTTGCCCCAGCAATCAGCAAGCGCACTGTAAGCCAGCCAACGCACCTGGTTCTCTGTCTCGTCGTGCAGGTAAGCCAGCCCCTTGGCGGCATCCAGGGCAACCTTGATGCGATCCAGCCAGGCCAGCCCCGGCCCGCCTTTGTTGCCTCCTCCAGTCTTGAACAGATGGTCTTCGAGGGACTTGTTGGGCACAAACTCGTACACCAGCAGCCGATGCTCCTCCTGCCCTTGGGGGTGGGGTGCTTGCCTTGCCCCAGCAATCAGCAAGCGCACTGTAAGCCAGCCAACGCACCTGGTTCTCGGTCTCGTCGTGCAGGTAAGCCAGCCCCTTGGCGGCATCCAGAGCAACCTTGATGCGGTCCAGCCACGCCAGCCCCGGCCCGCCTTTGTTGCCTCCTCCAGTCTTGAACAGATGGTCTTCGAGGGACTTGTTGGGCACAAACTCGTACACCAGCAGCCGGTGCTCCTCCTCCGCACAATACCCCAGCAGCCGTACCAGCCGCGGGTGCTGGATGTTTCCCAGAAAGTTTACCTCTGCCAGCCACTCCTTGTGGCCCTGCCAGGGAGTTTTTGAGGGGGGGGGGCGGGGGTTCGGGTGGGGGGTGGAGGGGAGAGAGGGGGGAAAACGGGGGGGGGCGTTGCTATAGGCACACACACAGAGCAGATAACCCACCGTCCCATCTTCATTTAAGTCGCTTAACCGCAGCCACAGTTTTCTGCCCCATCACTATAGGCACACCGTCTATAGGCCACGCGTCCACACACACACGCACTGACTGGCCTTTTTGCAGACTGCGGCAACACCCCTCTCACACACACTCACCTGCAGCCCGTCTTTATTGAGTCTCTTAACCGCCACCACAATTTTCTGTCCCATCACTATAGGCACGCCGTCTATAGGCCACGCGTCCACCTAGCTCCAGCAACCCCACACACGCTCTCGCCTGCAGCCCGTCTTTATTAAGTCTCTTAACCGCCACCACAAGCTTCTGCCCCATCACTATAGGCACACTGTCTATAGGCACACGGACACACAGCACCAGCACCCCGACCCTCTCACCTGCAGCCCATCCTTATTGAGTCTCTTGACCGCCACCACGATTTTCTGCCCCATCACTATAGGCACGCCGTCTATAGGCCACGCGTCCACATGCCCCTTGTACACGCCCCCGAATCCGCCCTCCCCCAGAAGATTCTCCCTGCTGAACGCCCCTGTGGCCGCCCTCAGCTCTGTGTACGAAAACACTTGGAGGTTTCCAGCGTTCTGCTGGGTGATGGCAGGCATACGTGGCATGCTGCTACTGGTGCTGACGGTGCTGCTGCTGCTGCTGGCGCCGGCATTTGAACCTCCTCCTCCTCCCCCTCCAGCAGACCCTGACTTCTGCTGCTGGTTCTGGTTTTGGCTCTGCTGCTGCTGCTGCTGCTGTTGACCGCCAGACTTGGGTAAGACACCGCCACTACCCCCACCGGAACCCCCACCTCCGCCTGAACCCGCCCTCCGGAAACTCCCCCCCAGGCCTCCGCCACCACTCCCCAGCCCGCTGCTCCCTATGTTACTCCCCCCGCCTCCGCCCCCCCCTGCCCCTGCGCCCCCCCCACTCGAATTCGACGACCCAAAGGACTGGGGGGAGGGCAGGGGGAGCGCCATTCCGCCAAAGAGGGGCGCGGGGGAGCCAGGCACGCGGAGGATCCCGTGGGGGGACATGGGGGGGGAGGGAGGTCTGGGGAGGGGGGTTCCGGGCTGGCGGGGGGAGGGGAGGGGGTTGTGGGGGTTGGATTTGGCTGGGCGGAGCATGCCTTGGGGGGAGGCGGAATGGTTGGGGGAGGGGGATTGCTTGGGGGTGGAGGGTTGGGTGGAGGGTCGGCCTAAGGAACGGTTGGAGCTAGATCGGCCTAGGAGGCTGCTGCCTATCCGCTCGTTGGAAACCGGCTGCTGCTGCTGCTGATGCTGCTGCTGCTGTTGGTTCGGACCTGTTTGCTCCTGCGAGTGGCTTGAGGGCTGGCTGTGTCCGTGCTGCTGCTGCTGCTGCTGCTGTTGTTGCTGGTTGTGCTGGTTGTGCTGGTTGTGCTGGTTGTGCTGGTTCGGGCCTTGCAGAGGAGAGCTGGTGGACGGGCGGTGGTGGGGGGGAAGCGGGGGCGTGTGCGCCCGGTGCCTGTCATTGGACAACGAGCGCGAGATGGCGCTGTGCGCGAGGAACGCACTTCCGCCTCCCCCCCCACTCCCCGCGCTGTTGCTCGTCTGGGGCAGACCAGCTGCGCCCGCCCCTCCGCCTCCTCCTGCTGCGCTGAGGTCCCGAGCCTCTGAGACGATCGTCCCGCTTTTAGCTCCGCTGATACCCCCCCTAGGATTGTTCACAGCAACCCCTGAACCTGAACTTATACTGCCCCGAGTGTTGACACATCGACACTACTGCTCTCACCGCTCCCCATACTGCCATCTGCTGGGGTTGCTTCTGGTGCTTCTGCTGCTCCTGCTGCTTCTCCTGCTGCTGGTAGGCCGTCCGTGCTATCTCGAGCCTCAGCCGCATCCGCAACCGCCGCTACAGATGCAGGCGTGTTGTGAACAACAGACGTTTCCGCAGCAGCAGGATCAGCTGCAGCAGCACAATCAGCAGAAGAAACGGGAGCAGCTGCTGCTTCCGCTGAGGCGCCTTCCTCGCCTTCCCTCAGTCTCTGATGCGTAGAACGAGAACCATCGTCCTCATTACACCGGCTGCTAAAGCCGTGCTCTTGCCCCTCACCAGCCTCAGCTGCACGCCCGCTCTGCTCCGCCTCGCCCTCCCCTCCTTCCGCTGCTAACCTTCCGCCTCCGCCATCTGCTGCCTCCCCTGTGCCCTCATCCGCCGCACCAGCTTGCGCCTGTTGAGCCTCCGCGGCCTGTCCTTCCTCCGCCTTTTCCCCAGACGCATCAACGGCAGCTTCACTGGCGGAAACTGCGGGAACGGCGGGTTCAGGCGGCGACTCTTGCAGAACGACAGGCGGGTCTTGCTGGGAGGGCGCGACTGAATTGGCGGAGGAGGTGTCTTTCGCTAGGCTGGCGGACTCTATCGCAGGAGGCGCTGCTGCGACGGCTGCGGTCGTTGCTTGGGACGGTTTCGCGGGCTTCTCTGCTGCGGAAGGTGCTACTGCTGCAGGTGGTGCTGCTGGTGCTGTGGGTACTGATGGTGGTGCTACAGGCTTGGTAGGTGGGGGAGGTGGAGGGTTGTCTACTGCTGCAAGAGCCTTGGATCCCCCACACCCCATGGGCGACCCCTTGGCCTGGACCTAATTTACTTGAACAACTCTGCGGCTATCAAACGCTCGGAAGCCTGACAACACGGATGGTCCAGAGAAGGAGATTAGAGACGGCTGAATACGGTTCAGAATGCGCTGGCCGATGCTCTCAGCTCCATCGGCTGCATTCAGACAAGCGAGGGAATGGAAAACAGAATCGCTGCACTTACTCTGCTTCTGTTGTTTCTTTTTCAGCTGGACAACGGAATACTGTTGGAGCCGAAAAACTTATGATAAAGGGGGGAAGATTCGCGCTAGACGTGGAATCAGCGCGGCGCGGCGTCACACCGCCAAGCACCGAACGTCGCTCGAAAGAACAGCTACTACGGCAGAATGTATAATTCAATAATTGATTTTGAGATCGTTCTCCGGAAAGACACGACGATCAGGCAATGCGAGATATTCGTAGACAATTCTCTTCTTTCTGTAAGAAAGTGTTCGCTTTATGGGATTCTACAGAAACCCTCCAAATAGCAAAGGGAACGGCGCAAGAGAATGTGTATATAGTTGAGACTGGCGAGCATACCTATGAATTGTGTAGTTGTTCGGTCGTGGCTAGCAACCCAAGGATATTAGTGTCAGGATTGTCCATAACTACGTTAGTAATCTGCTTCACTTAATTATCGTAATTAGCTATGACGTGAGGAGCATAAGCACCACTAATTGAGAGAAATGTAGGTCAGATAGGCCTGTAGATTACAAGGTTGCTAACGAAGGTACCATCAGCAATGCGAGACTGGAAAGTATCATGACTTTCGCGAAACTGACTCGCAGCGTTTAGAAACCGTCAACCATGATCGCCTGAATAACAAAGGATGCATTTGTCATCATTTATCAAGTGTTGTTGGAAGAGCACAAGCTAGCTAGCGTAGAATGCGGAGAAACGGGTGGTGTGGTGTAGCTACGAAAGGTGTTGGGAGGTTCGTAAGCATCAAAGCAGGAGGGGAGGGAGGGGACAGAAACTAGGTTGCGCGGAAGGCAAAGGGGGCAAGGGGAAAGGAGAACGGGGAAGCGGAGAACCAGCAACTTTGGCAGTTTCTGGGAGGCGCTGCGGCGGAGCTGGCGGAGCTGGTTCGGCGGAGTCACGCAAAGTGAGAAGTGGTTTGTGGTGTGGAGTGGACGAGGCAGAGGGGCAGGGCGGAAAGGGGGCTCCAAAGGACGACGGCTCCGGGGAGGAGTGGCGGAGAACTTTCTCCCCCCCGCCAATGGCAGGGTACGGAGAAGATCGAGCGATGTGGGGTGGGGGGTGGGGAGGGGAGGGTGGAGAGGAGGGAACGGAGGGGGAAGAAGTGGGTTGAGGGGGGGACCGTAAGAGCCGCAGAGCCGTGTGAGACATCAGCGAGCTCCCCCGGGCGGACTCGCTTGTCCGCTGAGGTCTAGGTAGCTACATTCTGGGTAGACCTCATTCTGGCTCGCTCATCCTGGACTGAGGTCTAGGTAGGTCAACTGGCTACAGAAATGGAAGACTGCTTCCAGAGCTGCCAAAATCACATGATTGCGTTCGGTACCTAAACACCTAAAAAAACTATTAAGTGCACTGAGATTGTTTAGATACACATTCACATGTCTTCCAGTTAATGCGACAGACAACTTCTGTATTGAAACCCCACGTTTTAGACTTCGAGTTTAATTTTCACTTATCACTCGTTTGTAAAATACCCTCACTCAAGCAGTGTATAACATAGGGCTTTGCAATTGAATGACTCAATATCATATATATGTTGAGTCTTCCTCCTCAAGGGACGATTTTAACAAAATTTGCTGTGCATTTGAGGGGGGAGGGGAGGGGAGGGGGGATAGGGCAAAAGAAAAACACAACAGATCAAAGAAATTGCAGATATACAACAAAGGCAGGGCCAGCATGGTCATGAACATCTAATATAGATGGCAATGCAAGAAGAGTGAAAGTGGCACATAAGTGAACGAGAGTGTACCGTATATATGTACATATGCATCAACTAAGCAATGTACCTGTGTGCACGCGAGAGTGTATCGTATGTCTTCTGCTGTGATGTGGTAGTGTGTGACCATTCTGATCCTGAAAGGCGAAGGAGGAGGGCGGATAATAGAAAAGAGATATGACATAACTCCCACCTATCAAACCAACAACACATGAATGACAAGCCGATATTCAGAAGAAGCCGTTGCATGCAGGGTGAAGAAGACTCAAACGTTCTCTCATCGTTATGTACCGATACATTACTATGGAGAGAGGTGCGGTATACCACCCTCCAGCAACAATTCGGTCCACTCTACAGCATAACATTCCATGAAGCAAGCCACTGGAGCACTTTCAAGAGACGACTTTTGAGGCGCCTCAAAACCGCGAGACATGAGACGACTTTTGAGGTGCCTCCAATTTCGGTCCACTCTATTGCAGAACATTTCATTGAGCAAGCCGCAGAAGCACTTTCAGGTGCATACGAGACACTTTCGTTTGGACCAGGTGCTCTGCATGCACTCACTTGTTGTTGCTGCGCAGGGTGGTGGTGAGAATGTCAGCCTGCCGCAGAGCATTGCAGAGCTCCTCAGCTCCGTTGCTGAGGAGGCTGGCATTCTCACTCAGCTCTGCGGATGCATTGCATTGCGGAGCCATGCTTGTTGTTGCTGCAGAGCAGACCATTTCATTATTCCTAACTTGGCCAAACTAGCTCACTTGTTGTTGCTCCGAAGGGTGGTGAGAACACCAGCCTGCCGCAGAGCATTGCAGAGCTCCTCAGCTCCTATAGGGCAATCGGCCTTCACGTCCATTGTCACCTGAATAAAGCACAGATTAAGCGCACAGGGAATGTTAGAACGAATTCAACACGTATCAGGCTCTAGGCATGCTACGAATATAATCATATGTGATGCTGTGCTGTGCGCACAGCTCCTTGGCCCCGATGGGCAATTCACCCATCATCACATCCATTGTCACCTGAATGCAATACATAACAAGAGCACGGCCATGCTTTGTTTTGCTTTGTTTCTCTCCTTTTCTCTCCCCTTTTTGGTGGCAGATTGGGTGTCATTGAATCCACTATGTTGTCACTTTGAAGACCGGCATACTCACAATGTTGGTGTCCACTGTGCTGACATCCACAGCCAACCCATCCAATGTATCCAACCCCTCTGCACAGGCAGAAACATCCGGGAGGGATATTTGTTTTTTTTTGTTTGTTTTTTTTTTTTTTTGCATGAGGTGCCTCAAACATCAACAGCCAGCCCATCCAATGTATCTAACTCCTCTGCACAGGCAGCATAGCGGAGGGGGGAATAAGTGGAGAGGGGTGGGAGGGAGGAAGGGGAGGCAAAAAATCAGGGCGACGGATAATGCAAACTGCATGGCTCGTTAGTGCTCTCGGCTGAGCCGAGGAACCGACTCTTGAAGGGCCACCTGACCCGCTGCTGCTGCTGCTGCTGCTGCTGCTGCTGCTGCTGCTGCTGCTGCTGGCAATCAATTTACTCCCACACAAACAAGGACATCACAAAGTGCACACCACAGCATAGCACCATACCTGCGAGCTGCATGGCGCGCTGGTGGCCTCGGATGAGCCGAGGCACCGACTCCTGAAGGGCCACAAGCCCCGCTGCTGCCAGCACAAGTCATCACACCATTCCACACTTCCGCATCACACAATAAGTGCACTGTGCACACCAAACAAGCATCGTACCTGCGAGCTGCATGGCGCGTTGGTGGTCTCGGATGAGCCGAGGCACCGACTCTTGAAGGGCCACCTGACCCGCTGCTGCTGCTGCTGCTGCTGCTGCTGCTGCTGCTGCTGCTGGCAATCAATTTACTCCCACACAAACAAGGACATCACAAAGTGCACACCACAGCATAGCACCATACCTGCGAGCTGCATGGCGCGCTGGTGGCCTCGGATGAGCCGAGGCACCGACTCCTGAAGGGCCACAAGCCCCGCTGCTGCCAGCACAAGTCATCACACCATTCCACACTTCCGCATCACACAATAAGTGCACTGTGCACACCAAACAAGCATCGTACCTGCGAGCTGCATGGCGCGTTGGTGGTCTCAGATGAGCCGAGGCACCGACTCCTGAAGGGCCACCAGCCCCGCTGCTGCTGCTGCTGCTGCTGCTGCTGCTAGCACCAGCTATTCCTTCCCTCCCCACACACACACGAGTGCACACCAGAACAGCATACCTGCGAGCTGCATGACGCGCTGGTGGTCTCGGATGAGCCGAGGCACCGACTCCTGAAGGGCCACCACCAGCCCAGCCCCGCTGCTGCTGCCAGCACATGGCATTACTTCACTCCACACCACACAGGGGCATCACGTGTATGAAGAAGTGTTTCGAGACGTCTCAAAACACTTCTTCATACACGCTGCTGCTGCCAGCACATGGCATTACTTCACTCCACACCACACAGGGGCATCACAGATACATGCACACACCAGCGTGAGGTGAAGCATACCTGCTTCTAGACATCTTGAAGCATGTGCGCACAAGCACGGTAACATACCTGCGAGCTGCATGGCGCGTTGGTGGTCCCGGATGAGCCGAGGCACCGACTCCTGAAGCGCCACCACCCCCCTGCTGCTGCTGATGCTATGAGCACAGGCCATTGCAGCACTCGACACAGGGGACATCAATAATAAGTGCGGACAGCACCGTAGCATACCTGCGAGCTGCGTGGTGCGCTGGTGGTCCCGGATGAGCCGAGGCACCGACTCCTGAAGCGCCACCAGCCCCGCTGCTGCCAGCACGCCCACCTGCCGCATGCTTCCGCCCAGTGCTTTCCGTAAGCGACGGGCCTGTAGAGGGAGAACAGTGGGGGGGCATGGGGAAGGAGAAGGGTAGGAGTGTGGGTGCCTTGCCTGCCTGCCAGCACGCCCACCTGCCTCATGCTACCGCCCAGCGCCTTGCACAGGCGACCGGCCTTTGGAGTTAGAGTAGTGGGGGATTGAAGGGAGGAGGTTAGACGAGGGGGGAGGGCGGGAGATGGAGGGGATAGGTCGCGTTGGAGAGAAACGCTCCAGGACACCATGAGAACGCGATGCAGAGAAGAGCAGTGCACAGGACAGAGCAGAGCACAGGACAGAGCAGAGCACAGGACATATCACACAATTGCTCTGCCTGCTGCTGGCCACTTTCCAGGCAGGACAACAAGACGAACGAAGCCATGCAGAGCCAACGCATGCACAGCACGCACCAACACATGCACAGCACGCACCAACGCATTTCTAAGAATTCTCTAACACCCTGAAAAGAAAAGCAACATCAAAAGCGCACCTTGGCTATGAAGTCTACGAATCCCCCACAACCGCACAGCCTGCTGCCGGCATCAGGAAGAGAGATTTGATTGCTAAGCAGAGCCACTTCACGACAACGAGACGAAACGATGCAGGGACTACCAATGCACAGAGCGCACCTTGGCTATGAACTCCACGGATCCCACAATCACACTGCCTGCTGGCACTAAAGGGAGGGATGTGTGATTGCACCCCAACATGCCACATACTTCTAGAAAACCAATGCACCGCTGAAGAACGCACCTTGGCTATGAACTCCACAGATCCCACAATCACACTGCCTGCTGGCTGGCGCTAAAGAGAGGGATGTGTGATTGCACCCCGAAAACCCACATGCCCCTACCCTTTGCAACCAATGCGCCGCAAAACAGCACACCATACCTTGGCTATGAACTCCACAGATCCCACAATCACACTGCCCGCTGGCACTAAAGGGAGGGATGTGTGATTGCACCCCAACATGCCACATACTTCTAGAAAACCAATGCACCGCTGAAGAACGCACCTTGGCTATGAACTCCACAGATCCCACAATCACACTGCCTGCTGGCTGGCGCTAAAGAGAGGGATGTGTGATTGCACCCCGAAAACCCACATGCCCCTACCCTTTGCAACCAATGCGCCGCAAAACAGCACACCATACCTTGGCTATGAACTCCACAGATCCCACAATCACACTGCCTGCTGGCGCGCCCAGTCCTTTCGACAGACACACCTGCCACAGGCAAACAGGCAGGCACATCAGCAGGTGATACAAAAATTGTTCTGAGACGTCCCACAATCACACTGCCTGCTGGCGCGCCCCGGCCTTTCGACAGACACACCTGCCAGACAGGCAGGCAGACACATCAGCAGCGTCAGCAGTATGTAGGGCAAATTGCCACGTCAGCAGGTGCAGGCGAGCCAAGAATTCAGGAGTCAAGAAATTGACGACCCTAAGCACAGAGTAATCATGGAGGCCGCATCAAAGGCCCACATCAAAAGCACAGTATGCAAGAGACAAGAGAAGAGAACAAAGAAAGGTGGAACTTCCGTCCCTTGTCTACTCATGTATCTCTGCGATTCGCCGTTTTTCACAGAAACACTTTCCACTCACAGATACACTTTCCACTCACAGAAACACTTTCCACTCACAGAAACACTTTCCACTCACAGAAACACTGTGTGCGGGGCGAACCAGGCGGTCCACTGGTACCCTGAGAGCCTGTCAAGAACCGGGCAGGCAGGCAGAGAGAGAGAGGGGGCGTAGGGCGGACTGAGTGACTCAGAGCATGGGAGGACTGGAGCATGGGAGGACTGAGAGTGTGTACGGGGCGAACCAGGCGGTCCACTGGTACCCTGAGAGCCTGGAAAGAACCGGGCAGGCAGGCAGAGAGAAGGGGCTTAGAGCATGGGAGGACTGAGACTGAGTGACTAAGAGCATGTTAGGTCTGAGAGTGTGTGCGGGGCGAACCAGGCAGTCCACTGGTACCCTGAGAGCCTGCATGAGTTGAGTCAACAGCAGCAGGCAGAGAACAGACAGGGGGTGGTAAGGAATCCATCAGTAAAGCTTGAAAGCATGAGTGCATGGAGTGGAGAGACGAGACTTTTAAAGGGCAAAGTTCATGGAGTCTAGCAGATGCATACGTCATGCATGTTGATGTTACTTTTAAGAATTCTCAGAAGTAACATCAGCATGAGTGCATGGAGAGACGAGATTTTTGAAGGGCATCGTGCATGGAGTTTAGCGGATGCATACGTCGTGCATGAGTGGATGTGGATCATCATGGCCCAGGGAGGGGTCTACTTACGCGACATGCAAGGTGACTTTTGAGTCGACTCAAAAGTCACGTCGTGCATGAGTGGATGTGGATCATCAAGGCCCAGGGGTCTACTTACGCGACTTGCATGCGCTGCAAAACACTGCAGTTATTAATCTAGTAGACTAAGGAACCGGACAACGACGGCATGGGGGGGTGAGTGAAAGAGTGGAGTGGACCATGGCATGATGGCATCAAGGCATGATAGATCATGGCATTATGGCATGATGGATCATGGCATGATGGCATGATGGATCATGATGATGGCATTTCGGCATGACAAGATGCACGACGGCATGGGGTGATGAGATGCATGCTAAGCACATGGGATGCATGCATCACACAACAGGGCATTGCTACAAGTGCAAGCAAGGCTCTACTTGCCTTGCACAGCTCACAACTACAACGGTGAATGAAGCAACACATAATGCTTCGGACTCATGGCTCCTATTCCTCCGCCCAACTCACAAGAGCGGCGTTGAATATTCTCGCTCCGTCAATATGAAACTTGAGTCCGTACCACGATGCCAGCTCCGCCAGCCGCTCTGTATAGTCCACTGTTATGGCCCGTCCACCGCACCTGCAGACAAAGGGTACAGGGAGCAGCAGAGGCTATTGACAGGTGAGCGCCGTATGCCACAATGCCAGCTCTGCCAGCCGCTCTGTATAATCCACTGTTATGGCCCGCCCTCCGCACCTGAAAGCGAGAACGCAGGGGAGAGCATAGAAAGCAGCAGGCAAACGTTGAAGGCAGAAAGCACAGGGGGCAGGACAGGCTGGTGGCATTTGAGTTGAGCGTATACCAAGATATCAGCTCCGCCAGTCGCTATGATGATGTGACCTTTGAGAATTCTCAAAAGTCGCAGGACAGGCTGGTGACATTTGAGTTGAGCGTATACGTATACCCAGATATCAGCTCCGCCAGTCGCTATGTGTATTTCATGGTTATGGCCTGTCCACCGCACCTGAAAGGGAGAGAGTAGGGCAGAGGACGGACCAGAAGGCAGTGACGCTGTGCTTTTAACATAATATGACTGACTTACAGTGACACTGATATGAATGACGTTGGTGCTGATTTGAGTGACAATGAGGCTGGCGTGAGTGAGAAATGATACAGATATGACACTGAGACAGTGACATTGACACTGATAGGAGTGACACTGACACTGATAGGAGTGACATTGACACTGATAGGAGTGACATTGACACTGATAGGAGTGACATTGACACTGATAGGAGTGACATTGACACTGATAGGAGTGACACTGACACTGATAGGAGTGACATTGACACTGATAGGAGTGACATTGACACTGATAGGAGTGACATTGACACTGATAGGAGTGACATTGACACTGATAGGAGTGACACTGACACTGATAGGAGTGACATTGACACTGATAGGAGTGACATTGACACTGATAGGAGTGACATTGACACTGATAGGAGTGACATTGACACTGATAGGAGTGACACTGACACTGATAGGAGTGACATTGACACTGATAGGAGTGACATTGACACTGATAGGAGTGACACTGACACTGATAGGAGTGACATTGACACTGATAGGAGTGACACTGACACTGATAGGAGTGACATTGACACTGATAGGAGTGACATTGACACTGATAGGAGTGACATTGACACTGATAGGAGTGACACTGACACTGATAGGAGTGACATTGACACTGATAGGAGTGACATTGACACTGATAGGAGTGACACTGACACTGATAGGAGTGACACTGACACTGATAGGAGTGACATTGACACTGATATGGATGACATTGACACTGATAGGAGTGACATTGACACTGATATGGATGACATTGACACTGAATTTGATCATATGAATGGTATTGACACCGATATGAATGGCATTGACATTCGCATGAATGGTGTTAATGTTATGAAATTTGTTTTTCCTTTCTCGTCGTCTTTTCTGATAGCCAGTTCCACCTTCTTGAGGTCCATGGTGCCGTCCGCCTGCCCTGTTCACCACCATAATGTGCTGCCCTTCCCCTCCCCATGAATGAAAGACCCCTAGGACCTTCTGAGCCGACTCAAAAGGACCCCTAGGACCTCACCTGTTGTGGGTGTTTTCGAGGCAGATGAGTCTGGTAACCGGGTAATGCTCGTCGTCTTTTCTGATTGCCAGCTCCACCTTCTTGAGGTCCATGGTGCCGTCTGCCTTGTTCATCACCGTGCGTGGATGCACGCCCCCCAGTGTGGCCACACCACCTTGCTCGTATACACTGATGTGGGAGTCTGCACCCAAGATAACCTCACTGCCCCGCACCTGGGAGAACAGGGAGGGAGGGAGCAGGAAAGCAGCAGGAGAGTGGGAAGAGAGGGGTTGAGAAAGACAGGACAGCGAGGGGTAGAGGTTAGGGGGAGCAGACAGACTGCCAGCAACACCTTCTTGAGGTCCATGGTGCCGTCCGCCTTGTTCACCACCGTGCGCGGATGCGTTGAGGGGTTGAGAGGGGTTGAGAGGGGTTGAGGAAAGGTGGGGGGCCGAAATGGCCAGCTCCACCTTCTTGAGGTCCATGGTGCCGTCTGCCTTGTTCACCACCGTGCGTGGATGCACGCCGCCCAGTGTCGCCACCCCCCCCTGCTCGTACACACTGATGTGCGAATCCGCCCCTAAAATTACCTCGCTGCCTCGCACCTGTGCTAGTACGGAGGGAGTGGAAGAGCAGGACAGCGGGAAGAGAGGGGTTGAAGAAGTGGGGGGGACAGAGAGGGGATGAGGAATGGGGACAGGACAGCCAGCCAGCTCCAGCTTATTGAGGTCCATGGTGCCGTCCGCCTTGTTCATCACCGTGCGCGGATGCACGCCCCCTAGTGTGGCCACGCCCCCCTGCTCGTACACACTAATGTGCGAATCCGCGCCTAAAATCACTTCACTGCCCCGCACCTGGGAGAGCAGGGAGGCAGGGAAGCAGGGAGGCAGGGAGCAGGAGCGCAGCAGAAGAGTGGGAAGAGAGGGGCTGAGGAAAGGAGGGGACAGGGGGGCGTTGAGTAATGGGCGGAGCAGACACGCAGCCAGCTCCAGCTTCTTGAGGCCCATGGTGCCGTCTGCCTTGTTCACCACCGTGCGTGGATGCACGCACGCCCCCCAGTGTCGCCTCGCCACTCCCCCCTGCTCGTACACGCTGATGTGTGAATCCGCCCCCAATATCACCTCGCTGCCCCGCACCTGTTGTGGTTGTGGGGGAGAATCGAGCGAGTGGGGTGGAGAGGGGTTGAGAGTGGGGAGACAGGGAAGTGGGGCGCGGATGCACTCCCCCTAGTGTGGCCACGCCCCCCTGCTCGTTTTGAGACGTCTCAAAACCACTCCCCCTAGTGTCACCACGCCCCCCTGCTCGTACACACTGGTGTGTGAATCCGCCCCCAAAATCACCTCACTGCCTCGCACCTGGAAGAGCAGGGAGGCAGGGGGCGGAACAGCAGGAGAGTGGCATATAAGCACGGTGCGTTATAACGCATACAAGCAGTAAGCACACACACACACGCACCTCGCAGAGCACCATAACGCGTACAACGCGTACAAGCTAGCACGCACGCACCTCGCAGTGCACGAGCACGCAGATGAGGTTCATCATGGTGCCCGACGGCATGAACAGCCCCGCCTCCTTCCCCATCATCGTCGCCACCTGCCCCTGAAGCCTGTCATGGTGCCGTGTTCACTGCTCAGTTGGGTGTTCACGGTAAGAAGAAAGGGCTGCACGCACCTAGCAGTGCACCATAACGCGTATAACGCGTATAGAGGCCCACACACACCTCGTAGTGAACCAATACGCGTATAACGTGTATAGAGGGCTGCACATACCTCGCAGTGCACGAGCACGCAGATGAGGTTCCCCATGGTGCCCGACGGCACGAACAGCCCCGCCTCCTTCCCCATCATCTGCGCCACCTGCCTCTGCAGCCTGTCCACCGTCGGATCTATCCCGATGACGTCATCGTCCACCTCAGCGTTCTTCATCGCTTCCCGCATCGCGCCGGTGGGTTTGGTCACCGTGTCGGACCGCAGGTCCACCACCCGTCGCGCCGCGGCTTTAGAGAGCTCCGCGACTCCCGCCGTCGAACCCGCTCCCGCCTGCGCAAGCGCCCCCGCTTCCGCTGCGCCGCCCACGGACATCCCCCCGCCGGCGCCGTGCGGATGATCTCCGCCGCCTGCGCTCATGGGGGGCCCATGCGCGGGCGGCGGAGCGGCTGCTCCCCCGGTGGCCCGATTGGCGGAATGTGGTCCGCCGGGTGCTGACGTGGACTGCATCTGGAAGCTTCTGCGACGCTACCCAACCTCTTCTCTCCTACAGCTACTGGCGTCGCTGAGGGTAGTAACAAGGTACGGAACGAAGCAGTTTATGCGCTTCGCCCTAATCTGCTATTGTGCGATGTAATGTGGCGTCCCGCTACCGGCGTTGCTGAGGGAGAAGTGTACGGACAGAGGCAGTCTGTACGCCTCGGGTAGGAAAAGGGCAATCTCCACGTTTCAGCGTTAGCCTCTATTGTGCGATGCGAAGTAATGCGGCGTGAACGGCGCCCCCATTTCAGACCTGACTAGGGACCAAGGGGAAACAAATTGAAAAGTCGAAGTGAACTAGCCTCCGACCGCATTAAACCGCTTCTCATGTAGATGAAACACCGCATACCGCATGTGCTTTACAATGAAAGTGTAAATGAAATGCTTCACATTGAATGTACCGGTAGTAAAAAAAGCATCAGCTGATACATATGGGGCCCATAAATATCCTGTCTCAACAGAATACCCTTTCACAACTTATGCCAAATTTTAGAAAGTTTAATCCCATTCTGTTCAAATCCAACCAAAGCATGAACCCTCTTGTGACCCACAATCTTCCTCCAAAGAAAAATCCTAATTCTCTGGTGGAACAACCTGGGAGCCTGCTGCAGCCTCTCCTGGTGCATTTTCCTCCGGCAGAGGGACTATAACAGCTGGCATTTTCAACAGTGCCTGCTCCTCTCCTACTGTAGCCTCCTGCTCCGAACCGACAGTTGAATCAACTCCCAGAAGGTAGGGACCATGGTCATTTGGAATAGGAACAAGGGCACTGGATTCAGCACCATCAGGCATGGGTGCAACACCCTGGGATCCTGCTACTGCAGCCTCCGCAGGAGCTGCTTCTTCTGGCAGAGCAACATAAATCTCTGGCACAAGCACATCCTCATTGCCTGTTGGAGCCTCCCCAGGTGGAATGGCAGCATCAGTCCCCAGAAAGTAGGGACCATGGTCATTCGGCACCTGATCGTCATTCGCCACCTGATGGTCACCTTTAACCTTTGCCTGCCTCAACCAGGCACTTGGAACAGGACCACCAGAACCACTGGATTCAGCACCATCAGGCATGGGTGCAACACCCTGGGATCCTGCTGCTGAAGCCTCCCCAGGTGCTGCTTCCTCTGGCAGAGCAACGTAAATCTCTGGCACAAGCACATCCTCATTGCCTGCTGGCGCCTCCCCAGGTGCTGCTTCCTCCGGCTGAGGGACAAGAACGGCTGGCACCGGTTCATTCTCATTGCCTGCTGGAGCCTCCTCTGAACCCACAGCTGGAATGGCAGCATCAGTCCCCAGAAGGTAGGGACCATGGTCATTCGGCACCTGATCGTCATTCTCCACCTGATTGTCACCTTTAACCTTTGCCTGCCTCAACCAGGCACTTGGAACAGGACCAGAACCACCAGAATCAGCACCATCAGGCATGGGTGCAACACCCTGGGATCCTGCTGCTGGTGCCTCCCCAGGTGCTGCTTCTTCTGGCAGAGCAACGTAAATCTCTGGCACAAGCACATCCTCATTGCCTGCTGGAGCCTCCTCCTGTGAACCCACAGCTGGAATGGCAGCATCAGTCCCAAGAAGGTAGGGACCATGGTTATTCGGCACCAGATCGTCATTCGCCACCTGATGGTCACCTTCAACCTTTGCCTGCCTCAACCAGGCGGTTGGAACAGGACCAGAACCACTGGAGTCAGCACCATCAGGCGTGGGTGCAACACCCTGCGACCCTGCTGGAGCCTCCGCAGGCGCTGCTTCTTCTGGCAGAGCAACGTAGATCTCCGGCACTAGCACATCCTCATTCCCCACTGGAGCCTCCTCCTCTGATCCCACAGCTGGCATGGGATCGGTCTCCAGGAGGAAGGGACCATGATCGTTAGGCTGAGGATCGTTGGGCATCTGTGCTGGCCTCAACCAGGAGTTTGGAACAGGAGCGGTAGCAGCAGCGCTAGAAACAGCTCCATCCGGCTCATTGCCTGCCTCCTCATCACCACCATTCACAGCAGACACAACGACCAGGGGGTCGATGGACGGCTCAGATGTCACAGCAGCGGAGCCATCTGACGGCTCAGATCCCACGGCTGTTTGGACAGGAGGCGGATGTTCAGCTGCTGGGACAGGGAAGAACTGGCTAGATGCTGAGGATTGCAGCGCATTGTGTGCGGAAGTTGGTCCATTCGGGTTGACTAAATTCGCCTTCAACACCCGTGCTGCCTCTGCTGGTGCACACTCCATCATGCCGAACGCCAGCAGCAGTGACAGAAACAGAAACGGAAGGAAAGACTTTTCGAGCCTCCTCAGAGTCGCAGTGCTAGAACCCATGATTGCTGTTGAAGATGGCTACAGATAGGTGCCTCTCAAGTGGTCCTGCGTTATCGGGGAGAGTTGCTGGCAACTGGAATGCTTCGGGGTTGTGTTTTTTGAGCTGGCTGACGAATGAGACGGACGGTGAGCTTTATGGGACATGGAATGACGTTACTTTCTTTTCTGATTTCGAACCGCACGCGGCACGTTCGGCGAGACTGAGACAGTCTCGAATCGCCTTAGATACTCGCACCGACACGATGCGACAGGCCGACATTGCAATGAATGACTGGTCAACTGCGTATTGCGAAAGGCTGACTTGCTGATCGCACGAAGGATCACTCTAACCCGACAGACAGCAATGCCGTGGCGCTTCGGTTCATCAACCTAAATTCCTAGTCGAAGCAACAGCATTACACCCTCACTAACACAGGCTACGGAAAAAACGCACTCAACGGGATCGCTCATTGATTGCTCGATGATGTTGGGGTCCCGACAGCCTGGCACACTGCAGTACATACTAGGCGAATCTCCCTCCCCAGCATTGTATGTTCGAGTTCGAATTCGTCAGTCAGGTAACACATTGCGACGACCATGTCGCCTGGCGCTGCTTGCCTGCTCGCAGGCTGCGAGCCTGGCCACGCGGAAGAGCCACGCAGCTCGACCAATCGCCAGGCTGGAAGTGGTGGTGATAAGATCACAGGAGCTGGACCGAGAGTATACGCGGTTCCGTAGGTAAGTCGATAGCCAGTGGAGGGTGGACGTGAAGAGGGAAAGCCGGAGGCCGTAGATTGGAGTACTGTAGCGCTCCTCCCAATCCAACGGATAGGTAGGATGAGGTTGACGGTGCGGAAGGCGAGGAGGAGGTCGACGGAACCACCGCAGAAACAGGGGATGGCGTATTGTTCGATACTGAGGGCTTCAATAATGAGCACGATTTCATCCCAGCGTGAAAGTCGTCTACACTACCCTGAGATGGTAGTAGGAAGATGTTGAGCGAGGGATTGTGGTGAACCTTCCAACAATATGTATACAAATGCATAAAACTCCTGAACAATCTCAAATCAGACATTACACCGCATAACATGAAAACATGAGATTGGCAATCAGATGCTGCCATTTGTACGAGTGCTTGCATTATTGTCCCAACAGCCACCTTCATCTCATATGATCCAGCCGTCATTGCCTGGGGGCGGGAGCTCAGCTCGCTTCTGCACTGTGGGTGCGGCGAGTGCTCTATCCATATCGAATCGGACTTCTAATGTGCGAAGACTGTAGCCGACCACCATTAACCAATAGAGCAGCTTCGCCAGCTCGGTCACTGTAGTCTCTGATGCCACGGACTGGGAGTAAATTTCATATGGAGATAGTGAGAAATGGTAAGAAACACACTTGAAGTGGAGACAAATACGAACAAATGCACACATCTATGAACACAAGTCAAGCACACACAAATGGGCATGCAACTTGCCAGCTCAATCACTGTTGTCGCTGATCCCCCCCTCTCACCTAAATCTCCCCCCTCCTCGCCTTCATCTCCCCCCCCCTCTCACATACATTCATTCCCCCCCCTCCCCACCCTCATCTCCCCTTTCACAGCTTCATCTCCCCATTCTCACCTTCATTTCCCCCTCCCCACTTTCATCTCCCCCCTTCCCCAGCCCCACCTCACCCTGCTCTCCCATCCCCTCACCTTGATCTCCCCAACATCAGGGACGCCTAGCAGCCGTTGGATGAACGCATTCATGGCTGCCAGTGCATCGTCATCCGCATTGGCTGTCAGCTCCTGTTGGGGGCGGAAAAGGAGGGATGGAGGGGTGTGCGAAGTTGGTGGATGGCTGGGGAAACGGGCTTTAGAACCCTGCTGCCAGTGCATCGTCATCCGCACTGGCTGTCAGCTCCTGTTGGGGGCGGAAAAGGAGGGATGGAGGGGTGTGCGAAGTTGGTGGATGGCTGGGGAAACGGGCTTTAGAACCCTGCTGCCAGTGCATCGTCATCCGCACTGGCTGTCAGCTCCTGTTGGGGGCGGAAAAGGAGGGATGGAGGGGTGTGCGAAGTTGGTGGATGGCTGGGGAAACGGGCTTTAGAACCCTGCTGCCAGTGCATCGTCATCCGCACTGGCTGTCAGCTCCTGTTGGGGGCGGAAAAGGAGGGATGGAGGGGTGTGGGAAGTTGGTGGATGGCTGGGGAAACGGGCTTTAGAACCCTGCTGCCAGTGCATCGTCATCCGCACTGGCTGCCAGTGAATCATCATCCGCACTGGCTGTCAGCTCCTGGGAGAGGCGGAAGAGCAAGGAAGGGGAGAGAGGAGGGGGAAGGTGGGCGGGCGGGAATGTGTGGGTGCGAAGGGAAGGGGACCAGAAGGAATTGGCTGCCAGTGCATCGTCATCTGCACTGGCTGTCAGCTCCTGTGAGGGGTATAGCAGAGAGCGGCATTGGATATGAGCAAGGAAGAGAAGAAGGGAGGCATACCACATGGTCAGCAGCACATCCCCAGCCGCACATCACCACTGCTATCAGCTGTTGACAAATCATCGTCTGTCTCTCTTGACTCCTTCCCCTCAATTTACCCAACACCTTCTCAATCCGCTCTGCACATTTCTCTCTGCTCTCTGCACTCTGCACTCTGCTCTCTGCACTCTGCACTCTGCTCTCTGCTCTCTGCACTCTGCTCTCTGCTCTCTGCACTCTGCTCTCTGCTCTCTGCACTCTGCTCTCTGCTCTCTGCACTCTGCTCTCTGCTCTCTGCTCTCTGCTCTCTGCTCCTTGCTCTCTGCTCTCTGCACTCTGCTCTCTGCTCTCTGCACTCTGCTCTCTGCTCTCTGCTCTCTGCTCTCTGCTCTCTGCTCTCTGCTCTCTGCTCTCTGCTCACCACTCCCATCTCTCTGCTCACCTGTATATTCTGCGGCTCCAATCCCTTCAAATACTCCAGAAGCGCATTCCCACTGCCTCCCCCACCCACTCGCGCCAGTCTCGCCTCCTCCTCCTCCAGCCGTCTCTTCAGCGCCCGAACCTCTCCCTCTAGAAGCTCCACATAGTCCACCGCAGGCACCCGAACCACCCGCTCAGCCTCGGCGTCCCACCGAAGCACCTCCCCTGCCACGTGCGTCTTTTGCACCGGACCCAGAGGTAAGGCGTTGTCAGAGGGAGGCTGGGATGGGAGGGGCGGGGTAGAAAGGAAAGGAGGGAGGGAGGCAGTGGGGATCTTGTTATGCATGTCCACGAATGCATGTCATGGGAGCACATGTGCAGTGCATGTGCACATGCACATTCTCATGCGTATAAATGTGAGGGGGCATGGCCTTGCTTACACCCATTTGTATGCCCATGGCCACACAAGCAACATACCCACGGGGACACCAAATCAGAGCCACTGCCACTGCCACTGCTGCTGCTGTTGATGCTATTGCTGTTAAGACGCCTCAAAATCCATGCCATGGGCACACAATCAACAACTTACCCACAAGGACAATGATCCAAACTCTGACTCACTGCCACTGCCAATGCTGCTGCTGTTGCTGCTGCCCCTTTGTCTGTCCGAAGCAGTAGAGGATGGCGATGCTGGTAGGGCCCATGCCCAGGCCCATGCCCATGCCCATGCCTATAGGCTCATGCTTAGGGCGATGCCTATATGCCATGCTTATGCCCACGCACATGCACCTAAAAAGGCAACTTACCCACGGGGACACCGATCCAGAATCAGAGTCACTGCCACTGCTGCTGCCGCTGCTGCTCCCCCTCTGCCTGTCTGAAGACGTAAAGGCTGACGATGCTGGTAGTGGTTGAGGCGACGTGGAGGAAGAGGAGGAGGAGGAGGAGGAGGAGGAGGAGGAAGGGATGTGAGGAGGGAAGGAGGAGGGGAAGGAGGTAGAAGAGGAGGAGGGGGAGGAGGAGGAGGAGGCAGCGGGGAGGGCGACGGCGCCAGCGAAGGAGGAAGAGAGTTCGAGGCGGTACTGCGCGTTGCGGAACATGTAACCTGTCATCATCACGCTGAACATGAGCTGCGCAAGATTCTCCCCCACCTGCCAGGTTGAGTTGAGATTGAAACAAACTGCATTAGGACCCAACAGGAACATGTAACCGGTCCCCATCACAAAGAACAGAACATCAGCTGAGCCAGGTTCTCTTCTCCCCCACCTGCCGTGCATAGTTGGGGACACAAATAAGGCCCAATTTCACACCTCACCCTGCCCATGCATTACGGAACATGTAAACCGTCATCATCACACTGAACATTCGCTGAGCCAGGTTCTCCCCCACCTGCCGTGTATGGGGAGATAATGTGGAGATTTTTTTGTGAGGGGAAGAGATGAAAGAACTGGTGGCAATGGGCCGCATTACAGCACGAAACGAACATCTTGCCCAAGTAAGCATTCCCCTCCCCCCTCCCCACCACCCCTGTGGAGATTTTTTTTGTGAGGTTGAGAGATGAAAGAGCAGGTGGCAATGGGCAGCATTACAGCACGAAACGAACATCTTGCCCCAGCAACAATTCCCCGCCCCCCTCCCACCACCCCCCACCGCACCGTACCGTTGTGACGGTGACTTCGAAGTACTGTGGTGGCAGCGACCCCAGCATGTTGCTCACAGTCTGTCTCATTGCATCCACCAACTGGTGTGAGATGAAGAAAGGGGGGACGGGGAAGGGATGGGACACGGATGGGGGCAGGCAGGCAGGAAGAAAGGAGGCAGAAGGGTTGGGAAGCGACCCCAGCATGTTGCTCACAGTCTGTCTCATTGCATCCACCAACTGGTGTGAGATGAAGAAAGGGGGGACGGGGAAGGGATGGGACACGGATGGGGGCAGGCAGGCAGGAAGAAAGGAGGCAGAAGGGTTGGGCAGCGACCCCAGCATGTTGCTCACAGTCTGTCTCATTGCATCCACCAACTGGCGTGGGTGGAAGGAAAGGAGCAGGGAAGAAGGGTAGGGACAAGGACGGAAGCAGGCAGGAGGAAAGAACGAAGGCAGGATGGTTGAGCAGTGACCCCAGCATGTTGCTCACGGTCTGTCTCATCGCATCCACCAACTGGCGTGGGTGGGTGGAGTGGAAGGACGGAGGAATTTGGCAGGTTCAAGGGGGGACGAAAGCGGCAGGTTCAGCGAACCCAGCCCAGCAGGTTGCTCATGGCTGCCCCTTCTGCGTACATAAACACATCCTAGTCTAGTCTAGTCACAGACTGCCTCACCACACACGCTCATTTACCTCACTCGTGGTTCGGCGTGCTGGAAGAATTTCTCCATGAAGTCTGGCTGCACGCCCCTCACGTACTCACACACACTCACATGCACGCTGCTGCTGCTGCTGCTGCTGCTGCTACTGCTGCTGCTGCTGCTGCTGCTGCTGCTGCTGCTGCTGCTGCTGCTGCTGCTGCTGCTGCTGCTGCTGCTGCTGCTGCTGCTGCTGCTGCTGCTGCTGCTGCTGCTGCTGCTGCTGCTGTGACTTCACACAATGCAGTGGCTCCCTGCTGTGGCAACCCAGCACTCACCTGCGGCTCCGCGTGTTGGAAGAATTTCTCCATGAAGTCCGGCTGCACGCCCCTCACATACTCCACTAGCAGTTGCCTCCGTGTCTGCCCTCCCATGGGCGAGGTGGGACCTGGCTGCTGCTGCAAGCAAGAAGGAGAAGGGTGCACAATGGTACAGTATGGTACGGTAAAGTTACAGTATGGTATGGTAAGCGTGGCAGGCACGCATAGGCTACACGCCCCTCACATACTCCACCAGCAGCTGCCTCCGTGTCTGCCCTCCCATGGGCGAGGTGGGGCCTGGCTGCTGCTGCAAGAAAGCAGGGAGGGAGGGAGAGAGGGAGGGTGCAGGGAGCACGGTAGGCAATCGCACGGTATGGTACGGTATTGTGCGGTGCAAAGGGCGGCACGCCTAGATGCACGCCCCTCGCATACTCCACCAGCAGCTGCCTCCGCGACTGCCCTCCCATGGGGGACGTGGGGCCTGGTTGCAATGGCTGCTGCTGCAATGGAGGGAAAGAGGGAGCAAGGTAGGTAATGTTACAGAACGGTATGGTGCGGTGCAAGGGGTGGCATGCATAGGCTGCACGCCCCTCACATACTCCACCAGCAGTTACCTCCGTGTCTGTCCCCCCATGGGGGAGGAGGGGCTGGCTGCTGCAGCAAGGGAGGGGAGGAAGCAGGGCGGGTGATGGCATGGTACTGTATGGGATGGTACGGGTACGGTACAACGCGCACCCCCTACGTGTAATGAGTCATGTTTTGAGTCGACTAAAAACACGACTCATTACAAGGGAGGGGAGGGAGCAGCGCGGGTGATGGCATGGTACTGTATGGGAGGTACGGGTACGGGTACGGGTACGGTACAACGCGCACCCCCTACCCACGACCGCAAACTTCTGCACCCCATAACCACACACACGGTAACCACACACGTGGTAACCACACACGTGGTAACCACACTCACGTCATCCGGGCCTGCTCGTAACCGCCCCACGCGAACCCTTCTCCCGCCGCCATTCCATCTCCCGGCGGCCTCTCCGCCACTCCTGAGTCGCCACGTGGTTCCCTTCCAACTGCTACACCGAACCCGTGCTTCCTGGCCGTGTCTGGCAAGCCGCGAAACACTTCCGAGCGCCCCGGAAGACGCACCAGAAGAAACCGTGCGCCACGTCAGCTGACACGTGCCAGCGGCGAATGCTGCGGACATGATCTACTGCGGAGGGAGACGCGAGTCGGGTGTTGTCTGCAAGATGGAACTTTTGACTTCAGTTGACTCAATGACTAGGCTCGTATGAATGTCGTACCAAGGTCGTACGAAGGTCAGTATCGGTGTCGCCAAGACGTTCACTAGTGCTGCTTTAACAAAGGCATGTGCTCCCAAGACCTAGTAATACTATTAGACTCGTACGCGGTGAAGGCTAATGCTGCGAGCGGTGCTTCCTCGGGAGGCCTTGAGAACAACGCTACGTCGGAGCCGATGCCGCGCGGTGCACGTGGCGAAACAGAATAACTCGTTGCTGTTTTTTACGACTGCTTAGTTGAGCAGCATGTAGGTATGTGCCGAAGGAGTAAAGGGAAAGCACGGAAGGTGAAAGTGCATGAAAGTTGTTACAACCCTGTAAGACATATGAGTAAGCAGTTGTTACAAATATCTCAAACAGGGTTTGTTTATATCGCATCACCGAACCAAACATTGCTTCACACATGCATCACCTCATCCCATCGCATGCATTTGCGTTTGCGAAGCTTTCTCGAATCTCGTCAACCTCGTGAATTAGGAGGTTACGATACAAACCATGTGGTTCTCGAGATTCGCGCTGGTAAACAGTGTCTCCGCTTTCTGAACGCTTGTTACCGCAACAGACCGATTAATACCGTGGCGTTTGTAAACTTGAAGCTTGAAACCACACCGACTGACGAGAACCCATTACCTACCAATTGCCACACTTTGCCATGTGGTTAGCTCACTCTTACAAGTTTACTGTAAACCAACTTGTGTTATTTCTTTGACAGGCAGAAGTTTCCTTGTCTTTCGCCACGTCATCCACAATGGCGACCCTGCCGCGGTTCGACTTCGGCTTCGCCTTCCGAGAACCTTCCTTTTCTGACTGCGTCCTTCGCCTTGTGATCGAGACACATTCAACAGGTACGAGGGTGCCTCTAGGTGTATTTTCCGCTGATTCTGCAGGGTGTTTTTGAGAATTCTCAAAAACACCCTGCGGGTGCCTCTAGGTGTATTTTCCGCTGATTTTAATTCGTCCCAACGTCGAGGCGTACCTTCACTGATTCTATTCGTCTTCACATTTTGAGGAGAAAAGGAGATGTCTCAAGCCTCAGGAATTGACTTGTGGTTCAGCCACTCTCCGCAATAAAGCGTGTCTCTAAGCATGTATCTTCACTTACGGATTTGCGTCATTTGTTCCTATGTGATGCCCTCGTGATCTCTCTTCCAGGATTGCATGACATTTCACCTGCAACGGGCTCAGCAAGTTCTGCCAAGGACAGAGAGGAAAACGATAGCTCAGCAGCAGCAGCAGCAGCAGCAGCAACAAAAGTCTCCGAGCCTCTCCAAAAATCAACGCGTGCTGCTGCAGCTGCTGCTCCTGCCGCTGCCGGCGCCGCTGACCCTCCCGCTGCTGGTGCCTCTCCTCCAGAAACATCTACTGCTGATGCTGCTTCGCGAGCGTCACTCCCCCCTGCTGACCCGCTGACTCGGGACGTGCCAGCAGCGTCAGTGGTTCTGGCGTCCAAATCGACCTTCTTCCGCGCTCTCTTCACCAGCGGGTTCAGTGAGACTCTCGACCGCCGGCTCGTGCACATCCACCTGACCGCTCAAGGTATGTCTGAGGTGTGGGGGTGCAGCTGCCGCTGCTTTGCAAGCATCAACGTTCCCTGCCGAGCCGTTGATGCGGGATGTACCTGCAGCGTCGGTGGTTCTGGCGTCCAAATCGACCTTCTTCCGCGCTCTCTTCACCAGCGGGTTCAGTGAGACGCTGGATCGACGGCTCGTGCACATCCACCTGTCTGCTCAAGGTATGCGTGCATGGCTCGAGGATTTAAGTGGCACTCACACATTAAGTCGACCTTCTTCCGCGCTCTCTTCACTAGGGGGTTCAGTGAGACACTCGATCGACGGCTCGTGCACATCCACCTGTCTGCTCAAGGTATGCGTGCATGGCTTGAGGATTTAAGTGGCACTCACACATTAAGTCGACCTTCTTCCGCGCTCTCTTCACTAGGGGGTTCAGTGAGACACTCGATCGACGGCTCGTGCACATCCACCTGTCTGCTCAAGGTATGCGTGCATGGCTTGAGGATTTAAGTGGCACTCACACATTAAGTCGACCTTCTTCCGCGCTCTCTTCACTAGGGGGTTCAGTGAGACACTCGATCGACGGCTCGTGCACATCCACCTGTCTGCTCAAGGTATGCGTGCATGGCTTGAGGATTTAAGTGGCACTCACACATTAAGTCGACCTTCTTCCGCGCTCTCTTCACTAGGGGGTTCAGTGAGACACTCGATCGACGGCTCGTGCACATCCACCTGTCTGCTCAAGGTATGCGTGCATGGCTTGAGGATTTAAGTGGCACTCACACATTAAGTCGACCTTCTTCCGCGCTCTCTTCACTAGGGGGTTCAGTGAGACACTCGATCGACGGCTCGTGCACATCCACCTGTCTGCCCTTTGGGGCATGCATGCATGGATGGATGGCATGGTGTGGTGCGTTGTGCCGGGCCGTTAACTCGGGACGTGCCAGCAGCGTTGGTGTGGTGTGATATGGTGTGGCGTGGCGTGGTACGTTGCGGTACGGTGTACAAGGTTTACGCTGTGGTACACAAGATTCCATGCATTCCTGTCCGGACGACGCTCGGGCTAAAATACACATCACCTTGAGGAACGGCCCTGTGCGTCGCCCAATCAGAGATGCATGGAATCTTGTGAACCACACCACCTCACACCACACTAAACCAACCACACCACACTACACCACTCCATACCACACTACACCTTACCACACATAAAAACAAAAGGTGCAAGAACCTAGAACAATCAAGTTCGCTGAATGGTGTGGTTTGGCATACACCAAATGGTCCTTCTCAGGAGCCTCTTATGATATTTTTTTTTATCATTCTCTTCTTCTCTCCCCATTCTCTCCCCATTATCTTCCAACCCAGAGGAGCCGCTGATGATGGAGCTGCTGCAGTTCATCTACCAGGGCACTCTCCCCCCCGATACAGTCACATCCTTTGAGCGCACACTGCAGCTGCTCCTGCTGGCAGACCGCTTCGGAGTGGACGAGGGCATCGCCACCTGCTCCTCCCTCCTCACCTCCCTCACCTCCCTCACCTCCCTCACCTCCCTCCCTCCCCACCCCTCCTCCTCCTCCTCTGTCCCCTCTCTCCCTGCCTCTGCCTCTGCTTCCTCCACTGCTCCACCGTCCGTCCCACCCAACAGCACCATTTCTGCCGCCACAGCAACCCTATCTCAGCCAACAAACCCTCCAACCCCATACATCGCCACCACCTCTACCACCACCACCTCCTCTTCCTCTTCTTCCTCCTCCTCTTCCTCTTCTTCCTCCTCCTCTTCCTCCGCCGCCCACACTCCCTCCTCCCTCACCACTCAGCAGGCGCTACTCGCACTCTCTCTCCCGCCATCTCTCCGCCTCAACCCACTCCTCACGCCCCTCATCTGCGCCTCCCAGGCTTGCGTTGTGTACCGCTATGGACCGCTCTTCAACTCCTTCCACTTCAGCACCCTTCTTTGCAACACCCTTCATCCCAACTCCCTTCATACCTCCTCCCTGCAGTCCAACGCCCTTCACCAAAACCACCTTCACCACATCACCCTTCACTCCACCAACCCCCACCCAAACCAACCCGCCTCTGCAAACGAGCTCCTCACTCTCCCTGAGGCTGGCATAAGAGCCCTCCTAGAGTCCGACGAACTACCCGTGGATTCCGAAGAGTCTGTCTATTGCGCCCTCATCCTTTGGGCCCGGCACAGATTCCCGGGCGGCGAACTGGATTCTCGAGAAGAACAGAATCCAGCTGGCGAAGTGGGTCCGGGCGGCGAAGTGGGGTTCTGTGGGCAGCACGCGCGCGCAGGGGCAGGGGTGGCGGAGAGGAGGGCGGCAGTGGGGAGGCTGGTGAGGGAGGTGCGGTGGGCGTGGGTGGGGGCTAGTTTTGTGCGGTCGGTGGTGGTGGGGTTGGAGGAGATGCAGAGTGAGGAGGCGAGGGCAGTTGTGCTGGAAGGGCTGTTTGCTGCTGCTCACAGGGGGGATGCTTATAGGGGGGATTCGAGCTCTGGTGTTAGCACTCACAGTGTTCAGCACTCGTGGTTACTATCACCACCACCGTCATTGTTCCTTCCGCATGGCGGTTCACTTCCTCCTCTTTCTCTTCTTCCTCCTCTTCCTCCTCCTCTTCCTCCTCCTCTTCCTCCTCGTGTTCCTCCTCCCGGCAGCTTATCGTCTGGCGCCACTTACACCACACCTCCTGCTTTCGCTAGCACAACAAGCTCCACCATTTCCTCTTCCTCCTCCTCTTCCTCCTCGCCCTATGCTTCCTCCTTCCACACACATTCCTCCCTTTCCACCTCCACTTCCCACCAACAATCACAATCTTCACTCATCCTTCCTCCTTCACCCAACCCCTACTCTTGGTCGTCCCCTTCACTCAACCCCCCCTCTTACTCTCCTTCCCCCGCCTCCAATTCCTGGTCTCGCCCCCGCAACTCCTACCGCCCGCCACGCAAGTCCCTCTTCCTAGAAATTCCCTTCAGCCAGTGCCAGGGCTGGACCCCATCCGTCTCCTTCCAGGCAACTTCCGGCCTGTTCTGCATTGCCGGTCGCTGGTTCACCCTTAATGCGAAGCTGGAGTGCCAGAAGGAGCTCGGGCTGAGGTTCGGGTTGTTTCTGCGCTTAGATAAGCACGCCACTTTTCCAGGCGTTGCTGCTGAGAGTGTGAACTGCCAGTACCGGTTCTGTGTGAAAATGGATCTGGGGGGGAGAGCTGATGGGGAGAGTTGCGTTGGTGGTGGTAATGCTGTGAATGGTACTGCACTGCTGCTGCTGTCCAAGCTGCTGCTGCAGCAACCAGTGCACCTGGGCTTAGTTCGCATAGGAGCGAATCAGCAGCTGCTGCTTTTGCTCCTGCTACTCCCAGTGCTGATGCTGGCGGGATGGGGGTTAGCAGTGTCAGTGGTTCAGTGGGGTACTGCGTGGTGAAGTCTCGCAGTGGATGTGTTTTCTCAGAGCCGTACCATGGGTGGGGATCAAGAGATTTATTTAAGAAGCCATGGGATGAGGTGCTTGCGGCTCCTGATGTGTTCTTTCCTGAAGGTGCCATGCATTTTCGGGCAGACATTTGGATTGACTAGTGCCTTGTGTCCTCAAAGTGCATGTATCTTCAACGCCATATCTATTTGTTGAATGTTTGCCGATTAGCCCTGTACCGTATTTCTGTTTGGAGGAGCAAAGGCTCAGGAGTAGAAATCAATATTATTGGCTGGTACAATGCGCAATTCCATGGCTGGTAAAATCTGAAGCTTTTGGCGCAGCTTCACAGCGGGGACCTCAATGAGGAAGGTTGTCAAACCAGTTCAGCCACGTCAACGCAAAGCAGCACCAGATTCTCTCAACGGCTTCCGTGATTCTGGGATATTGTGAGCAAAATCTCCACTACCTTCGATAGCATCTGCCTTTACGATTGGCTGCCACTGACGTGTCTTTCGTGGTGGCAGGGATTCGCCATTGCGCGAAATTTATGGAGCTCCCTCGTCATCGTCAGCAGTGTAACAGGAACTGGTGTTACCGGCGTGGCGAAAGTCTTTGCAAGTCCAACGTCCCTATGGCTCGGCTTGGGCATGGGAATCCCTAGGCTCTAGCTTCCAGTTTCGCTGCTTTTCAGGCCATGAAGATGCTCCCTTTGGCAGACAGACAAGCAGCCCATTCCATTCATTCCCAGAGTCTCAAGTATCCCGAAGTTGCCTCATCCTTCCTACCTTTGGTTGGGTCACAAAGTCCAACCAAGCTTCCTACCTTTGAAATTGTCACTAAGTCCAACCAACCTTCCTACCTTTGAAACCTGTGGACCCTGGGTTTTAAGCAGTCAGCAGCTTGTGTTCCTTTCTTGGGAACAGTTCTTCGGGATTATACGAGCTCGTCTCGTCTGCTCTGTAACTAGCAGAAGCCATTACCGCGTGGTTTGTGCTAGTCCCTGATCAGGTTCACGGTTCAGTGGAGCTGTCTTAACTTAGCCTCGCGCTTCCGAAGTCGAGGTCGTTCGGTAGAAGACAAGCATAGTAGATCTTGCGTGAAGATTGAACGGGAGCGTTAAGATGTTGTCCCGCGCAATCTCGCGTTCGCGATCTCGCCTGCTGGAAGCGTGCCAGTCTGCTGTCGCCGTCGCGACCGGCAATGCTGCGTCCAGGCCGACCACCGGTTTCACCGCTCCTTGGCTAGACGGCAATGCGCCTGTAAGCGTAGCAGCGTTGAAGGCTGAAGTCTCAACATCTCGTATCAGATTCTCATTGTCTCCTTATCATTCTGGCGTTTTAGTCTGTGACGTTACTACGCCATTGCATAGAATGAACGCATTTGCCTGTTTATCTATCCGCACGCATTCGGATTAGGTTCTCGCGGTTCTCACTCAACAGTGTTTCTTTACTCAAGAGAGAGGCTCTTGATACTAAATGAGATGGCGTTGCAACCTGCAGGCACATTCAAGAGGGTCGGCGACAGATGCCTTGCCAGCTGCTACTGCTCCCACTGGCGTCGGAAACTTCAAGAGAGTGAGTTTTCGACACATTTCACAGTCTTCACACAGTTTCTGAGTGGCGAGTGTCCGGATTTTTTTTGCGTCGCGACCCGCTACAGGGTGCGTGCATCGTCGCTTCTGCTGAGAGCTTCCCGTAAGTACCCATCGACAGAATCATCGCGACTGAAAAGCACTCTGTCTTTCCGTGTCGGATCTGTAAAGAATGCCCTTTCAACAGACAGTTTTCTCGCATCCTAACTCGGATGAGACGCCTGAGACTCTTGGTTTCGTGCTTACCATTCCGTTTTGCGAACCTTCTCCTCCGAATAAAACGTGCTATTAAATTCTCCCCATCCTCCCCCCACATTCCACCAGACCGCCATTCTATCCCTCGACGAGCGCAAGAGGGACCCTCGACTTTCCTCAAGATCACCTTTTTCGAATTCCAACCTCATTCTCCCTATCCCTTCGACCCCACCGCTGCCCCCTCCCCGTCCCCCCTTCTCCGCCAGCCCGCCGTGCTGGCACTGGAGGAGCGCTAGAGGCGCGCTTGCCTGGCCGATATCCACCCTCACTTTACCTATTCTCGCCACCTCCCCACTGCGTCCCCCTCCCCGTTTCCCCTTTCTCCGCCAGCCCGCCGTGCTGGCCCTGGAGGAGCGCGAGAGGCGCGCTCGCCTGGGAGGCGGACAGCAGAAGATCGACAAGCAGCACAAGGGCGGCAAGGTGAGAGGCGCGCGGGGAAGGAGGGTGGAGGGGGCGTCAGACGCAGGGGAAAGGGTGTGAGACGTACGGGGAAGCAGAAGATCGACAAGCAGCACAAGGGCGGCAAGGTGAGAGGCGCGCGGGGAAGGAGGGTGGAGGGGGCGTCAGACGCAGGGGAAAGGGTGTGAGACGTACGGGGAAGCAGAAGATCGACAAGCAGCACAAGGGCGGCAAGGTGAGAGGCGCGCGGGGGAAGAGGGGTGAGAGACACACGGGAGGGGACGGTGAAACGCACGGGGGAGAGGGGGATTAGACGCACGGGGCAGGAAGGTGAGAGCCGCACGGGAGTGGGGGGAGAGGGGTTGAGACAGACAAGGGTGGGTGGGTGAGACGCAAGGGGGGGATGATGGGTGGGTATGCCCGCTGATAGGGTTCGCTCTCATGTAATCCCCGTGCTTACGTGCCTGTTTTCCTTTCTCTTTCGTCTCTCCTGGCAGCTTACAGCGCGGGAGAGGATCCAAGTGCTCGTGGACCCTGGGTCGTTTGAGGAGCTCGGTGAGTGCTGCGCAATGCTTCTAGAATACCTCGGAATGTACACCCAGGAATGTACAGCCGGAAATGTAGATGGCGAAATGTACGCCTGGGAATCTCTATGCTTGCACTGCTAGAAGCAATAATGGGAGTTGTGATCCTGTGAAACCTGTTGAAGGATCCGGTTCGATATGGCTGTCTGATGTGAACGAACCTTGTTGTGGTACGATATGACCATCTGATGTGTTTCATGTCCTTCGTGTCCACTTTCCATACTAGACATGTTGGTGCAGCACCGCTGCCACGACTTCGGCATTGCCTTTTGAGACGTCTCAGAATCATTTCATGTTGTGTTTTTTCCGCTTTCCATACTGCAGACATGTTGGTGCAGCACCGCTGCCACGACTTTGGCATGGACAAGACTCACATCCCTGGCGATGGTACGTACCTGCTCTGCTCCCGCCTCCACCATCAGGTGTATTTTGAACCCTCTCAGAATGTACCTTCTGCAGACATGTTATTTAGCACCGCTGCCATGACTTCGGCATGGACAAGACACACATCCCTGGCGACGGTACGTGCTCTGCTCCCGCCTGCGTCATGAGGTGTATCCTGAGTCGATTCAGATTTCACCTTCTGCAGACATGTTGGTGCAGCATACTGCCATGCGTGGTGCCGCCCTCCATGCCCTGGAAGATGTTTGCGCCTGCCACATGGATGTGTCATGGGCCCTTCGCTTCGCCCATATGCTTGCTTTTGAGTCGATTCAAAAGTCACTGCGTGCCGCCCTCCATGCCCTGGAAGATGTTTGCGCCTGCCACATAAAATGTGTTCATGGGCCCTTCGCCCATATGCTTGCACCATCCCCAACCCTGTGCTCCCTGTTTTTACACCCTGGACTGATGGCGTGGGATGGTATTCAATGACGTGGGTCGAATTCATCACATGAATGGAATGGCATGGTGCCTTTCAGGTGTTGTTACTGGCAGTGCCACCATCAACGGCAGGTACGAAACCCTACCTACTATACCATATCACATGATTTCCATCTCATCCTTCCCTGGTTCCGTCGCTCGTGCTTCCTTTTACGTACAGTCACTGCTGATAACTCGTGGAAATTCACAACTCACAGTGATCTTTCTCCTTGCTGCTTGCATGCTGGTGTTTCTCTTCAGCCTAAGATTCACAGTGTTTGTTTTGAGGCTCCTTAACACGAGATTTTTTCTCGTCTTGGTATCTGCAGGCTCGTGTTCCTCTTCAGCCAGGACTTCACAGTGCTTGGTGGCAGTCTGTCAGAGACGCATGCTGCTAAGATCATCAAGGTGCCGCCCTTCTGCCTCTCTCCTCACACGCACGCACGCACCACACAGCACATTCTTGAAACATCCTCTCTGCGCGTTCCCCTTTACATGCGTCGCGCCCGTCCTTCTGCAACTTTCCTGTGTCCTCACCACTTCTCGTCTCCTTCCCCTATTCCAACACACCCGCCTCGGCTCACGCACATGGCAGGTCATGGAGAAAGCAATGAAGGCTGGGGGGGCCACCTGTGAGATACCGGGGCACTTCAAGTCGACTCAAAATGCACCTCTACGCACATGGCAGGTCATGGAGAAAGCAATGAAGGCTGGCGCACCTGTGAGTCGCGGGTGCCTGTGAGTCACGGATTTCAAGTCGACTCAGAATACTCCTCTCCTTCCCATTCCCCCGTGCCTCCACACTCACGCACATGGCAGGTCATGGAGAAAGCAATGAAGGCTGGAGCACCTGTGAGTCATCCACCCTCTCCTCTCGCCTCCTCTCCTCCCACCCATCCCATTGCACTCAACCTCTGACTGCATCTGCTTCTCTTGATGCCCCTCTGCACATAAACACTAACTTTGGCTCCACTTTCGCACCTTCCCTGTGTTTAGCTCTGCATGTATCCACGCACGGTCTGTGCTAGTGTACCTTGGCTATGTGAGACGATTCGTGTGAGGCGAATTGCTCGCATCTATACATTCACCCACCTACGCTCTGACGCATGCGTACATACATCCCCCATCCTTCCATTCCATCCGTCTTTCTCCTCTGTGCCTCGCTGAATGCATATCGACCCTGTGGGTCCCCATTCTTCTCCCTGCGTCTCTCCGTCTCTGCCTGCGTGTCCTTCCCTTCCCAGGTGATCGGTCTGAACGACTCGGGAGGGGCGCGCATTCAGGAGGGAGTGCACTCTCTCAGCGGCTACGCCAAGGTCTTCCAGGTACTGCCTCACGCCTGCTGCCTGCGGCCTGCTGCGTGCTGTCCTTCTGTGTAGTATATTCAGGAGGGGGTGCACTCCCTCAGCGGCTACGCCAGGGTCTTCCAGGTACTGCCTCACGCCTGCTGCCCTCGCTGCCCTTCCTGCTGCCTGCTGTCTGCTGCCTGCTGCTTATTGCCTGCTGCCTGCGGCATTTGGTTTTTAGTATCCGCATTCAGGAGGGAGGGCACTCCCTCAGCGGCTATGCCAAGGTCTTCCAGGTACTGCCTCACGCCTGCTGCCTGCACTCTACCGCCTGCTGCCCTTTCTTCCCGTCACGCCCTTCCTTCTTGCCTCCTTTCGCTGCTCAACGCCTTCTGAGATTACTCAAAACGCGATGAATTTCTGAGCTGGATCCTTAGAGGCGCCTTTTGAGGCGGCTTTTGAGAGGCGCCTCAAAAGGGTCTGGATCCTTTAAATCGCCGCCCCTCCTCTTGTCTTGCGTCCGCTTCCGCATTCACTCATTCCAAATCACTCCCATTTGTTCCTCTTCCTCTTCCCATCGGTCCTTTCCATCCATTCGTCTTCCTCTTCCTCTTCCTTTTGTCAACTCAATATCGACCCTCGAATCTCGTTCATCGAGGGACCATGCTTAGTGCATGGCAATCTCAGTTGGTATTCAAGATATCCAAAAAACAAGCAACATTCAGCTGTTTATGGTAGCGAGATTCATTTCATCATCTTCCTTTCTCATCTCACCTCCCTCCCCTCCCTCCTCTCCCTCCGTTCCCCCCATTTTCTCCCAGCTTAACGTGTTGGCATCCGGAGTCATCCCTCAGATCTCGCTCATCATGGGACCATGCGCAGGTACCGCTTTTCACCCCTTCAGATCTCACCACCACGCCCTGTACCATGCATCATCCTCTTACACCACTCCCTACCGGATTCTCCCAACACCACTACATCACCCCTGTACCCTTTATCCTGATGTGGGCCCCTCCGTGTAATCCTTTCTTCCACTGCGTGTTGGTATCTGATTGGGGCGGCGTTGTTTGTCTTCAGGTGGTGCTGTGTACTCGCCTGGCCTAACCGACTTTGTCATCATGGTAAGAAGGAGGATACACAAACACACGCCCACGCACATGCACACAAACACACACACACGCACACACACACGCACACACACACACACACACACACACACACACACACACACAAAACGCACACACGAACATGCCCGCCCCCAATCCACCCACCCTCACCCCACTCACTCACTCCCTCCCTCACTCTCTCCCTCACTCCCTCCCTGACGCCCACCCCATCAGATGAAGGGCACGTCTCACATGTTCGTGACGGGCCCTGATGTCGTGCGGCAAGTGACATACGAGGAGGTCACCCAGGTGCGTTACAGAGGTCACTCAAGTGTGTTACACAGGTCGTTGATGTGCCTTATCAGGTCCCTCTGTTTGCGCTGTAAGGTCCCTCAGTTGTGTTTGTGACTGGCCCTGATGTCGTGCGACAAGTGACGTACGAGGAGGTCACTCAGGTGCGTTACAAATGTCATTCATTCAGGTGTGTTAAGAAGGTCGCTGTTCGTTATAAGGTCCCTCGGTTGCATTATAAGGTCCCTCAGGCCAGGTTTGTACGAGGTAACATTTGGTTGAATAGTAATGCTATGCTGGATGACTTGCCTCTGTCCTAATTCACGCCTCAAATCACGCAAGTAAATCAACAACGCGAGTCGCCAGCCTTCCGTACCCAGCCTTGCGTGCAGCCAACCTCCACTGCCTTTCATGCCAGCCTTACGTGCGACCCACCGCCAGTACCTTGCTCCTGATTCTTCTCCTCACCTCCCTTCCTCTCCACTATTTGAACCGTTGGTGCATGCAGGAGCAACTGGGAGGGGCGGAGGCGCACACCAAGTCTGGCGTGGTGCACATGGCCTTTGACAACGAGATGGATGCCCTCGCACGGTGAGAGATGCCCCACACCTGGACTCACATGGTGAGATGTGGGAAAGAGAATGTGTGTTCTCGGTCACCTCAAATGCGTGTTTCCAGTCAACTCAAAGCACACCAAGTCCAGCGTGGTTCACATGGCCTTTGACAACGAGATGGACGCCCTCGCACAGTAAGTGATGCCCTCACACCTGGACTCACACGGTGAGGTGTGGGAGAAGAGAATGTGTGTTCTCGGTCGCTACAAATGTGTGTTTCCAGTCGACCTCAAAGCACACCAAGTCCAGCGTGGTTCACATGGCCTTTGACAACGAGATGGACGCCCTCGCACAGTAAGTGATGCCCTCACACCTGGACTCACACGGTGAGGTGTGGGAGAAGAGAATGTGTGTTCTCGGTCGCTACAAATGTGTGTTTCCAGTCGACCTCAAAGCACACCAAGTCCAGCGTGGTTCACCTGGCCTTTGACAACGAGATGGACCCCCTCGCACGGTGAGAGATGCCCCACACCTGGACTCACACGGTGAGGTGTGGGAGAAGAGAATGTGTGTTCTCGGTCGCTACAAATGTGTGTTTCCGGTCGAACTCAAAGCACACCAAGTCCAGCGTGGTTCACATGGCCTTTGACAACGAGATGGACGCCCTCGCACGGTGAGGAATACTTATACACGCACCTGGGCTCACATGGCGTGTTTTGAGTCAACTCAAAGCACAGCAAGTCTGGCGTGGTTCACCCTAACCTGTGACAACGAGATGGACGCCCTCGCACGGTGAGGAATACTTATACACGCACCTGGGCTCACATGGCGTGTTTTGAGTCAACTCAAAGCACAGCAAGTCTGGCGTGGTTCACCCTAACCTGTGACAACGAGATGGACGCCCTCGCACGGTGAGGAATACTTATACACGCACCTGGGCTCACATGGCGTGTTTTGAGTCAACTCAAAGCACAGCAAGTCTGGCGTGGTTCACCCTAACCTGTGACAACGAGATGGACGCCCTCGCACGGTGAGAACTACATATACACTCACCTGGGCCAGCATGGCCTATTTATTACGCGCCTCAGAAATAAACACGTGGCCTTGGACAATAAAATGGATGCTCTCGCACGATAAGGAATACATACACCCTTACACCTGGGCTCAACTCTAGCGACCGATCTATTCCTCCCCCTGCTCCCCCAACCCCCCACCTCCCCCCGTCAGGGTGCGCGACCTCTTTGACTTCCTCCCTCTCTGCTTCAAGGAGCAGCCGCCCCGCCTCTCAGCTTCGGCAACTGTGTTCCCTTGTCCCCAAACCCCTCCTCCCCCCCCCCCCCGCTTCCCACCTTCCCCCCACATATCCTGCAGAGTGCGCGACCTGTTTGACTTCCTGCCTCTCAGCTACAAGGAGCAGCCACCCCGCTGCATCAACTTCAGTGACAGTGTTTCCTTATTCCCCCTCCCCCTTTCCGCCCCACCCTCTTCCCACCTTCCCCCCACATATCCTGCAGAGTGCGCGGCCTCTTTGACTTCCTGCCTCTCAGCTTCAAGGAGCAGCCGCCCCGCCGCATCAACTTCAGCAACTGTGTTTCCTTGTCCCCCTCCCCCTTTCCCCGACACCCTCTTCCCACCTTCCCCCCACCTACCCCCGTGCAGAGTGCGCGACCTCTTTGACTTCCTCCCTCTCAGCTTCAAGGAGCAGCCACCCCGCTGCATCAACTTCAGCAACTGTGTTTCCTTGTCCCCAACCCCCGTCATGCCCCCCATCCCCCACCTACCCCCATCAGAGTGCGAGACCTCTTTGACTTCCTGCCTCTCAGCTTCAAGGAGCAGCCACCCCGCCGCATCAACTTCGACCCGCCGTAAGCCTTGCCCCCCAGCCCATACCATCCCATCCATCTCCCCCACATACGTTGCTCCTGCTGCCGTATTATATATCCTGCATATTTGTTCCTCCTGCTAGCTTCACCCCCTCCTCCTAACTTTGCTCGCACTACTGACCTAGAGCGGACTGCTGCAGTGCAGACCAAGTGAGGAGGAAAAGGCTGTCCAGCTCATATTCTCTCCTCATCCCTCCCGTTCCCCTTACTTTCCCCCTCTGCCCGCTACCTCTCTCCCTACGTGTGCATTCAGCAACCGTGAAGTGCCGGCACTGGAGTTTGCAGTCCCACGCGACCCCAACATGGCATACGATATGATGGGCATCATCGAGAAGGTGAGGGGCAATGATGTGTTTCAATAGCCTCAACGTGCCATGCAGTGTGGCATAATGAGCATCATTGACAAGGCGAGTGGAAGCATGTGTAGAATAGGCATGGGTAGGCAAGCTCGAGTATGGCATTGAACAATGAGGCATTTGGTACTACAACAACGGGCAAGCAGGGTTGATGCGTCATGGATTCTCTTGCAATGCCTCAAATGTCCACCAAGGCACTCATCGCAGCATGATGCATGCACCCGTCCTTCTGTTCATGTGCCTTCCGTCACATCTCCCACCCACTTAACATCTTACCCTGTCAACTTCACTGCCATTGGGTTGTGGACACAGATCAGTTCTACAAGCAGCAGCCTGAACAACTTAAGCACATTCCACCCACTCACCCATGCCCCCCGTTCCACTGTCTAAACAAGTCTCCATGTACCCCCCTTGTCAACCCCCCTGGCATTATTAGGTGGTGGACGCGGGTCAGTTCTATGAGCTACAGACTGAGCTATGCAGTGCAGTTCCATTCGTTCAAATCCCATGCTTCCCCTTCCCATCCGTTCCCTTCAACCCCTGATTCAACCCCAGGTGGTGGACGCGGGTCAGTTCTACGAGCTGCAGCCTGAGTTCGGCAAGAACATGATTGTTGGCTTCGCTGTAAGCACATTTTCCTTGGCTGCGCTGTAATCACATGATGGTTGGATCTGCTGTAACCACATTATCGTTTTTGGTTTCAGCACATTATCCTTGCGGTAAGCACATTAATGTTGGCGTTGCTGATCATTGATTGGCTCTGCTGTTAGAACACGACTCTTGGGGGGGTGTGTGTGTGCCTGTGTACCACATCCTTGCTGTCAGGGTCATCTGCTTTCCTTTCACCTCCCGTGCCCATTCCAACTTCTGTCCTCCCACACACTACCAGCGCATGGACGGAGGCTCAGTGGGAGTGGTGGCAAACCAGCCTATGGAGCAGGCAGGGTGTATCGACATTGATGCCTCTGTTAAGGTACAATTGCTGCAACGTCTTGTGAGAAAACTCAAAAGTGACTCAAACGCACATGGAGCAGGCAGGGTGTATTGACATTGACGCCTCTGTTAAGGTACAATTACAACTGCTCGCCATGCCTCACACTAGTTATGGTTGTGAGTCGAATAAAAAGCCTATGGAGCAGGCAGGGTGTATCGACATTGATGCCTCTGTTAAGGTGCTTTATGACTTACAAGTTACAACTGCTCAGTGCTCACCATCCTTCAAAATCGAGTTTTGAGACGTTTCAAAACACATCTATCGGCATTGACCCTCTGTTAAGGTGCTGCTACAACTCACAACTCCTCAGTGCACACCAACACTCAAAATCGTCACCGCTCACAATCCCCCCAAAGAGCAGCTGATCTGGTTGATCCAGTAACCTCTTTGCTCGCTTTCAACAATCACTGCACTCATTCAATTGCCTTCTGTCCGTTCACATCTCTATTACATGCTTGAAGGCATACCTCTCCCATGCTCTCTATAACCTTCCCCACTCCTCACCCACCCTTTCAACCCTCACCTTCCTCTTTTGCCTCCTCACTCTTCCGTTCACCCTTCACCTCCCTGTCCACCCTTCCCCCGTTTCTCCTCTTCTATCCCCCCCAGGCGGCTCGTTTTTGAGAATTCTAAAAAAACCAACTCTTCCGTTCACCCTTAACCTCCCTGTCCACCCTTCCCCCGTTTCTCCTCTTCTATCCCTCCCAGGCGGCTCGCTTTGTGCGTTTCTGTGACTGCTTCAACATCCCCCTCGTCACCTTCGTGGACGTGCCTGGGTTCATGCCAGGTGAGATTTGATTCAATGCAAGGTGAGACTCGATTTGATTCATGCCAGGTGAGATTCGATTTGATTCGTGCCAGACCTGGTTCGTGGCAGGTGAGATCTAATTTGTTTCGTGCCAGGTGAGATTCGATTCATGTCAGGTTAAATGTAGGTCGAGCCTGCTAAGATATGATTCGTGCTGTGTGGAGTGAAGTCTGATTTGAGGCGCCTCAAAACACCTGTTGAGATATGATTCGTGCTGTGCGAAGTCTGATTATAGTGTATGTTTTTTTAGAATCCTCGGAAGAATGTGTGCGCCTTGCTTCTTGGCTCGGTTTCTTTTTGTCCTCTCCTCCCATTCCTTTCCCCACCTCCCAGGCACAAAGCAGGAGCACGGGGGCATCATCCGGCATGGAGGCAAGCTGCTGTACGCGTATGCAGAGGCCAACCTTCCACCCTTCCTGACAACGCGTCCCATTTCCCGCCTCCCACCTCCCACCTCCCACCTCCCACCTCCTGCATTCCAGGCACGAAGCAGGAGCACGGGGGTATCATCCGGCACGGAGGCAAGCTGCTGTACGCGTATGCAGAGGCCACGGTGCCTAAAGTGACTGTCATCACTCGCAAGGCGTATGGCGGAGCATACGATGGTACGTGGTTAGTGTGTGATTAGTGTGTGATTATACTGTTGTGTGCCTGTAAAGAAAAGTGATCATCTGTGGAAAAGGACAGGGAGGCAAGCTGCTGTACGCGTATGCAGAGGCCACGGTGCCCAAAGTGACAGTCATCACCCGCAAGGCGTATGGCGACGCGTACGATGGTACGTGCTGTGTGTAATTGTACTGTTGTGTACCTGTGAAGGGAGGGAAGTGACCATATGTGGGAGGCACATGGAGGCAAGCTGCTCTACGCGTATGCAGAGACCACGGTGCCCAAGGTGACTAGACTGCCGTGTGCCTATAACAAGGAGTGACTGCCTGTGGGAGGCACATGGAGGCAAGCTGCTCTACGCGTATGCAGAGACCACGGTGCCCAAGGTGACTGTCATCACCCGCAAGGCGTATGGTGGTGAATACGATAGTATGTGACGCGAGCGTATTTGTGCTATGGTGTGCCTCTGTAACAAGGCATAGAGCAGAGGCCACGGTGCCCAAGGTGGCTGTCATCACCCGCAAGGCGTATGGTGGTGAATACGATAGTATGTGACGCGAGCGTATTTGTGCTATGATGTGCCTCTGTAACAAGGCATAGAGCAGAGGCCACGGTGCCCAAGGTGGCTGTCATCACGCGCAAGGCGTACGGCGGTGCATACGTTGATGCGTGATTAATGTGACCCGTACGGTGGTCTGTGACTAGACTGTCGTGTGCCTATAACAAGGAGTGACTGTCTGTGGGAGGAGCATGGAGGCAAGCTGCTCTATGCGTATGCAGAGCCCAGGGTGCTCAAGGTGACTGTTCTTACCCGCAAGGCATAAGATGGTGCGTGGTTATTGTGATTCGGAACGGTGTTTGACTTTTACGGTATGCCTGACTGCTGCACCTCCCCTCCCCTCCCCTCCCTTCCCCTCCCTTCCCCTCCCCTCTCCTCCTCTGTCCTCCCCTCTCCTGTCCTGCCATGCCCTGCTCCCCACAACCCCCCTCTCCCGTCCCCTTCTCTCCCCACTTTCCCATTCCCCCCTTGCCCCCAACCCCCGCCCCTGATGCAGTCATGAGCTCCAAGCATCTGCGGGGTGATGCCAACTCCCTCTCCTTGCACCTCCTACTCCTCACTCCCTCTTTCCCCTCTCTCTCCCCTTCCCCCCCGCCTCCCACCTCCCGCCCCTGATGCAGTCATGAGCTCCAAGCATCTGCGGGGTGACGCCAACTTCGCCTGGCCCTCTGCTGAGATCGCTGTCATGGGCGCCAAGGTATGCAGATGGGTGCTAAGGTAAGCAGATGGGCGCCAAGGTAAGCAGATGGGCGCCAAGGTAAGCAGATGGGCGCCAAAGTAAGCTGATGGGTTCCAAGGTATGCAGATGGGTGGCAAGGTATGCAGATGGGTACCAAGGAAAGCAGACGGGTGGCAAGGTATGCAAATGAGTGCCAAGGTATGCAGATGGGTGCCAAGGCAGATGGGTGCCAAGGTAAGAAGATGGGTACCAAGGTAAGCGGATAGGTACCAAGGTAAGCGGATGGATAATGCTGAAAGAGGATGCACGGAGACACACTTCTAAACCCTCACCGTGCCCTCCCGGAGACACGGATAGGTACCCTGTTCCGCGGGCACAAGGACATAGGGGGGCACAGACAGCAAAGTACATGGGGAATGCTGTGCCGCGAATGCTGGATAATGCTGAAAGAGGATGCACGGAGACACACTTCTAAAGCCTCATCGTGCCCTCCATCACTGCCCCATCACAGAGAGTGGCAGGTACCCTGTTCCGCGGGCACAAGGACATAGGGGCACAGACAGCAGAGTACATGGGGAATGCTGTGAAAGAGGATGCACACACTCACAAGCACTCTCAAACTCTCACCCCGCCTTCCATCTTTCCATCCCCATCACAGGGCGCGGCAGGGATCCTGTTCCGCGGGCAGAAGGACAGGGAGGCCCAGATGGCTGAGTACGTGGAGAAGTTTGCCAATCCATACTCCGCTGCCAGCGCTGGCTTCGTGACCCAAGAGAGAGTGATCATGCCGCAAGAGATAGTGCAGGCTCAACCCCTCTCAATCCCTTTCTCACGCCTTCCATTTGTATCCCACCACAGGGAGCCGCGAGCATTCTGTTCCGCGGGCAGAAGGACAGGGAGGCCCAGACGGCAGAGTACGTGGAGAAGTTTGCCTATCCATACTCCGCTGCCAGCGCTAGCTTCATGACCCAAGAGAGTGCAGGCTTAACCCCTCTCAACCCCTTCTCCCGCCTTCCATTTGTTTTTGTATCCCACTACAGGGCGCGGCAGGCATCTTGTTCCGCGGGCAGAAGGACAGGGAGGCCCAGATGGCTGAGTACGTGGAGAATGCTGAAAGAGGCTGTATGGTGTTGCCTTTACCTCTACCCCACCACAGGGAGCGGCAGGGATTCTGTTCCGCGGGCAGAAGGACAGGGAGGCCCAGACGGCAGAGTACGTGGAGAAGTTTGCCAATCCATACTCCGCTGCCAGCGCTGGCTTCGTGACCCAAGAGAGTGCAGGCTCAACCCCTCTCAACCCCTTCTCCCGCCTTCCATTTGTTTTTGTATCCCACTACAGGGCGCGGCAGGGATCTTATTCCACGGGCAGAAGGACAGGGAGGCCCAGATGGCTGAGTACGTGGAGAAGAGACTGTATGCCTGCCTCTGTCCCCAACCCATCTCAACCCACTCACAGGGAGCCGCGGGCATCTTGTTCCGCGGGCAGAAGGACAGGGAGGCCCAGATGGCTGAGTACGTGGAGAATTTTGCCAATCCATATGCAGCTGCGAGTGCTGGCTTCGTGGACGCCGTAATCATGCCCCAGGACACGCGGAAGCTGCTGTGCCGCGAGCTCGACCGCCTCCGAACAAAGGTGTGTGTCCTGGTGCTTGTGGTAGTCTGCAGTTGCTGTGGTTGGCTTCGTGGACGCGGTGATTATGCCGCAGGACACGCGGAAGATCCTGTGCCGCGAGCTCGACCGCCTCCGAACCAAGGTGAGTTTGCTGCTGCATGTGCTGCTGGCGCTTGTGGTAGCCTTGAGGGAATGCCAAGGTGCCAACCCATACTCCGCTGCCAGCGCTGGCTTTGTGGACGCTGTGATCATGCCCCAGGACACGCGGAAGATGCTGTGCCGGGAGCTGGACCGCCTCCGAACCAAGGTGGGTTGTCTTGAAAGCCGATGTCAAGGTGGCTTGAACCTGGTACAGCAATGACGAACTCGCCAACCCGTACTCCGCTGCCAGTGCTGGGTTCCTGGATGCTGTAATCTCGCCGCATGACACGCGGAAGATGCTGTGCGCGAGCTCGACCGCCTCCGATCCAAGGCGCATGTGCTGGAGGTAGAGGGTGGGTTTGCTGGTGCTTCTCGCCTGGTAGTCTGCAGTTCGTGTGGTTGGCTTCGTGGATGCTGTGATCACAGCACAGCACCCCCAGGACACACGCAAGCTGCTGTGCCGCGAATTGGACCGCCTCAGATCCAAGGTGGGTTTGTGGCCGCTGTACGGTATTATCGTTAAAAACTTGGGGCATCATGCCACAGGTCACAGTGGGTTTGTTGGCACTGTATTATCGCCAGTGGGTGTGGCTCACTGGCATGTGTGTTTCCCTCACCCCTGTTCCTTGCAACAGGAGCTCAAGAACCCCCCCAAGAAGTGCAGGAGGGATGTGTGGGTGGGTCAGTTATATCGGAGTCACTCACTCAAAAGTGTGTATTGTTCCCTCACCCCTGTTCCGTGCAACAGGAGCTCAAGAACCCCCCCAAGAAGCACGACAACCTTCCCCTCTAAGCACACAGTGCTGGGAGCACCCCACCCACCCACCATTTATCACCTTCCCAGGCATCTCTAAACACACCGTGCTGAAAGCGGCCACCACATATCTATCACCAGGCATACCTGCCAGTTCCTGATTTCCATCCTCACTTGCACCATTGCTTTCCATCCATTCAAGGTTCAACGCCACAGTTGCCTTTGATTCGCAGAAGTTTTCGTTCTCACGTCAAATTTATTTGCTCCCTTCTTGGAACCAATCATTATTTTTACAGCTGAACCAATTCATGCAACACTTTACATGTACAATGTAGACTTCGCTGTATGCACTTCTACACCTACAGAAAGAATCATGCGCTACAAGCTTCTGTCATACAGTATTTGTCGAATGAACAGCACACTTATTGAAGTCTAACAACACATACGGTAATGATCGAAGTCGTACCGGTATCTGCACTCCCTGTCCGCCTCCTCCCCTTCAACCGTGGTAATCTATTCCTCCTCCTCATCACTCGCCCCCCAGCCATCTTCATCCCCGTCATCTTCACTGTCCAACCCATACTCATGGTGAATATTCCAGTCCTCACCATCACTCTCTGCATCCTCTTCTGCCTCCCTCTCCGCCTGCTCCCCTTCCACCGCCGCTTCTCCTTCTCCTCTCTCCTCACCCTCCGCCTCCTCCCCTCCTCCCCCCTCCTCTCCTTCATCGACCGTCACCCCCTCGTCCACTTCTTCCTCCTCCACATCCTCATCGCCCACCCTTGCGCGAATCCTCCTCCTGTCTGCCCGTGAAAGCAAAGGGCAGTCGCAAACATCGTACTCCCGCAAAGTCGGCATTCTCCGGATAGACGACGGCAGGTGAGCCAGATTTTTGCACACAATCACCAGCAGCACCTGTAGCTTAGGCAGCTTAGAGAACGACTCTGGCAAACTGCGGAGATGCTTCAACCCCAAAAGAACCAACTCTTGGAGGGAAGAAAGCTTCCAGAAATTAGCTGGAAATGTCGAGATCGCAAGCTTGGTGAAGGTACAGACCTGTAACTTGGACAGATTCCCAAAGGATCCTGGAAGTTTCTTCAGCTTGTCGCAGTCAATGATTTCCAGCGTCTCGAGCATTTTCAGCTGCCCAAAGACTCGGGCAGCTCCCGTATTCTTAAGTGGCGCAGTTGCAAGACCCTCAGCCCAGACAGCCCTCCCAAACTGCCCGGCAGTGCCTCAATCTTCAAGGCAAAATCGATCCGGAGCTTTTTCAGCTGCTTGAGACGGGAAATGGACTCAGGGAGGGCTATTAGGTTGTCCATTTCTATCAGCTTCAGCTTTGTTAGAGAGGAGAGCTTGCCAAGGGACGGACCAATGGTAAGGAAAGGGAGAGACCTTAACTTGAGGCTTCGAACAGATGGAAGGAGTTTCCTGCTGCTGCTGCTGGCGGTGCTGTCGAAAATTACCGAAGGACCCTTGGCAGTGCGTTTCAGCACTATCTCATCCCCTAGTAACGCGCCGATACCATCACATACCCGCACCTCCAACACCCGTACTCGGGGCAGCTCAACCAGCGACGCAGGGAGACGCTTCAAGCCGTCCATCCGTGCGATCTTGACCACCTCGAGCGCCTCCAGCCGTCCGATCCCCTCAGGAAAATCCGGTACTTTAGGGCAATTGATAATTTCCAGGGTGGTGAGTGAAAAGACGCCTGAGAAGGAAGCAGGAAGCGCTGCCAGGCGAGGCATGTCTTGAAGCACCAACTCTTTCAGGCTTGTCAGGCAGCAGAAGCCGTCCAGTAGGGTGCCTCTGAAGCGTTTAGCTTGCATGATCTTGAGGGTTTCAAGGGATTTCAGGGCGGAGAAGGATGGAGGAAGGTGGGTGAGATATGAGCAGCGCTCCAAATGCAGATAGCGCAAACGCTGCATGCCGTTCCCCAGTTCATCTGGCAGCACCGTGAGATTCGGACAAATCTTGATCGTCAGGTGCTCGAGAGAAGTGAGCTGGGATAGGGTGTTCGGAAGTTGCTTCAGCTGCCCACACTCCACAATTTTCAGCTCCCGGAGAGCTGCCAACTGCCCGAGGGATTCGGGCAGACCTGTGAGCCGAATAAGGCTGTTCAGGCGCAGCTTTTCAAGAGCCATCAGCTGCCCGAAGCCCTCGGGCAGTGACGGCAGGCTATACAGATTATCCAAGGAAAGCTCTTGGAGCGTGGTAACCAGAGAGATTGAATCAGGAAGAATTGCGAGTTCTTCCAACTCCAGCACGAGTGTCTGTAGCTTGGACAATCTCCCAATATCGTCAGGCAGAGCTGATAGTTCTGGCATGTGAAGCGCGAGACTGGTGAGTGAAGGCAGGCGGAAAAGAGACTCCGGCAGAAACGTGATGTCGTCGCAGCTCTTGACAACTAGAGTCTTGAGCCGCCATAGATGCTCTAGAGCCTCGATTAGGCCGTGCAGTCCCGTTACTTCCTCCAGGATCAAGGTTTCGAGCCCCCACAGTAGAGGAAATTCGACCAGTGACGGGAGAGAAAACTCGCCATCTCGAAGCTCCAGGGCAGTGAGAGAAGAAAGTCCGGTGAGAGAGGCCGGCAGCTGCAACCTTGAAGAGTTGTTGACGGAGAGACGGCTCAGACTGGAAAGCTGACTGAATGAGTCTGGAAACGATGCCAGGGAGCGGCACCCGTGCAGCTCGAGCGACGTTAAGAGAACCAGATTGCCGAATTCCTGTGGTAAGGCCTCGAGACGGGAAGCGTGCAGCACGAGGGTTCTGAGAGACTGCAGCGAGGTCATTGTGTCGGGAAGACGCGTGACGCTTGCGTCGAGATGCAGGTTCTTGAGCAATGTGAGCCGTTCGATCGACGGAGGAATGGCAGCATTGAGCGAACACTCCAAATGGAGATCTTCGAGCAGAGTACAGCTCTCGAAGAGAAACATCAGGCTCTTCTCGCTTACGCCTGTGCGTCTGTATCCGCGCCCCATCCGTTCGACACTAAGCTCGGCTAAACGAGGACACAAGTCAGCCAGGCGAGAGAATAGGAAATTCGACGCTGAGGTGAGGCTGGCATCAGAAAGAACGATTTTTTTTAGGTTAGAATACGACGACAGAAGTTGAACGAACTGACGCGGATCCATAAGGAGGTTGTAAGGCAAGTAGATTTCTGGTTGCAAGCGGTACGCGATGTGACGCCATTGCTGGCTAACACGCGCGTGCTCCAGCTGACCATCAGGTCGAACCAGAGAGCACAGAATCTGAGACAGCAGCTCCTCCGGTAGCCGTTGGATAGGCGATCCGGCCGGCATCTTGAAACGAGGGACTAACAAGAACGGCTGTTCAGCTAGATAAGTCTTTGCAAACAAGCTAAACTAATGAGACTGAAAGCTAGAACAGGTTGACTACAAGAAGCATGGTGAGGAGGATCATCAGTCGAGCAGCATCACATGATCACATCCCAATCCAACCTCGAGGCATTCAAATCAAACTCAGCATGGAGACCTTGGGATTGTCAATGACACCGCACTGCACCGCTCGTTTCATCGAACCGTTCCCGCCAAATCACCGCACGAACTAAAGGTTCGCGAAAAAACAGGCGGCGACGCAAAACGCACTCTGGCGAAATCCCTTCCTGGCCCTGCGAGATTCGTGGCCCCTCACTCGTGTCCATATGTGGACGTGGAGCGCGCATCGGGGTTAGTCACCCGATTGTACCCGCTTGTGGGGTGTCTTTCCTAAATAAATTGGTCGAACAAACCGCTAGCACCCTTATCTTGTTTCAACAATTCGAAGACCCAACTTCAGGCTAAGATCTTACATCATGGCTTTTAGGACTCCAGCCTTTGGACTTGTAAATGTTACTCTAGTTAAGCAACACCCATTGTGACAATTACCTAGTCCTATTTTCCAATACCCACATGTTACCGCTTGCTGGCACACTTTACAGTCAACTTCATCCTGTTCTACTTGTACAGTGTCCCCTTGATTGCCGAGGCGTTCCCTCCAGCACTCATTTACCGTACTTTCGCTCCTAGTCCATGCATGCTACCATAACTCTCGTCTGGGCCTTATGTGCTTGTGCTTCCACCCTTATTCAACCAGCTCTCCCTTTTTCTCCACGACACCCCTTCCGGCCTTCTGAAACCGCACAATCAACCTCAGCTCATCCTACCATCCAGTGCATTGATCAGGTTTGTCAACAGGCACTGATGCAGTTCACCCCGCAGGCTGCCATCGATCGCTCCATGGCAGCCTGCGGGGTGAACTGCATCAGTGCCTGTTGCAAGCGCTGCACGAGCAGGTTGTAACTCGCCACTTCCCTATCCACAAACCCCTCCTCCCACTGCCACCCTGCCAGGCTCCGGCCCTCTATACTTGTACATCCAGTCCATAGACCGCTCCATAGCAGCCTGTGGTGTAAATCGCAACAGCCCCTGCTGCAAGCGCTGCACCAGCGGGTTATAGCTCGTCTGCCACTGCCCTGTGCCCTGTGCACCAAACTGCAACCCTTGCTTCCCAGTCACCACGACATGCCCTCCGGCCCTCTGTACTTGTACATCCAGTCCATCGATCTTTCCATAGCCGACTGTGGAGTAAGCTGCATTAGCCCCTGCTGCAAGCGCTGCACCAGCGGGTTATAGCTCGTCTGCCACTGCCCTGTGCGCCGGGACACCCCTATCATGCGCCGCACCCGCGCCTCCCTCGCTGCTGCGTACGCTGCTAGCGCCGTGGGCACTGCCGCTGACGCCTCGTTGCGCCAGTTGTAGGCCGCACTGGAGCTGCTGCTGCTGGTACCTTCCGTGCTGCTACTGCTGCTGCTGCTGTCGCTGCTGCTATCGCTGCTGCTACTGCTGCTGCTGCTGTTGCTGCTTCTGCTGTGTTGCATGGTTGGGGCAACGCAGTACTTAGTTAAAGCCCGAGCCAACACTGCAGCATCTTCTATCGCGCTGTTCGCCCCCTGATTCACTGTCGGCAGCATCGCATGAGCCGCATCACCCAGCAGAACCACTCTGTTCTCCCCTCCAACCACTACCCGCCCCTCCACCTTCCCCCCTCCCCCTCCTCCCACACTCGGCGCTCCCCCCACCCACGGCGCGTCCGCAGGCAGCTCGAAAAACCCAATTTTAACTGCCCGAACGGTCCGGGAAAACATCGCATGAGCATCGTACGGATGAAACCAGTTCCACATGTCGTCCATCCCCTTTAAAGCGTCACTCGGTGTCCACATAGCGAGGTTATCTGCAGTAATCAGCTCCTGTTCGGACAAAAACCAGTACTGCTTGTCGCGACCCATGCTCCAGGTGCCGTAGACTTTGCCTGGCCCGAGCACCCAGTAGGCGCTGCCTTTTAGCCAGTCAGGGACGGAAGAGGTGATTCCGAGGATGCAGGAGATGCCACTGTAAGCTGCTGAACCACGGCTTGGTTTACGGTCCTGGGAGAAAATGGGAGAAAGGGAAAGGGAGAGAGTATGTATCAAAGAGCGAGTGAGTGATTGTACGCCCCAGCACTCAGTGGCGCTGCCCCTAAGCCAGTCAGGGACCGAGGAGGTGACTCCGAGGATTCAGGAGATGCCGCTGTAGGCTGCTGAGCCGCGGCTTGGTTTACGGTCCTGGGAGAGGGAGGGAGAGAGCAAGAAAGAGAGAGGGAGAATGAACAACTGATGATTTTAGATTGAACCAGAGTGTCAGTCGGGCATGAAAGAGGTAATTCCGAGGATACAGGAGATGCCGCTGTAAGCTGCTGAGCCACGGCTTGTTTTACAGTCCTGAGAGGGGGAGGGAGGGGGCAAGGGAGTGAGTGAGAGTGTGTGAGCGAGTGTGTGTGTATTTGTATAAGGTTTGTATGTGTGTGAGCGAGCGAGTCTGGGTGTGGGTGAGTTCGAGTTTAAACGACCAATAACAGATGCTGACATGGCACAACATGACTCACATGTGGGTCATGACGTGGCATGACATCACTCGCAAGTGGATCATGACGTGGTATGACGTCACTCACATGTGGATCATGACGTGGCATGACAGCAGAACGGACGGCTGATTTCACCCCATCTGCACCCACCACCACATCGCCCACCTCACACATGCCATCCTCAAAATGCACTCGCACGCCTGGTGGGGGAGAGAGAAGGAGAGGAGGGAAGGTAGGCAGGTAAACAAGAGTGCGGGACGAGTGCTCCCACCACCACATCGCCCACCTCACATGTGCCATCCTCGAAATGCACTCGCATGCTTGGTGGGGAGAGAGAAGGAAAAGAAGGGACAGAGGCCTACAGAAAGACTGACAACTGGCACACCCAGTGACAGCTGACACACCCAGTGACAGCTGGCACACCCAGTGACAGGTGGCGTACCCAGTGACAGACAGCTGGCGTACCTTTCCCTGGCCCAAGGTTTTGCACGGAGATGCACTTTTTGTTGAACAGAATGGGCGGCACGGATGCTGACTCAGCGCCTGACATCACCTCATGCACCAACAGGCCCTGCCACGTGGCACAGGGAGGTGGGGAAGGGGAGCGGAGGGGGAAGCGGCAAAGGAGGTCGGGAAGGGTGGAGAGGAGGAGGATGAGGTGGTGGGGGGAGGAAAGTTATCATGGGACAGTCAAAAGGCCTTTCAATCAACCTAATGCAAGCTTTACATTATCATCCTGAGCCCCCCGATTCCCCTTCTCCTCTCTGCCTACCCACCTGCAGCTCTGCTCGCTCCAGGGCCATCATGGGGTAGGTAGCCGTAGTACTGAGACATGAACGAGTGGTCAAAGGTGCGAAGCTCACTAGTGCAGGTGGTTATGTTGCACCGTGAAATCGCCCCTAGATCTTCGTGTGCATCTTCCTCCCTCTGACCCACCTGCAGCTCTGCTCGCTCCAATGCCATCATTGGGTAACCGTAGCGCTTGGACATGAATGAGTAGTCAAAGGTGCGAAGCTTCTTCCCACTTTCCGTGTATGTGTGTAGCGACGAGATGGGCCCGCTAAGATTCTGCGAAGCGGAACGAAGAGAAGAGGGACGCTTGAATAAAAGGAGCAATGTGTTAGGAACGAAACAAAGCCATCAGAACATACAAATGACTTAAAGACTTCACTACGTGTCAGGAACATAACACCTCCACCAGTTCAACCTCCCCCTCCCCCAGATTTACCTCTCCTACAATTACCTCCCCCAACCAACCAATGCTTTTCCGCACCTGGAACTTCTCGTACAGCCCCAACCCATCCTGCACGCGGAGCCCATTCGCGCCAAACGACAGCCCCACGCTGGCCGCCTGGATCTGCGGCACCCAGTTTCACCTCCCCCAGTTATACCTCCCCCTTCCCCAGCCTGTGTTTCCCCTCATCTTCTCGTACAGCTCAAGTCCGTCCAACACGCGCAGCGCAGCCCATTGGCACCCAGTGATACCGACAGCCTAGATCTACCTCCCCCAGTTCTACCTGCCCCTATTGTACCTCCCCCCTTCCCCCATTCTTTGTTTCCCTCACCTGGATCTTCTCATATAGCCCAAGCCCATCCAACAAGACCAGCCCATTCGCGCCCAGTGACAGCCCCGCGCCAACAGCCACTCTGTTCTACCTCTCCCAGATCTACCTCCCCCAGACTGTATTTCCCTCACCTGGATCTTCTCGTACAACCCCAACCCATCCTGCACCCGGAACCCATACGCTCCCAGCGACAGCCCCGCGCCGACCGCCTGGATCTGCGACACCCAGTTCCACCTCCCCCTGTTCTACCTCCCCACTCCTTAGCCTGTGATTCGCGCACCTGGATCTTCTCGTACAGCCCCAACCCGTCCAGCACGCGAAGCCCATTGGCGCACAGCGACAGCCCCGCTCCGACCGCCTGGATCTGCGGCGCCTGCTCGAACACCGTCGCCTCGAACAGCGACTCGGAGGGCGATGCGGGGGGCAAGGCCGTGGCGGAGCCGGCAGCGGCGGCTGTAGCTGAGGGGGTGGCGGCTGTAGCAGCGCGTTGGAGGATCGCGGGAAGCGTGCGGGCGGTGATTTGGCGGAGCGCGAGGGAGAGCGTGCAGCCGCCGATGCCGGCGCCCACGATCAGGACGCGTAGCTTGCGCATTGTGACTATAGCGCGAGGTGACAGGAGCGGGAGAGCGTGAGCATAGAGGATCTTGAATACTTGAAGCTTCGCTTGGAAGTGCAGATGAAACTAGCTAGTAGGCATGGGAAGGTAGACGCGACGCGGTTGTCCTTTGTTTCATCTCGTCAAAGAGACGAAATGATCTGAATCAGGTGATGGTAGCAATGGATAGTGGTGATGCGACGGTGATGTAACCCGGTTACAGGTCACACTGGAATCCTGATCCAAGCAACCAAAGAGCTCCAAGCATTGTCATAGCCTGAGGACAACAAAAGAAGCTGACGTGCCAACGATAGGATGTGGATGGGTATGGTGATGGAAACGCGATTAGGGATCCCCAACACGAGTTTCGAGATGTCCCAAAACGCGACGAGATATTAAAATCTGCGAAACGAGCCAAGCTCAAGGATGGAGTCCTGGGTGTTGTTTCAAAATTCCCGAGTCGAGAATCGAGCCAAGCTCAAGATGCCCAAGGAATTCGCCAAGCAGCCCAACCCAACCCAACCGAACCACACACAGCTTGGCTGAGAGGGGTGGTACATCCGCGATAAAGAGCGAGCGGGGTGATGTATCCGCATCTGTACCTTCTCATATATGGCTTTGTAACATCTATATTATCTTCCTCCAAGAGGCAGAGGTACCCCACCTTATACTACAAAGACGTGTGGAACATGGGCCAATGTATGCCAAATCGGTGTTAAACCTAAATAATTTACAGGCACACAAAACCATACCAATTTAAAAGCTTGCACAGTTTGTGCAGGTTTGAGAGGAGCTCCTTGTGTGCACTGCTGTTGGTTGACCCCAGGGATGGTGGCAGTGAAGCTATTCAACCATACTACACAACACACGTCTTGTTCTTTGATTGTTAGCAGCACACATGAATGGATTTACATACCTTAAGAAACAGTATTGAAGTCCTCTAGTTTCAAAAATATACATTGTACGCTAGTGGCAGTCCATATTTTCTGGTTTCAGCCACACTGGCTGCTAATATCCTACATGTACGTGTGCTGTTAAGTTGCCTCTGGTTCCAGCCTCAGCTGCTACAGCAAAAGTTGGTCTTTTTCCTAATATTGTCTCAGTGCACCACTGATTCGGCGGAGAGTGACTCGGCTGCTGGAGCCCGTAATTCTCCGCCTGGCTCCAAACCTGCCGATGCCAACCGAAATGCCTGATGCTGCCAATGCCTGCCTCTCCTCCTCCTCTTCCTCATCCATGTACAGCTGATTCATACAGCACATTGTTCCACCCCCACGGACCTTGGACCTTTGTCTGCTGCTCCCATCCTCCTCCACTTCCACTTCCTCCCCATCATCATCATCCCCATACAACTGGTTTGAGACAGCCCATTTTTCCTCTGCCTTCCCAAACCCCTTCACCTCCGTGCTCCATTCCTTACCACTGCTGGAAACGCCTTTAATAATCCCTCTCTTCACTGAGTTGTTCTCGGCTGCCAGGAGCAAACCAGCAGGGGTCAAACCAGAATGATCAGCAGAGGACGAGGAGCAGAGGGTGGAAATGCCACATCCCTTCCCAGTGCTGGAAACACCTCGGCCAATCCCCCTCTTCAAACCAGCAACCTCCTTCGTCAAGCCAGTGGGGCTGCTGCAGAGGCTATCAGCAGAGGAGGAGGAGGAGGAGGAATTCGAATAGAGGTGGATGGGACACGAACTGCGGCTGCTGCAGCTGCTCTCACTGCGACTCAAGCTGCACCACCCGCTGCGCACCTCTGCTCCCACCTTCCCACCCTGCTGTGCCTCTGATTCCGCCGACCCATCCTGCTCTGATCCGGTGTCCATACCCAACCAGGCTGCAACCTTGGCTGAGGAGGCAGCAATCTTAGCAACTGAGTCAACTGAGGAGGTGCGTGAGGCAACTGAGTCTTCCTGAGCAAGCAGCTCCAGGAACAAAGAGGTTTTTTCTTCGGTTCCACTGATTTCTTTACTTCCTCTGCTTCCTCAGCTTTCTCAGCCTGAGTCGAAACGGCAGAGGCACAGTTGAAGCATCCAAAGTCACCGTTGAAGCATCCACAGTCACAGCCACAGCCACAGCAACGGTTTCAAGCTCTGCATCTGCTGACGCAGTTTCTTCAAGAAGCGCGACAACAGGAACAACGGGAACCGACTGCACCTCCACTGCTGCTTGCTCGCACGGCCTGATCCAATTGAAGACGGCCTGCGCGAGGAACCAGAGATCAATAATGGAAGATTAGTCACCATTTCAATAAGTGCTGAAATTTATCATCAATCAGAAAAGAGATGCTTGACTGCAACATGTCGAATGTGCAGAAACGAAAGCGACGGCTGAGAAAAGAATATTCTACCGGCGCGGAGTAGCGATCATGGTGCAGACGACGCGAGTGAGGGAGTCATTCTGCTCCCAGCAGCTCGAGAACAGAGCATCGACGTCCACGCAGGAGCTCTCAGCACCGATGCAGGCCATATTGCTGACGTACGAAGAGTTGGAAGGTTACGGCTAAGCTTTCGCGACGAGTTGGAAGGTTACTGCTAAGCTTTCGCGACGAATTTGCAGAGTACCCGAGCACTTGACAAGAGGTGTACAGCAGGGAGCTCGAGCCGGTAGGAACTCGAGGGCAAAGAAAGAAGATCAGCGAGCAACTTCAGTCGAGACCGATGAATGAATGAGAACCACCAGCGACATAATTATAATGTTTCTGTCTGGTGGGTGTAGCAGGCGTCGAGTGAGAAGCGGGTGAGAGCGAGCGAGCGAGGAAATGCGACGAGAGGGGTGGGAGGGTGGCTGGGGGAGCCAGGCAAGCCGGGGGGACCCGCCGATGGTCGCTGCTTTGCAACGCCAGTGGGGTGGGCTTGCGAGGGCTTGCGATGGCTTGCGATGATGACTGGAGCCCATGGCGATATCGTCTTCTGTTCTCGAGGGTATCGGGAAGTCGCACGAGTTTTCAAATTTACAGCAACGACTCAGGGTATACCACGTGTATCTTATGTGCCAGCGAGGAGAGTCGTTTGGAAGCGCGTATTGCTCTATCGTCCGCCGCAATCGGGAATACCTGAGTGCGATCCGAGATTTGAAGGCGAGATTTGGAAGGCGGGAAATAGCTCAGGTTCGGAGCCGACGAGAGTTACGGCTGACGCTGTAGGGTCTACCGAACCTGATCTCAAAGCCTGAGAGAATAGCGGGACTGTGTGAGACCACGTAGAGTAAGCTATACCCGCTATGCTAGCGGGTAGCAGGTAGGGCAGTTTGGTGTTTCGAAAGGCAGGGGAGCAAAATCGAGACTCGAGAAGCGCTACACGTTTTCCCCGCTTCGTCATAATGACGAAAAACGTGATGAGTGTTTGCCAGCCTTGTATACAATTTCCACATGAAATAAAACAAGATGAAAAGGTTGCGCATTATGATGTATTCCTCATGGCCATATGGTCAAACAACCATGATATACAATACTGTACGAGAAATATCATTCAGCATAACAAACCAGAGCACTGTTTGTCAATGGTATTATCGTAGTATTTGGCAAGCAACATCTTGCACGTAAGTGCATCTGCGGACCCTTTCAGTACTATCCAACGACAAATTCATCCTGTTTGGGAGCGAAGAAAAATCTTCAAGATGACGACGACAATGTTGGTGTGCCTACGTTGATGCGAACAGTGACGGTGCCTACGTGGACGGTGCAGATATTGATGGTGCCGACATGGACGGTGCAGATGTTGACGGTGCCTACGTGGACGGTGCAGATGTTGATGGTGCCGACATGGACGGTGCAGCTGTCGATGATGCACAATGGATGGCCGAAGGGCTGTGGAGCCCAGAACCAGGAACCTCATCCATTCCCGGTCCAACAGCCAAAGTGGACCCTCTCCTTCCACCATCCACAAATATACACACACTATTGCCGTACCGCCTCCCCCCCATTTCACCCCCACTTCCCTCCCCTCCATCCTCCATCCCACCCTCCTCCACCTCCTCATCCCCTTCCTCCATCTTCCCTTTCCCTTTTTCTTTCCTCCCTTTCTTTCCCTTTTTCCCTTTACCCATACCCTCTTCATACCCACCACCAGGAGTGGCCCAAACCGCCCCACTCTCATGCGTTCCCCCCACCCCATTCCCTTGCGCCCCCCCTTCCCCAGCAGCAGCAGGATCCGGCGGGAGAAGAGAGGGTGAGGCGGAGGGGGGAGGGGGGAGGGCCTTGAGAGCGGAGTGCAGGAGGGAGAAGGGGAGGGCGAGGGCGGGGAGGAGCACACCGGATCGATGAAGCATGGCGAGGGTGATAAGAGCTGGGGGAAAGTAGGAAAGTAAGGGGGGTGGGGGGTAATATTGGGCAGATGGGGGGTGAGAGGGAGGGCGAGGGCGGGGAGGAGCACACCGGAGCGATGAAGCAGGGCCAAGGTGACGAGAGCTGCAGGACGGGGAGGGAACAGGGGGTGAGGGGTGGTATTGGGAGATGGGGGGTGAGCGAGGGTAAGAGGGTCTTGTGAGGAGAGTGCAGGAGGAAGAAGGGGAGGGCGAGGGCGGGGAGGAGCACACCAGAGCGATGAAGCAGGGCCAAGGTGACGAGAGCTGCAGGACGGGGAGGGAACAGGGGGTGAGGGGTGGTATTGGGAGATGGGGGGTGAGCGAGGGTAAGAGGGTCTTGTGAGGAGAGTGCAGGAGGAAGAAGGGGAGGGCGAGGGCGGGGAGGAGCACACCAGAGCGATGAAGCAGGGCCAAGGTGACGAGAGCTGCAGGACGGGGAGGGAACAGGGGGTGAGGGGTGGTATTGGGAGATGGGGGGTGAGCGAGGGTAAGAGGGTCTTGTGAGGAGAGTGCAGGAGGAAGAAGGGGAGGGCGAGGGCGGGGAGGAGCACACCAGAGCGATGAAGCAGGGCCAAGGTGACGAGAGCTGCAGGACGGGGAGGGAACAGGGGGTGAGGGGTGGTATTGGGAGATGGGGGGTGAGCGAGGGTAAGAGGGTCTTGTGAGGAGAGTGCAGGAGGAAGAAGGGGAGGGCGAGGGCGGGGAGGAGCACACCAGAGCGATGAAGCAGGGCCAAGGTGACGAGAGCTGCAGGACGGGGAGGGAACAGGGGGTGAGGGGTGGTATTGGGAGATGGGGGGTGAGCGAGGGTAAGAGGATCTTGTGAGGAGAGTGCAGGAGGAAGAAGGGGAGGGCGAGGGCGGGGAGGAGCACACCAGAGCGATGAAGCAGGGCCAAGGTGACGAGAGCTGCAGGACGGGGAGGGAACAGGGGGTGAGGGGTGGTATTGGGAGATGGGGGGTGAGCGAGGGTAAGAGGATCTTGTGAGGAGAGTGCAGGAGGAAGAAGGGGAGGGCGAGGGCGGGGAGGAGCACACCAGAGCGATGAAGCAGGGCTAAGGTGATGAGAGCTGGGGGATAAAGGGGGGAACATGGGGCAGAAGTGGTATAAGGCATCCCATGATCAGCTAGTCTAGTAGGAGGCCTTTAAAAGCGAAGTGCAGGATAGAGAAGGGGAGAGCGAGAGCGGGGAGAAGCACACAGGAGCGATGGAGGAGGGCCAACGTGATGAGCGGGGAAGGGGAAGAGGTAACATGGGGTGGGGTGAATATGGGCCACATAAGGGGTGGGGGAGGGTAGGAAAAGATTGAGGGATCACACAACAAACTAGTTTAGGGGGAGAGGGGGGGGGTGGGGAAAGAGGGAAAGTGGGGACACAGAGGAGGGGGGAGGGAAAGGTGGGGAGTCGAAGAATTTTTAATATGAGTACCCAGGGGGAGATGACAGGGTTGGGGAGATGACAGGGTTGGGGAGATGACAGGGTTGGGGAGATGACAGGGTTGGGGAGATGACAGGGTTGGGGAGATGACAGGGTTGGGGAGATGACAGGGTTGGGGAGATGACAGGGTTGGGGAGATGACAGGGTTGGGGAAATGACAGGGTTGGGGAGAGTGAAAGATATACTGACGGCAGGTGTGAAGCACATTTTTAACCCTTAAAGGTGTACCTGCGAGGATGACAAAAGAAACATCCTGCACCAGCTCACCTGCGAGGATGATGAGCATTACTGCTATGGCTCCTGCGAAGCGACCCCAGCAGGCATGCGTGACGAAGCAGGCCATGCCGAAGAATGCAGGGCAGGCAAAACTGTGTGTGGAGGACGGGATAAGAGGAATGGCAGGGTTTGCGGAGAGGTAGAGGGGGTGGGGCAGCGACCCCAGCAGGCATGCGTGACGAAGCAGGCCATGCCGGAGAATGATGGACAGGCGAGGCTGAGTGGAGGGAGGGACAAGAAGAAGGACATGGTGTGTGGACAATGGGTTAAAAGAAATGGCACAGTCTGCGGAGAGGTAGAGGGGGTGGGGCAGCGACCCCAGCAGGCATGCGTGACGAAGCAGGCCACGCCGGAGAATGATGGACAGGCGGAATTGGGTGGACGAAAGGGAGGGATGAGGGAAGGGAGAGGAAAGAGTGTGCGGAAAGGCACAGAAAGTAGGTTGCAACTCCAGCAGGCATCAGTGAGGAGCAAGCCTTGCAGAAGAATACAGGAGCTGTCACTTGAACGCGCGGAGGAGGAGGAAGAGGAGGAGGACGGGCGAGGAGAGAAGATTTCTAAGTTTGAGGCGCCTCAGGCGAGGCGAGGCAACACACCAGGCGAGGGGAGAAGAGCGTTGTGTTTTGGATGGCCTTGCCGTCTGACTGCCCGCTCTGTCTCTCTCTCTCAGAAATAATCACCCACCTGCAAGAGCTGTCACTTGAACGTGAAGAGGAGGCAGACGAGGAGGAAGAGCCAGGGCGAGGGGAGAAGAGCGTTGTGTTTTGGATGGCCTTGCCGTCTGACTGCCCGCTCTGACCGCCTGTCACGCTCTTACCACCAGCCCACCCACCTGCAAGTGCTGTCACTCGAACGCGAATTGGAGGAAGAAGAGGAGGAGGAGCCAGGGCGAGGGGAGAAGAGCGTGGTGTTCTGGATGGCCTTTCCGTCCGACTGCCCGCTCTGCGCCCCGCGGTTGTCCACCGTGGCGTTGGTGGTGAAGGCGAGGGGTGCCACGTCAGCAACTGATGAGATGGCGTCATATAGGACCACTGGGGGAGGGATGGGGGAGGGGGAGGGAAGGAGATGTGATGCATGGTGCATGGGTCCCAGCGCATGGTGCATGGGTCCCAGCGCATGGTGCATGGGGCACAACACAGCGCATGGTGCATGTTGTATTGCTGGGAGGCCTCCTGCCAAGACAGGAGCGCTGGGAAGCAAAACATTCCTGCAGCTGCAGCAGAAAGGTGAAGCCCGCTGCTGAGTCGACAAAGACACACTGTGAGTGAGGGGTAACTGCAGAGGCGCCTCAAAATGCATCTCACCAAGGCAGGAGCGTTGCGAGGCAAGGGAATCTTGGAGTTGCAGCAGAAAGGTGAAGCTGGTTGTTGCTCCTGCTGCTATGCTGCGCTCCTGTGCCTGGTGGGAGGGGGAGGAAGACGAATGATATCGACAAACAAGCAAGTTGGGGAAGATTCAAGAGGAAAGGGGAGCGCCTAGGAAAATGAAAAGGAAGTGGAGGAGAGAAGGGCAAGGGGAGAGAAGAGAAGAACTGTCGAAGAGAAGAACTCACTGGTATTGGGAGAACCCCTGAGGAGCAATTCTGAATCTGCAAGCAAAGGAGTACGAGGAGGGGAGTATGAAAGAAGAAAAGGATAAGAGGGAGGTGTGAAAAAGTGAAGGCGATTGGGGTGAGAAGGGACTGGTGGCATACAGACAGCAGATTTTTTAGTCGAATATAGTGCATTCTGCGCGTAGATTGTGTGGACTGAGGGCGAGTGCACACTGAGACCTCACAGTGCCAGTGTGCATTGCAAGCATCTGATGTGTGAGTGTACCGTGAGCGTGAAGTCTGCATCCAGAGAGCCATTGATTGACACTGACTGGGCCAACTCAAGAGCCACTTCGTTTTGGGACCGGAACATGTCTGTTCTCAAGCGATGTGTGAGTGTACCGTGAGCGTGAAGTCTGCATCCAGAGAGCCATTGATTGACACTGACTGGGCCAACTCAAGAGCCACTTCGTTTTGGGACCGGAACATGTCTGTTCTCAAGCGATGTGTGAATGTACCGTGAGGGTGAAGTCTGCATCCAGAGAGCCATTGTTGGCAATCCTGATGTTCACCCTGCCCTCACTCGACATGGCCTCAAAGAGAGGCACTGCCACCGACACTATGCGCCCGGGGCTCCTGTGAGAGGAGGACGAGGGAGGAGAGGAAAAGAGAGAGTCGTGGTTGGCAATCCTGATGTCCACCCGCCCCTCACTGGACATGGCTTCAAAGAGAGGCGCTGCCACTGACACTATGCGACCGGGGCTCCTGTTAGAGGAGGACGAGGGAGTAGAGGTAGCAGATAGAGACGAGAGATCTGTTGTTGGCAATCCGTATGTCCACCCGCCCCTCACTGGACATAGCTTCAAAGAGTGGACACTATGTGTGGAGCAGGACTCCTGTGTCAGGGACGAGAGGGAGGAGAGATAGAAAGAAAGGAAGGAGACTCCTCATAAAAAGCAAGCAGATGGAGGAGAAGAAAGATGGAGTTGGGAATTCTCCTTTCTTCTCAAAGGCACGAAAGGAGGAATTCTCCATTCAAACGCAAGGCTGTTGTGGGCAATCCAGACGTCCACCCTGCCCAGATGTCAAGGCGATTTTTGAGGCGCCTCAAAAGGTGCCTCAAAAAGGGCGCCTCAACAATCACCTCAGCATACGCAAGGCTGTTGTGGGCAATCCAGACGCCCACCCTGCCCTGACATAATTACCCACCTGTTCTTGATGAAGGTGACGTCATCAGCAGCAATTTCGAGGGTGATGAGGGAGTTGAGTCGCTGAGTCACCACGAGAGCGATACTGAGAGAGCCGTTGGGCTGGAGGGGGTTGCGGTTCAGATGGGTAAAGATGGAATTTAGAAGACGGGAAAGTGCGAATGTGATGAGGGAGTTGAGTCGCTCTGAGTCACAACCAGGGCAATGCTGAGAGAGCCGTTCGGCTGGAGGGGATGTGGTTTAGTGCGGTGGAATGGGGTTCAATTAGGTAAGAAGTGAAAGGCAAGGGCAACGGCCAGTCATGCGACTTGAGTCGCTGAGTGACGACCAGGGTTTATGGTAGGAGGGTCATCAGCTGGAATCTCGAGAGTGATGAGGGAGTTGAGTCGCTGAGTCACAACCAGAGCGATACTGAGAGAGCCGTTGGGCTGGAAGGGGAGCGCGGTTCAGATGGGTTTAAATGGAACCAGAACACAGAAAATGAGAGACTTTGATGAGGGAGTTGAGTCGCTGAGTCACGATGAGGGTAATGATGAGAGAACCGTTTTTTAGGCGCCTCAAAAAGGGTATTGATGAGAGAACCGTTTTTTAGGCGCCTCAAAAAGGGTATTGATGAGAGAACCGTTTGGCTGCCAAGGGAGTGTGGTCAAAATGCGTTCAGATGGGAAACGAAGACCGTAAAATGAAGGGAAAGTTGATATTATGATGTGATGAGGGATTAGAGTCTCTGAGTCACCACGAGAGCGACCGCAGGAACCAATAGTAAGAAATCTTACCGTTCTTGTGGCTGCTATTTATGTTGGGACCCACTTGAAGTGGGTTAAACACGAGTGATGTCAGAACAAAAACTCACGCTTTCCAGGGTGGTGATCGGCCCGAGCGACGACAGCGCGTGAATGGGGTCTAGGCCCTGCGCCACTCGCTGGGCGTCCTCCTGTTGTAGCGATATGAGGAGAGAGGGCAAGAAGAGAAGCAGACGGCGAGAGGGGTGAGGTGGATCGTTAGCCGCCGCTTCTCCTACTCCTCACTTCGAAACAGATCAAGGCCCTAACCTGACCCCATCCATGCATGAATGTGAAACCCACTGGGCATCCTCCTGCTGTGATTACTTTTGAGGCGCCTCAGAAGCCGAGGAGTGAGCCATTGTAACGAGGTGACTTTTGAGTCGACTCAAAAGTGAATGTGAAACCCACCGGGCATCCTCCGGCTGTGATTATGAAGCCAAGGAGGAGTGAGGTGGAGAGACCAGCACGGGCGAGACGGTTCATGAGTCAATCAGTAAGCGCATTGCATGCATGGGCTCACGACCGTGAGCCATGCGCTGGGCGTTGGTGATAAGTTTACCAGTCGACTCAGAGACCATCGGCAACTCAGTAGACGCATGCAAGGGCTCACGACTGTGAGCCATGCGCTGGGCTTATGAGCCCTGCCTTGGCGAGATGAGGGGAAGCCAGCTCTCCGTGGCCTCTTTCCACTCCATGCCCCTCACTCCTCCTCTCTACCAATCCTCCTCTCTCCCACCCCCCCTCTCGCTCGAAACGGAAGGAGCTATAGCTGGTGCCCACCTTGCCGCACTCACTGCCGTCCAGTCCAGCGCCTTGAGGCACCAACGCATGCCGTGCTGAAAATTGTTCAAAACGACACCAGCACCGACTAGTGTGGTGATTCGAATTATAACAGCAGCCAAGATTCATTCATCTGACCTGGGCAAAGTCCAGCAGTTGGTTCGAAAGGCAGGAGCCCACGGAGCGCTGGCAGCGGTCGGGCTCAAAGCGGAAGGCGCTGAAGCTGGTGCCCACCTTGCTGCACTCGCTGCCGTTGAGCTTGAGGCACTCCGTGCCGTCCAGCACCTTGCGGCACCAACTGGAGTGGTGATTGATTGGACTCAATAGCCTACCGACTCGTGTGGTGATTCGCCTCAAGAACCAACTGACCTGGGCGAAGTCCAGTAATTGATTTGAGAGGCAGGAACCAACAGAGCGCTGGCATCGGTCGGGCTCGAAGCGGAAGGCGCTGAAGCTGGTGCCCACCTTGCTGCACTCGCTGCCGTCCAGCGAGTAGCGCTCCTTGTCCACCAGCAGCCAGCCTGGAGCAGGGATTGGGAATGGGGCCAAAGGAATAGTGAGAGGAACAAAGGTGCGACCTTGGGAAGCTGAAGCTGGTGCCCACCTTGTGCACTCACTGCCGTCCAGCGAGTAGCGTTCCTTGTCCACCAGCAGCCAGCCTGGAGCAGGGATTTGGAATTCGGGTCAAAGGATTAGTAGGAGGAAACGAAGGTGCCATTTAGCAGCGAGTAGCCCTCCTTGTACACTCCACTAGCAGCTACCCTGGAGCAGGGAATAAGGATTTTGGGAGCAAAGGTTTTGGTAAAAGTGAGAGTTTCTTGAGCTACATATGTGTATCCGTGGGATGCTGAAGCTGGTGCCCACCTTGCTGCACTCGCTGCCGTCCAGCGGGTAGCGTTCCTTGTCCACTAGCAGCCAGCCTGGATCGGGATTTTGGAATTCGGGATAAAGGGTTAGAAGGAGAAATGGAGGTGCGATTTAACAGCAAGTAGCGTTCCTTGTCCACTAGCAGCGAGCAGAGCAGACGAGCTTGGGTTTAGGGATACGGAGGATGGAAAAACTCGGCCTGAATCTGCCAAAGGTGGGGGAGCCCGGCTGCAGGGGCACGAAGAGCAGGCAGTCACTCAGGTTGGCAGCTGCGTGTTGGTCAGAAAGCACATCCCGACTCACCTTCTCACCCCTTCCCCCCACCGTTCTCCTAGTATCACCCGTGCCCTTCCTCACACCCTTCCACCCACTTCCAAACCCACCCAACCTGAAGTGTCGGAGGTGAATTAGCCAAACGTGGGGGAGCCTGGCTGCAGGGGCATGGAGAGCAGGCGGTCACTCAGGTTGGGCTGCTGCGTGTAGGTCCTCTCACCCATTCTTCCCACACTCCGCCCCACCCCCAAATGCAACCCACCTGATGTATCAGACGTGAATCGGCCGAAGGTGGGGGAGCCTTGCTGAAGGGGCATGGAGAGCAGGCGGTCACTCAGGTTGGGCTGCTGCGTGTAGGTCCTCTCACCCATACTTCCCACTCCCCGCCCCACCCCCAAGTGCAACCCACCTGATGTATCAGAGGTGAATCGGCCGAACGTAGGAGAACCAGGCTGAAGGGGCACGGAGAGCAGGCGGTCGCTCAGGTTGGGCAGCTGCGTGTAGGTCCTCTCACCCATTCTTCCCACACTCCGCCCCACCCTTAAATGCAACCCACCTGAAGTGTCAGAAGTGAAACGACCGAACGTGGGGGAGCCAGGCTGCAGGGGCACGGAGAGCAGGCGGTCGCTCAGGTTGGGCAGCTGCGTGTAGGTCAAAAAGTCCCCCACCAGAGTGGCTGAGAGTGATTGAGAGGGGTTCACTGCGACTGGGGCCGTGGGGGATAGTATGAGCGTTTCCTGTGTGTGTGGGAGTGGGAGGCAAGGAAATAGAAGGCGCAGCACAGAGAAGTTTGATGACTTAGACCGAGTGAGCGGGGTTCACTGCGACTGGGGCCGTGGGGGATAGTATGAGCGTTTCCTGTGTGTGTGGGAGTGGGAGGCAAGGAAATAGAAGGCGCAGCACAGAGAAGTTTGATGACTTAGACCGAGTGAGCGGGGTTCACTGCGACTGGGGCCGTGGGGGACAGTATGAGCGTTTCCTGTGTGTGTGGGAGTGGGAGGCAAGGAAATAGAAGGCGCAGCACAGAGAAGTTTGATGACTTAGACCGAGTGAGCGGGGTTCACTGCGACTGGGGCCGTGGGTGATAGTATCATACCAGTGTTTCCTGTGGTGGGGGGGAAAATCCATAAGCTGGATAGAGCGCATCCATTGCTTTAGGTGAGGAAGTCCCCCACCAGAGTGGCTGAGAGCGATTGAGACGGGTTCACTGCGACTGGGGCCATGGGTGAGAGGACAAGTAGTTCCAGTGGTGGGTTGAAGGGGAGTGCAGGAGGAAGGGATGGGAATAAATTCTGAGGATTCTCAAAAAGAACTGCTGCGTCGAACACCAGAGACGCCATGCCACGCCTCTACCTCTACCTGTAGCATCACCCTTCACCCCTGCTACTACCGTACCAACTCCACAGGGACACCTTCGAATGCACCGCACCTGCTCCTGCGGGTCTGACAGCAGCTTGCTGACGGGACCTGGATCTGGAACACCAGGAGACGCAATTCCACGCCTCTACCTCTCTCTACCTCTAGCGTCACCCTTCACCCCCTGAATGCCACACACCTGCTCCTGCGAGTGGGACAGCAGCTTGCTGATGGTGACCTGGATCTGGAACACCAGGAGACGCAATTCCACGCCTCTACCTCTCTCTACCTCTAGCGTCACCCTTCACCCCCTGAATGCCACACACCTGCTCCTGCGAGTGGGACAGCAGCTTGCTGATGGTGATCTGGATCTGGAACACCAGGAGATGCCAGACCAGGTCTCTCTCTACACAGCACCATTCCTCCGCTCACGGCAACGCACCTGCTCGTGCGAGTCAGAGAGAAGCTTGCTGATGGTGATTTGGATCTGGAACACCAGAGACGCCACGCCTATGCGGTACGTGGGGTACCTGGTGGTGAGGAGGTGGAAACGATGGGTGGAGAGGGGTGGAATCAGGACAAGTGTGTGGGGTAAATAATGCCTATGCTGTACGTGGGTGGGGTATCTGGTGGTGCGGGGGTGGTGAGGACGTGGAGGGGTGAAGAGGTCGGGAAGAGGGTGGCACAGGAAACAACTGGTGGGTTACAACACCCCCATGTGCGGCTTTTCTAGTTTAACAAGTCTTTATAGAAAAAAAACAACAAAAGTTACAACTGACCAGGTGTCGTTGAATCGAAGGCAGTGAGAGCTGGAGGGCACTCCTCCAAAGAACAGCTCTGAGATGGGCGGTGGAAGAGTCGAGACGTGAAACACAAGGAAAGAAACCCGAATCAGGAGATCGCCTTGCCGTACTCTGCTATGTGAAGTGTATCCGTCCATTTGCAGTAGGCCATGGCAAATGTTCCCACTACTGCAAATGTACCCTCCCTGTCTCTCCCTGTCTCACCTTCCCCCCAAAACTCCCCATCCCATCCCCCAACCACTCTCCTTCTCTTCCTAACTTTCTGAACCCCCACAGGCACACCTTCCCTTCCGCAGCCACTCACTCTGCCGCCACAGGCTATAGTCTAGGTCAGCCCTGAACTGCTGCGGATTGTTCCTCCTACTGTCTCTCCTCCCCCGTTCCCCACTCTCCCATTTCCATCATTCTCCGAGCACCCTTCCCCACCCACTCACTCTGCCGCCACAGGCTGCAGTCCAGGTCAGCCCTGAACTGCTGCGGATTGTCCAGACCAATGGAGTCCTTCCACGTGTCACCCCCACTGCAACTGCAGCAGAACCCCTGAACAAGCGCAAGCAGAAAGGCCGGAGGAAGTGGGAAGAAAGCTTAGTTGAAACCTACGTGTGGGTCTTTTTTTGAAAATACTGATTCACCTGACTGCTGGAAACCCAGCAACCGTTTGGATGGAGGAACCAGCACACATTGGAAAGCAACCGTGTGGAAAACACACATTGGATCGCTGACATAAACCACCGCTTTTGTACCCCATTGCTCAGCTAAGTGAGAGTGTTGATTCACCTGGCTGTTGAGCACTCTTGTGCCGTCCTGATAGAGGAACCAGCCGCATGTGGGATCGCTGTCATAAGCACTGCCGCTGCACCCCGTTGCTCAGCTGCTCCCTGCCTGCCCACTGTCCAGCCCAGCCCGTTCACTTATTCACCTGGCTATTGGGAACCCTGGAGCCGTCTGGGTATAGGAACCAGCCACACGTGGGATCTTGTAGTCACCACCAGCACCACCCCGTTGCTCACCTGAGTGGTTGACTCTCAGAGTGTTGTCCCACCTGGCTATTGGGAACCCTGGAGCCGTCTGGGTAGAGGAACCAGCCGCATGTGGGATCGCTGTCATAGGCACCGTCCCTGCACCCCGTTGTAGTCACCACCACCTCGTACGGCCGGCCATTGAAGGACTGCCACGTGGCAGGCAGGCAGAGTGTGGGCGGGCAGGGGGGAAAAAGTCCAAGAAAAAAGAGAAACCCATCCCAGCATGTGGAAGAGCCAAGACGAGTGGATGGGGCCTGCTCGACCTGGAGCACGAAGGGAAGAGGAGTTCTTCCCGGCTTCTAAATCACAAAATCACATATTCGTTTGTTACGTGATGCAAGATAAGAGTTCAACAGCACAACTTTTCTTGCCACCATAACATCACTATATCAGTGCTACCCTGCAGGAACATAGGCACCACAGAGTGGGTACACACGCCATAGAGGCTTGTGATTCCATTTTGTTTGAGGTTGATTTTGAGAATTATCAAAATCAACCTCAAACAGCACAACTTGCCTTGCCACCATAACATCACTATATCAGTGCTACCCTGCAGGAACAGAAGCACCACAGAGTGGGTACACACACACGCCATAGAGGCTTGTGATTCCTCGATATGCACTCAACTCTGGCTATACCTGCAGGAACGTGAGCGGATACACGGCATAGACCGGCGTTTTCGCCACGGTGATCTTCACAGGGTCTGCCAACCGCCTCCCCGGGCCTTACCTCCGTCTGCTGCCAGCACTACATCAACCTCACCTGCAGGAACGTGAGAGGGTACACGGCATAGACTGGCGTCTTCACCACGGTGATCTTCACAGGGTCTGCCAACCGCCTCCCCGGGCCTTACCTCCGACTGCTGCCAGCACTACATCAACCTCACCTGCAGGAACGTGAGAGGGTACACGGCATAGACTGGCGTCTTCACCACAGTAATTTTCACAGGGTCTGCTAACCGCCTCTCCGTTCCCTCCCCTCCCTTTCCTACCCCTCCTCCCCTTCCCCCCCCTCCTCCGCCTCCCCCTCCTGCCACTGTGCCATTCCCTCCTCCTCCGTACCCTTCCTTGGTGCTGTTTTCTCCCCCTCCTCCTCCATTCGCTCCCTCGCTGCTGTTATCTCCTTTGCCGCTGCCTCCGGATCTCCCACCAGCAGCACCTGTGCTGTCACTCACGCGAGTCAGCACTGCCTCTATTGCCTCCGTGCCTAGCGTCTGGAGGGGAGAGGAGGGAGGAACAAGTGGAGTTAGGAACAGCGAGAGAGAGCATGATCTTCTTTCTGCACTTGACTGACTTGGCCTTTTGCAGCATATACCTCAAGAAGAGGGCACCCTGGCATCACTGGATAGCCTGTGGAGACAGCGATTGAGACTGGCATGCACGACCGTTGGAGACAGGACAGCTAGTGAGAGCACGATCTTCTTTCTGCACTTCACTGCCTTGGCCCCCTCAGGCACGTAACTCTAGACGAGGGTCATCTGGCACACAACTCTAGAGGAGTATCACCTGGCACACACACAACTCTAGAGGAGTATCACCTGGCACACACACAACTCTAGAGGAGTATCACCTGGCACACACACAACTCTAGAGGAGTATCATATCACCTGGCATGACCTGAATGGACAGCCTGTGAATGACTCACATGACCGTTGGAGACAGCAAGAGAGAGCACGATCTTCTTCCTGCACTTCACTGACTTGGCCCCCTCTGGTATGCAAGGAGGGTAACCATGCAGTACCTGATTGGATAGCCTCCAGATGTCTCACATGTCCGTTGGAGACAGCAAGGGACAGGGCGATCTTCTTCCTGCACCTTACAGTGGCCTCACGATGCAATCACGTAGCAAGCAATCTTTTGAACTCACATGACCGTTGGAGACAGCAAGTGATATGACGATCTTCTTCCTGCACTTCACTGACTTGGCTCCGTCTGGTACGTAACTCGGCTGCTGCTCCTGCTCCCCTCCTCCCCAATCACCCCCAGGCACTGTTCCTGCCGCACCGTACCCCACTCCTCCTCCCTCTTCCACTCCTCCAGCCGCTGATGCTAATGAAGAAGCAGCTGATGCTGATGGTGATGCTGAAGGCGTATTAAGAACTGCACCTTGCCTCTGCTTCTGCAGTATTGTGCCCGTACCAGCAAACTCCCCACCAGCAGCATCCATACCAGCAGAATCTGTACCAGCAAGCCCCCCATCAGCCACACACATAGTGAGGTCGCTCTTTGCAATGATGCCTGCTGCACACAGCAGCACGCCCCTCGATAGCTTCCCGTCCGTCCGATTCCCACCAGGCACGATCTGGTCCGTCCATTTGTCGACATCCAGCAGCAGCAGAGCCATGAGGAGCAAGAAGTGCCGACATGCTCGATGCATTATGGAACTCTGCGATTACCCACTCCCTCTTCTGCTGCTTCTGCTGCTGCTTCTGCGTCTGCTGCTTCTGCTGTTGCTTCTGCTGCTACTTTGGGCCTGCTTATGCCAACGAACTGCTGCTGCTTCTGCCACTTTCCCTACCAAATCTGTGTTCTTCGTCCTACAAAGAAGTTCAGCACCGAAGTGGACCCTTCCATAACTTATTCCACGCCGTCAATCAGCAATTGACACTAGCCGCGAGAAATCAGCAGCTCAATTCTTCATAAAAAGAAGAAGAAGAAAACAAACATCTGACATCAGATTCTCCCCGTTCCCTTTCCCTCCCTTGAGTTGCTCTCTGTGTCTCCTCTCTCCTTTCCTCTCTCTGTGTCTCCTCTCTCCTTTCCTCTCTCTGTGTCTCCTCTCCCCTTTCCTCTCTCTTTGTCCCCTCTCCCTTTCCTCTCCCTCCCAAAGCCCCGACGATCCCTCTCCCTCTTCGCTCACTCCCCACGCCTCATTTCATAGTCTTGCCTTTCATCCAGTCCTGTTTGTCGCCTTGAACGACTCTCGCGCGAGTTACAAATCGATTTCGCAGGTTTCTCATTGACTTCCCCTCTCGCCTACGGCTGGCATGGCAGCGCACTTGTTGTTCACACAGTGTTCGTGTTCGTCCGCCGGAAGCGTGACATGATGGTATTCAAGTTCGCGTCACGCGGAATTACTAGAACCGGTGGGAAAACGCTCGGTTCCGCACAAGCAGCCGCTCTTGCGACATCATTTCGCGAAGCAATGATTGTTCCGAGCACGGAGGGCGACGGATTCTTCGCGGATCTGTCGACGAGCCGCGTGACCGTTGGAAGCGAGGCCATTGCTAGTAGAAAGCTCGAGCCGCGAGCACGAGAAAACGACAAGAAAAAAAGCCGTTTGAAATAACAGCGAGTTATTGGGAAAGGATCGAGCCGCTCGATGCTGTACACCCCGAAATGTTTGTCAAGTTTTCGTGAATCGTTGCAAGTCTCCGAACAAGTGGTTAGTAGCGAGCCTCATTACGAACGTTAACGAGCGGTTGGTTAAGATGAACAGCTCATTTCTTTCGCGACACTATCATTGGCTATTCAACTAACGGGTTCATTGTATGGAGCCGCGTAGAACCGTTTGGAGCTGGGAAATTACTTTAACGAGGATGACATTTCCTGATGGGCTCGGCACGATCATACACTGGAAGATGCTGCTTAGTACGGTTCTAACGTTAGTCACGCAAATGCGTCCTTCCTAGGCTGATTGCCGCGCGTGTCGTCATGAGTTCACGTGAAGCCAGGGGAGCCTGAAGGATATGGACGGAATGGAAGCCATGGCGGCTGAAGGAAGAGAATTCAGCGGAAACTGAAATGCGTTGTGCTTGTGCTGTGAACTCGGTTCTGACTGAATTGAACCGAAGCGCTGGATGACTTGACGTGTCAGAGAAGGATATCTGTGTTATTGAGAACCGCGCTCAATAAAGATCGAAAATATGTTTTGGGGTAGGGCTATGTTTTCATTTTTCACTAATCTGATTTCCAGGGTTGTTATTTTCCCAACACCGATTTTCAGGGGTTTTCTCGAATAATCTTCTGATTTTAGTGTAAAAGGGTTAAAAAAAAGCATGGTTGTCCTTCTTCCAAAGCATTTGCACCACTCAAGAAAAGCAAAGCTATTAAACAGATCTAACACTATTGATATTCATATCTATTTGTAACCAAATTAGGGGAGAATGGAGGTACCGAGCTGAGAGGGGCACCATTATAGCAGGGACAGAAAAATGTTCGGTTCGGTTCTTATTTGTCTGTTTCTGTTGTCTGCATCCAAACCGCAGCGCGAGCTCTGGAGAGGAAGCTCAAGGTCAAGTGCTGAGGCAGTGAAATTGTTTTTTACGCGGACCGCGACTTCAACCGGCAAATCGCCGCCACCGCTTGACTTCAGGTGTAACCCCCGGCCAACAAAGTGTCGTGTAACTTCGCGACAGTTTCATTCCAGCGAGTTCGCATGCTGCCATTGAGCCGCAAATTGCCGAGAACTTCACCGCCAGTGAAATGCTGCATTGCGAAAGTACTGCACCGCTTCCCGCGCCGCATGTCGGCCAATGTTGACGCGCACGCACCCAGCCCAGTCCCCCCACCCAACCCTGTCGGATATAAATGGCGTTTCGTGCCTCAAACCCCTCATCGAATCCATTCGTGCCTCCTCAAGTCCTCTCTCATCCCACTTCAATTTCTCTCGACAAGCGAGCAGCCCAGCCAAGCGATCCAGCCTCATTTTCCACAGCTCCCCGATCCAACAGTTTCTTCGCGACAATCGTACGCATATTCACGAAAAAATGGCCAGTTCACGGTTCATTCCACTCTTCGGCCTGCTCTGCATCGTGCTATGCTTCACCACCGCTCACGCACAAGCACAAGCGAAGCCCACCAAGGCGCAAATAAAAGCCGAGCTGCAGAACATGGCGAACGCCATCACCAAGAAGTACCCGCAATACGCTAAATACGCCAAGGACATCAACAAGTACATCGGCCTAGCACGTAAGGACTCTAAATCGGTATTTGTTTTTCTCTCTCTCTCTCATTACTACGGATAGCCTCGCCCCATTCTCGTCCAAACGCGAGCAGAAAGTCCCTCATTTGGAATCGTGCGCCAGGATACCGGCTATCGAGCTCCTCTCTTCGTTTTGCAGCTGGAATTGATCCGCGCATCTCGCCACCTATCAGCTACACTCTCTCTACTAGCCCGCGTATTGATAGTATTCGGATCCGCGCTCAGATACTGTCTTCCCTCTCTCTCTCTCTCTCCCTCTTTCCCCCTCGTCCTTCTATCTCCAGTGAACTCCAAGTACGACTTCACTGCTCTCAGCGACGCCACCCTCCTACTCCCCAGCGACACGGAGGCCCAGGCCCTCGCTAAGAAGGTCCCCGCTAACAACGCCAACATCCCGAAATCTACAACATCGCCGCGTACCACATCATCCGCAAGAAGTACACCGTTCCCGCCCTCACGGCGCTCAAGAAATCGCAGCCGCTGGGAACGCAGCTGAAGCAGGCGATGTACAAGGTTTCGGTGCAGAATGGTAACACCGTTTCCTTCGCCAAGGCTCCCAACGCCCCCCCTGCCGCGTGGACGACGATCCAGATCGTGCGGCTGTACGCTGGGCCGTACTTCATCGCCCACGGCGTGGATAAAGTCCTGATTCCCCCTAACACCAAAGTGTAATCCTTGAGGATACTTGAACGTGGCTCGGTCCTCAGTTGACAGTCAGTCGTGCTGCTGGTTCAACCTCTGAACTAGAGATGACTGGAGGTCAACTGAGCATCAAGGCATATTCTCATAGGGGCCTTGTGAGGCCAGTTATGACGATGTCACAATGTATAGCAATCAACCCTGTCTATTACCGTACCTTCAGTATGGTACCTTTTTTCAGTCGTTCAAAGTTCGTGAAAGGAGTACCAGTGAATTCTCTCTGCGCTATGGAAGATGCTGCGGAACCAGAGAAGGTCTATCAAGCCTGGAGGAGCCATCAATGTATAGAAGGCTTCAACATTCCAATACCAAACATATCAAGGCCTGCTCCCAGTGCTACAGCACGATTTATAACTACCTACCAGAGGCCCATGTATCATACCATGCCAAGCCACCTGCATCTGCATCTTCAGGCAAAAAAAAAAAAAAAAAAAAAAATTGCCTTGAATTTTGGAAAATCATATGGAGAGACAACAACGAAATTTTGAAACCATCAAGGTAAGTTTGTAACAATAGCCATGGAGTGTGAGTACGAGAGCTGGGCTGTAACCCTGCTTCCTGATTTGATGTGCCCCCTTATGCCGACCAATGGGTAGGAAGCGGCACATCTGAGAGTGTAGGTGTACCGTACATTCCAGCCGGACTACTGGTTGACTGCCGGTTGAGTATGGTTGACTGCGGTTGACTGAAGCTTGATCAGTGAGCAGGGAGCGGCACGGCTGGGAGAATGAGCCCAAGCAGGCAGTCAGGAGACTCGGTAGTGACTCCCAGCAGGTCACACATCTCCCGGGACCACGGCAGCACGTAGAGCATACGTGGCCACACGCCATTGGCCGGAGGAATCTTCACCACCCCTGCTCGCTCCTTCTGCCGCAGATAGTCCACCATGCGCGTGAACTGAGCGGTAAAATGAAAAAGATGAAGGGGGGGGGGGGTAGGGGGCAAAGGAGGGGAGAGAAGAGAGATGAGAGGATGGGGGGGGGGAAGCAGCAAAAGCACTTTCTGCTGCAGATAGTCCACCACACGCATGTACTGAGTGAGTGAACGAGGCAGGGAAGTGGGGGGGAGAGCAGCAGGGTGACTTGTAAGGCGCCTAAAACCTCTACACCACTCCCGCACCCCTCGCTCCTTCTGCTGCAGATAGTCCACTCCACCACACGCATGTACTGAGCGAGTGAGTGGCTAACTAGTCGACGCGGAAAACTCTTTGTTAGTTGAGCGAGAGCTAACCGCCATGGCACAAGGCATGCTTGCTTCAGAAGACAGACACTCACTCCAGAGGAGGGGCCAGCAGCGTCGGTTGAGCGAGCAGTTGAGGACGTGGAGGGCAGCGGGACGAGAAGGCACACCTCCCTCTGATGGACAGACACAAGGGCAGGTGGAAGCGAAGGGGAAAAAAACAAACAAACAAACAAAGAAAAAAGGGTTGGAGATGAGCGGGTCAGGCAACACATGAGTCGAACATGAAATGACTTTTGAGTCGACTCAAAAGTCACAAAGGGTTGGAGATGAGCGGGTCAGGCAACACATGAGTCGAACATGAAATGATGTGGGTTGGTGGGTCTGGGCACACGCAGATGCGAAAAGCAGTGATGGAACGTGCTTCTAACGCAGTATGAGAGGCTTACCCGAGAGCTGGGGCAGGCATTGAAAGTGTTCCGCACTGCCCGAAAATCTGCCCGCTTTGTCACGTCCAGCTTATCAGGCCACCTGTGGAAAAAATGGGGAACAGGAACAACATAAGGCAAAAACCGTGCACGCACAATGAGCTCTTTTCTTAGCACGCAGAGCGCAGCACACTGCAGTGCAGCATGGCATTGCACAGCATACAGCCAGCCACTCATAAAATATCGTAGCATACAGCAACTGCTGAATTGGCTCAAAAGACAAGCAGGGGATAGCGTAGGATACAGCTATACAGCTGGGAACTCACCCGAGTGGCTCGTGCTGGCCTGCTGTGAGCGCGGGGTCGTAACGGCTGCCTCTGATCTGCTGCCTGGAAGCGGCCACGTGGCAGTACATCACCCGCTCTTGCACAGCACATCACTCAAAGCCACCTCATATCGAAGCACAGGGTAGCATAGTGTAGGGTACAGTTGCGAACTCACCCGAGCGGCTCGTGCTGGCCTGCTGTGAGTGCGGGATCATAACGGCTGCCTCTGATCTGCTGCCTGGAAGCAGCCACGTGGCAGTACATCACCCGCTCTTGCACAGCGCACATGGTATCACAGCATAACATAGCGCATTTGAGTCAACCCAACGGTCACTTCAAAGCGGAGACTCACCCCAGGGGTTCGTGCTGGCCTGTAGTAAGGGCCGGGTCGTAGCGACTGCCTCTGATCTGCTGCCTGGAAGCAGCCACGTGGCAGTACATCACCCCGCTCTTGCACAGCGCAAAGCGCGGCAGCAGCGACAGCTGCAGCTGCTGCTGCTGCTGCCTCTGCGCCTGCAACTCCTGCAGAACCATCTGCTGCTGCTGCTGCTGCTGCAGCTCATCCGCCTTCTCCCCTTCTCCTCGCCTTTCCTCGCTCACGCCAGCTGTCGATGCGTCTTTCTTTGACTCGTTTCCGTCCGCTTCTCGCCCTTCCTCCCTCGCAGCCTTCCTTTCCATTTGCGAAGAGGCAGCACCAACACCAGCAGCACCAACCGCAGCACCAACGTCAGCAGCAGCAACACGAGCAGGGGCAACACCGCCAGAGACACCAACACCACCATCAGCAGCGGCAGCATCAGCAACAGCAGCAGAAGCAGCAGCAGCTGACGTTGGTAAAGCAGAGGACGAGGGAGGAGGAGGCGGTGGAAGGGGAGGGGGGCCAGGAGGAGCAACAGGAGGTTCTTGAGGGGGTGGGGGCGGGGGCAGGGGCAGGACTGGAGGAGGAAGCGAAGGGGGAGTAGGAGCGGGGGGTGATAGGGGTACAGTAGGGAAGCGGGGAGGGGAGGGTTGCGAGACGGGAGGCTGGGCAGCAGCAGTGTGAGGCACAGACACAAGCGCAAGTGCAGGCGCAGACACTGGTATAGGCACAGACATGTGCTTTATAGTGGCACCATCGTCATCATCAAAATCCATGTCTGTTTCCTCCTGTGCTGCTCCCATGCCCTCCTGTGCCCCCATACCCTCCTGTCCTCCCATACCCTCCATACCCATACCCATACCCACAGAGGGAGCAGCAGCACCCACTGCACCACCTACTGCAACCGCTCCCCCTTCTCCTGCCCTTCCACCCAATCCTCTTCCTCCCCTCTCCTCTCCCTCCCTTGCAGCCCCCAACAAGCCTGCCCTGTCTGTTGAGTCTGTGAGGGGGAGAGACGATGCGGGGGGTGGGAGGGGCGGGAGAGGCGTGACAGGGGCGGCAGTGGGTGGGAGCGGAACAATGGCAGATGGATGGGGAGAAAGAGGAGGAGGAGGCAGAGGAGGGGGGGGAGGAAGCGACGCAAAAGCTGTACCAATCGGTGATGCTGCTGCTGCTGCTCCTGCTCCTGCCATTGCTCCTGCTCCTGCTGCTCCTCCTGCTCCTGGTCCTGCCCCTGCCATCCCACCTGCTGCGCCCATCCCGCCCGCAAAGTCATCTCCCACCCGTGCACTATCCCACTTTCGAAATATCTCAAAACTCGCCCCTCCTCCGTCCGCTGCCCCTGCACCTGTCATTACACCTGCTGTTACATCTGCCGTTACACCTGCTGTTACATCTGGCGTTACACCTGTAGCTACACCTGCCGCTCTGCCCCTAGCAGACCCCACGAGGTGAGAGGGGTGGGGTGGGAGAGAGGTGGAGGAAGAGGGTGTGTGTGTGCAGCCGGTCAAACTCAATGAACTGGCACGGACCCCTCAATGAACTGCACTTGGACTGCCGAGTCAAATCTTTCTGAAGCCACAATATTCCACGGGGTGGTAGCAGCCGCCTCAACCCTCAAATTCAGCCCTCCTGATCGCCCCCCTGCTCGCCCCCCTGTTCGCTCCCTGCTCGCCCCGCCTCTACTCCTCCTCCGTTTCCTAACCACTTTCTTGTTTTCCTTAATCAGCGCTTTGATGTCTGCCTCCGTCCCCTCAGACAGAATCACCACGACCTCCTTCCAGCTCTTAGTAGTGGGTTTTCCACGCATCTTGCCTATCGTTTCGGTTTGCTCACCTGAACTGCACTTGGACTGCAGAGTCAAATCGCTCCGAAGCCACAATGTTCCTCAGCGCAGTAGCAAGGCCTCGACGCGGTCAAACTCAATGAAGTGGGATACAGACCCCTCATGGACTGCACACTGCGCAACTCAACACGACAAGGCTTCAGCTCACCTGAACTGCACTTGGACTGCCGAATCAAATCGCTCCGAAGCCACAATGTTCCTCAGCGCAGTAGCAAGGCCTCGACGCGGTCAAACTCAATGAAGTGGGATACAGACCCCTCATGGACTGCACACTGCGCACCTCAATACGACAAGGCTTCAGCTCACCTGAACTGCACTTGGACTGCGGAGTCAAATCGCTCCAAAGCCACAATATTCCTCAACGCCGTAGCAGCCGCCTCCACTCGGTCAAACTCGATGAACCGGCACAGGCCCGGGGCCCATCATGGACTAAGTTTCTTATTGAGTAAATCCCTTTGCCTAAAAAACACAACCCTTGCCCTCACCTGAACTGCACTTGGACTGCTAGTTCGAACCGTTCAGACGCCACGATGTTCCTCAAGGCAGTAGTAGCAGCCACCTCCACTCGGTCGAACTCAATGAAGCGGCACACAGACAGACCCCTCATGGACCATGCACTTCAATGAGCGAGTCAATTCGGCTAAAAAGCATGCCCGCTCGACTAAACATACGCCTGCTCGTTTAGAAGACAGGCCTACTTGCCTCACCTGAACTGCACTTGCACGGCGGAGTCGAATTGCTCCGAAGCCACAATGTTCCTCAGCGCAGTAGCAGGCTAGCAGCCGCCTCCACTCGGTCAAACTCGATGAACCTACACGGGCCCCTCATCGACCGCGCACTGCGCAACTCAATACGACAAGGCTTCAGCTCACCTGAACTGCACTTGGACTGCCGAATCAAATCGCTCCGAAGCCACAATGTTCCTGAGGGCCGTAGCAGCCGCCTCCACTCGGTCAAACTCGATGAACCGGCACGGACCCCTCATCGACCGCGCACTCCGCACGCGCGTCACATACCCCCTGCCCGCCGCAGCAGCCGTGAAGATGCCCTGCAGCTCGGATTCAGATAGGCTGAACGCCGCCATGGCTGCTGCTGCGCTGGCTGCAGAGTGGGTGGAGATTGCCTGCTCTGATATGCCCATCCAGAGTGTGCTGGTGGGTACCCGCTCCTTGCCTCCTGTCCCGTATACTACTCCTCCTGCACTCATCCCTCCTCCCAACCCCCCTGCGCCTGCTCCTGCTCCTGCTCCTGCTGCCGCGCCTGCTCCTCCCGCTCCTCCTGCTCCTGCCCCAGCTCCTCCTATTCCTGCCGAGCCTGCTGCCAAACCTGCACCCGCACCTGCTGCTCCTGCCGCACCTGCACCCCCACCATCGTGGTCCCGCTCTCTCACCCCACCCTCACCCACCCCCACCAGCCCGCCTCCCGAACCTATCCCACCGGCACCCAACCCCGGCACCGAGCCTGCGCCCAAGCCTCCGCCCAAGCCCGCGCCCATGCTTCGGAGGAATCTGAGGCTGGCAGCGGACTGGGCGGCAAGGGTGTGGGCGGCGGCAGACTGGGCAGCGAGAGTGTGGGCGGCAGCGGGGGTGAAGGGGAGGCGGGAGGGGAGGCCTGGGATGGGGAGGAAGGCGAGGGGCATGAGGCGGGCCGCTGGGGAGAGGGCGTGAAGGTGGTGCAGGTGGGAGAGGGAGGCGTGTTGGGGGGAGGGTGCTGCTCGTGATGCTGCGTGCTTGAACTCCACCTGATGGACGAGGGGGGGAAGAGGGGGAGCGGAGAGGAGAGAGGAAACGGAGAGGGAGGTGAGGTGAGCGCAGGGAAAGGGACAACGGAGGGAGAAGGGCAGCAGCATTGCGGGGTGGGGGGAGGGTGCTGCTCGTGATGCTGCACGCTTGAACTCCACCTGATGGATGAAGGGAGGAGGGGTAAGGCAGGGGGGAAAGCGCCTACGAAATCGGCACACACATTGATGATAGAGGTGCACACCTGGATGCCGGAGCAGCCGTATCGTGCCCTGTGGTGACATTTGAGTCGACTCAAAAGTCACCTTGATGATGATGAAGGTGCCATGCACACCTCTCTACAAGCAGCAGGACTTTTTGAGGTGCCTCAAATCTCACCTCAATGCAGCCGTATCGTGCCCCGTTGAGTGTGGAGTCGATTCAGAGGTGCGTGAAGAGTCAACTCAAAATGCCCCACACCACACTGAAAGACATGTTCTCACATTTACGATAGAGGTGCATACCTGGATGCCGGAGCAGCCGTATCGAGCCCCGTTGAGTCGCGACCGGGCCAAAATGGCCGATTCTGCCGACCGGAAATCAATAAATGCCGACACGAGAGCCGCCCCAGACTGACCCCTCCCCCCATCTGTCGCCCCTCCTGCTCCCGTACTGCCTCCTTCACTCTCCCCACCACTGAAACCACCACCACCGCCAGCAGCAGCAGCAGCAGCAGCAGCACCACCACCAATACCAGCAGACCCAGCGGCTGCCCCAGCGGCCCCTACCCCAGATCCCCCTCCCCCTGCTCCTGCTCCTGCCTCCTGCTGACCTGGCGGCTTCACAAAGCGCCAGCTGGCGATCTCGCCGTACTGCGCAAACGCCGACAAGATCTCGTGCTCGGGGACCGTCGGATCGATCTTCCCCACCCACAGGTGCCGGGCGGCAGACGGACCGCCCACCACCAGCGCTGACGTCATCCCTGACGCGGCTGCTGCTGCCGCCGCTACAGCCTGCGCCCCGGGGGTGTTGGCTGCTGCTGCCGCTACAGCCGCTGCTAGAGCCTGCTGGGTTGTTGTGTGGGTAGGAGTAAACCCCCCCACCCCTGCTGCTCCTGGTGCTGCCAGTGCTGCTGGTGTGCCTGCTGTGGCTGCAGCTGCTGCTGCTCGTGCGGCTGTTGCTGCTGATGGTGTGGTGGTGGTGGCTGCAGAAGGGATGGCAGATCCTGAGCCGCGGATAACAGGGGATAGAGCTGCTGCAGCAGCAGCAGACGCCGCCGCCGCTGCTGCAGCAGCAGCGGAGGAATGAGAGGGAGGGCCTGAGAACCCCCCGTAGCCACCAGCAGGACCGGCAGTAGATGCTGCTGCTGGTGATGGCGATGGTGACGGTGATCCTGCTGCTGCTGCAGCAGACAGAGAAGGAGTCTTGGTTACAGAGTAACCTCTCTCCCTACTCCCCCCTCTTCTGAATCCACCAGCCAATCCACTATCGCCACCAGTATCACCAGCAACACGACCATCAGCAGAAGCAGAACCAGCAGGAGTGGCACCACGGACATACCCACTCTCCCCTGTACCATCCCCCTCTCCTCCCCCTGCTGCCCCTCCTGCCGCCCCTCCTGCTGCTGCTCCTCCTGCTGCTGACACCGGCACCACCCCTCGTTTTAAGAACAACAGGGCCATGTTGGCATCCTCCTGCCTCCTGAATTCCAGGAGCAGCGCACTGGCGCTGACTAGGACCGACACGTGGGCGGGCGGCGGGACTCCGGCAGATGCCAGCCGCTGCAGAAGGCTCTCCTTGGCGCTCGCACTGTTCACGCCGCCCACCCACACATGCAACCGAGAAGCGGGCGGCGGCACTTCAGAACCTCCACTAGCAGCCGCAGCAGCAGTAGGCGGCAGAGGAAGAGGAGGCGTACCCGCTCGACCCATCTCCACCCCTCTGTCTCCCCCCATCCCCCCACCCACCCCTCCAAACCCCTGCAAATGCGCCCCCAGAAACCCTAACCCTAAGCCCCTGCCAGCTGCAGCAGCAGCGGCAGCAGCAGCCGCAGCTGCACCTATAGGTAACCCCAAAGCCCTCCGGTTACTGGTAACCAGACCGAAAGGCGAGCCAGTGAGACTGGGAGAAAACCCAGTTTGCCTCATGCCTCCCTCTCTATACCCCAGCTCCCGCAGGCTATCTCGATCCCGATCCCTCCCGTCCATCCCTATCCCTCCTCCTCCTCCTCGCTCTTGTGCCAACATCAACCCTCCCCCACCAGGTAAAACCCCCCCAGGTAACCCTCCCCCAGGTAACACCCCCCCCGGTCCATCCCCGAAGCGAACGTGCAGCCTTCTCCCCCACAGCACCACCCCATTCAGCCCCTCCCTTGCCCTCACCGCCTCGCGTACAGTCACCATCGTTACCACCACATGCACTGGCGTGCCATGCTCCCTTCCCCCGCCCCCTCCTCCCCTTCCTCCTCTCCCACCTCCCACTCCTCCTCCCACCCCATCCCTCTCCTCTCCTCCACCAACACCCCCTCCGAAACCACTCCCAGATGCACCTACCCCAGTCCCACCTACCCCGCTGCCCGCCACCACCATCACCTCATCCACGGGCCCGAATTTCTCAAAGAGGGAGCGCAGAACCGTCCTGTGACCTTCCCCAGATACGCCCTCCACCGGTACAGGCGCCCCTGCCTCGGAACAGAAGGTGAGCTCCAGAAACCGCGTCACAGTAAACACCTCCCCGTCCCACGACCACCCAGATACACCTGAGCCAGCACCTGACGCAACACCTGAACCACCAGCAGCAGCGGCAGCAGCTCCTGCTCCTCCTGCCGCCCCACCCCTCTCTAATTCCCTCTGCTGCGCCTCCTTCCCCACTCCTCCCCGCTCGTCCCTCTCGCCCTCGCCCCTGTCCCCACCACCAGCCTTAACACCACCACTACCAGCAGAACCAGCACCAGCGGAACCCACTGCCGTAGCAGCCGCCGTCGCCGCTGCCGCCGCCGCCGCTGCAGCAGCAGCAGCAGCAGCAGCAGCAGCAGCAGAGGCAGCACTAGCGTCTCTGAGGGCACCTAGCAGAGTCTGGAGCGGGTTCCAGGCATCCCCAAGGGAGTCTATCGCTGCCGAGCCACTCCGCCGAACCTGCTGCAGCACCGCAGCTAGCCACCGAAGCGACTCCGGACGTCCATCCAAGGCTTGGAATGCCATGCTTGACTGCTCCTCCTGCGCTCTCTTCCTCTTGCTCCTGGCACTCTCCTCCTTGCCCGTCTCTCCTTGTAGCCCGAACTCCTCTCTCCCCTCCTTTTCTTCCCTGCCCTCCCTGTCCTCCCTCCCTTCACTGCCCCCCCTAGCCTCCCTCAATTCTTCCTTCTCTTCCCTGAAAACCTTCTTTGATGCACTTACCCCCTCCACCTCTTCCTCATCCTTCTCCTCCTCCTCTGCTTTTCCCATCTTCTCCTTCCTCAGTCCTATCCCTTCATCACCTTCATCACCATCACCACCACGAGCCTCCTTCTCACTCTCACCTGCTGCTGCTGCTGCACTTCTCTCTCCTCCCTCTTCTCCTCCCTTTCTCTTGTCGTCTTTCTCATCCCCTTCCTTCATCTCCACCCCTTCATCCCCCCCTTCTTCCTTCTCCTCCCTCTTCTCTTTCTCACTCACCTTTGCCCTCTTACCCTTCCTGCCCTCCTTACTCTCCCACTCCTCCTCCCCACCCACCACCTCCCGAGCAGCAGTCACCTGCAGCAGAAACGAAATCGCCTGCTTACCCCTCTGTCTCTCACCACCACCCCTCCCAACCCCTCCACACCCCCCCGTCCGTGCCTGCTCTATCGCCGCCCCTAACATCGCCTCTGGCTGTAGCTGCATCGCCCGAACCACCGCCGCTGCCACGATCTGCTTTACCGAAGCTAGCTCCGGACCTGAGGTCAGCTCCAGGCCTCCGTCGTCCGAACCTAGTTCTGGTGGTAACCCTACTGCGGTGCTGCTGCATCCGGTTCGGTTCCTTTCCGCATCGTATAAAGAGCCAGCTTCAGGGGATACCCCTCGTTTGCCCTCAGCCGATGCTGCTGCTGCTGCCGCTCCATCTCCTGTTAGAAGCCTTCCACTCGACTCGGTAACAGAGGAAGGAGCGTGGAAATCGCCACCAGTAGCACCAGCATCACCACCAACACCAGCATCACCAGCAGCAGCAGTGGCAGCAGCAGCAGCTGCAGCTGCTGCTGAGTCAGGAGCATGAAAGGGAGGCAGGGGCAGGGTGCAATCCGGATGCAGGTGCGACAGGAGGAATCGGGCCACATCCCGAGACACAGCAGAGGAGAGGTACGCCGGAGCAGACGTGCGGGAGGAGGGGGCTGTAGCGGACGCTGCAGCCGCCGCTACAGCCAGGATGGACGCCAGGCCGAGGAACGCCGACCGCACCGTCGCCATGATTACCTTGGTGTCGTCGGCCGGCGGGCCGAGATTGCGGCGACATGCTGCTTTGTTGGTACCACCAGGTACATTGCGCTCTGCTGCTGCTGCTGCTGCCTCTGCTGCTGCTGCTGCTGCTGCTGCTGATTCTGTTGATGCCTCTGCAGAGGCGGCAGTCGTGGAATCGCCAGGGCCTTGTTCCATACCCGACCCTTCTTCTTCCTTTGCTGCTCCTCCTCCTGCTTCCCCTCCACCTGCTTTCTCACGCGCCCCTGACTCCCCCTGCTGCCCCTGCACCCCCCTTTCCCCCTGCTCGGACTTTCCCTCCGCCCCTTCCCCCTGTGCGCCTCTCCCGTCCCCCACTTCCCCCTGCGCACCTCTCCCCTCCCCCGCTTTCCCCTCCCCCGCTTCCCCCGTTTCCCCCGCTTCCCCCTGGCGCTGCAGCAGCTCCGCCACGCACCAGTCCGCGAGCTGCATGAGCGTCTGCGCCGCGTCCGGCAATCCCGAGGGGCAGAAACGCGCATAGCGGGGGATGAGGCCCGCTGCTACCCTCCGCACGCTGATGCAGCCTGGGGGAGGGGGAGGCAGGGGAGGAACGGGTGGGGAGAGAGAGCCGCATGAGCGTCTGCGCCGCGTCCGGCAATCCCGAGGGGCAGAAGCGCGCATAGCGGGGGATGAGGCCCGCTGCTACCCTCCGCACCGCACGCTGATGCAGCCTGGGGGGAATAAGGGACGGGGAAGAGGGGTAAGGGAAAAAGGAGGGGGGGTATCAGGGGAAGAGCGTCCGGCAGTCCCGAGGGGCAAAGCGTGCATAGCCTTGGATGAGATCCGCTGCTACCTCCGCACGCTGATGCAGCCTGGGGGGAAGGGACGGAGGGGGGAGCGAGCGGGTTATAATGAAGGAGCGAGTTGATACTCCCTCGCGTATCCTAGCTGAACCAACGAAGTACCTTATCTTATCCCGATCCGGCTACTTCGTTGGTCCGGCTAGGTTACGCGTGGAATTATTTTAGCATCGTAAAAAACACTGCATCCCTCCCAAAGCCTCTTCCCTTATGCCGTACCCCATGTCTTGAGACGTCTTAAAAGTTTTAAGTTTTGAGACGTCTCAAAGCTCCCAAGGCCTCTTTCCCTATACCGTACCCCATGCCGTACCCTACGCGGTACCTAGATATATTAAAATTCCATTGTCTTAGCTATCCCGTTCCTAGGCCGTTCCGTATGCCATACGCTATCCCGTACCCTATCCCGCACCCTATCCCGCACCCTATCCCGCACCCCGTCGCGTACCTTAATAACGAACCTTTACCGCATTCAACCCCGCACCTTGAGCCGCGTCCAGCATCGCAAAGAACGCTGCCTGGATGTCTTTATCCGCTCCCGGCGGTTCCCCGCCGTCGCCTCTCCGCCGCTGCAGCGCCGCGCGCAGCCGCCCGTACGCGCGGAACACAGCCGCCAGCTGCGCGCGATTCCCCGCCTTGGCTGCACGATCCGCGGGGCTAAAGCCGCCGCAGCCCCCCCCGAATCCGCCATCGGAGCCGGATTTGATCGCAGGGCGACTAGCGATTGCTTTCGCCGATGCCATATCACTGACGTGTGTAACCGGCTCTTACTGAGAGTGCGGCGAGCACACAATGTGACACTAACGGGGATGGAGAGCGTAAAACTGTACTAATGTGAAGGCTAACGAGGCTAATATAGCGTTATCATCCTCGTTTACAGTATATTTCCTGTTAAAAAAACAAATCCACGCCATACGACCGCTCAGACAGAGACATGAGGAGAGGAACAAGGTTGAAACGTGTTAGGGGAATGGTCGCCACGCGAAGGAGTCCGAACAGCGGGACACGCGTCCAGTCAAACGATATTGTTGCTAACAGATTTGTGAAGAGCCTAGATAACTCCAGCAGCTGGTGTGAAAGGCAAACCAAGGTGAAGTGGAGGGAACGCCAAAGCTTTTTAGAAGCAACTTCGATACGTGGAATCAGAACCATGCACAGAAGGCATGGTGTTGACCAGTCTTTGAAGATATACAGTAATGATAAAGATATTTTTTTTCCAATTGCTTAGTACACCCAAAGGTATTAGTACGGGTTATAATAGCTACACATTGTTATATATATGGATAAATTTCCCAAACCACTCTACCAGATAACGCTTACATTTTCCACTCATCTCTCCACCGCCCTACAACCTTGCCTACTCAACTTCCCATGCTAGCCAAAGGTAAATCTGGCGATTCAATACCTACAGGGCTGCGAGCACTGCTGGGAGTAGCACCTGCAACTACACCTGCACCTAGGGATGCAGCAGCAGGTACAATCCCGAGGTTTTCCGCTCCCCTACTCGCATCACACGCATAGAGATTCGCCACGCTGTCAGCAGCCACGTCAGCAGCGCCTGCTGTTTGCGCTTCTCGTCCTGCCTCTGCATCTGTACCCAAGTCCACATCCATCCACTCATCCACCTGCCTGCTGCTCTCACTTCCTAACCTCTCAATCCCTCGCCTCTCCTCCACACCAGCATCCACCTCATTCCCCACTGCGCCTCCTTCCCTGGGAAACTCCTGCCCTATGCTGTAACCCGAAGCTGTAACACTTGGAGCTGTAACATTTGAAGCGGCAACATCAGAAGCAGTAACATGAGCATTTGTATCGACTGCCGGTATATAAACAGCTGGCGACAACACATGAGGTGTAGGAGCTGTATGGTGAGCAGGTGAGCTATACGGCGCTGCTGCTAGCGTGTATGGGGTTGGAGACATGGTGTAGGAAGGGGATGGGAGCGTGAGGGACGGAGAGGGGAAGGAGGAGGGCAAGGACGGCGACGGGAAGGAGGACAGGTGCGGGAACGGGCTCAGCGGAGGTCCGTACAGCTCCGAACCTGCCCCGAACAGGCCCGGAGCGACCGAACCAAACGAGGCACTACCGAACCCACTGCTGCCGCCGCACCCACTGAAACTGTTGCAAAGGTTGCTCCCGCCACTCACTCCTCCTCCTGCTGCTGGTGAGGTGGGTTTGTGTGCAGGGCTAGGGCTAGGGCTATGGCTTATGATCCAGGAATCAGCAGCTGCAGAAGCACCTGAGTGCATGAGACCACCTGGAGAGCTCGGAGCATACACGTGCTGCTTCTGGGAAGGCGCAGATGCACATGTGAGTGCGGACGGGTCTGTAAGTGCAGCAGTGGATGGAAGAGCAGGAGAGCTCGCGGGGGAGCAGCCTGAAAGATTAGGGGTATTATCAAAAGTGTACTGAACAGCTGCGCTTGATGATCCTCCTGCTGATGCTGCTGATGCTGCTGGAAGATCCATTTCCTCTCTTGCACGCTTCCTGGAACCTTCCTCTAACGAGTGGAACTGCGCTGCTGCTGACGTGTCGACGAGTGATGCTGACGTGTTCCCATGCACCCGCTTCACCTTCACCCTGTGTGGGCGATCAGCTGGCGCTTTGAACAGACCCGAGGGCCGATTCTGATCTCCACTTGAACCAGGAATCGTCTTCAAGTCACGGTTCGTCTGCTGTGTGTCCGGCTCTCCTGCTCTCGACCTCCCCTGCAGCTGCATATCCCCCTGCTCCCCTCCTGCTGCTCGTTCCACTCCCACAGGTGTCTCGCCGCTCACCACCCTTGTTTCCCCGTCTCCTGCCCGGTTTGCTGCCCCGTCCTCCCACTCTGCCCCCCCTGCCCCAGCACCAGCAGCAACGGGGCGAGCCAGTACGGATCCATTCATAGTGATGAGCACATGCCGCCTCTTCCTCCCTTGCATGTTCCTCCCCTGCATGTTCCTCCCTTGCATGTTCCTCCCTTGCATCGCTCCATACTGCCGCATCGCCTGCTCGTCTCCCTCTCCCTCCTCATCTCCCCCCTGCACTTCCTCCTCCTCGTCATCATCTTCTCCCTCCTCTTCCTCCCCACTCACACACACTTCTTCCTCCTCCTCATCATCATCATCATCTCCCTCCTCCTCCTCATCCCCCACTCCCCCCACTTCACTAATCTCCATTGACCCCTGCATTTCATATCCCCCACCCCCATAATCACATAAGCCGTCCTCCTCCCCTCTCTCATCATCCCCCCCCTCCTCTTCTTCCTCCTCATCCTCCTCTTCTTCCTCCTCCTCATCCTCCTCTTCCTCCTCTTCCTCCTCTTCCACCACCACTTCCACCGCAGCACCACTCCCAACCGCACCCAAACCCTGGACTCTCACTCCATACTCCACAAACCCCCCTCTCATCTCTTCCTCTTCATCCCCCTCCTCTTCTTCGTCTTCTTCTTCCTCCTCATCCTCCTCCTCCTCCTCAACATCCTCCTCCTCATCCCCCTCACCCCCCACCACCCCTCCCTCTCCTCCCTCCTGTAAATGCTGACCCAGAATCAACCCCTTTCCATGCACTCTCCCATCCTCCCCCTCCTCCTCTTCCCCCTCCTCCTCTTCCTCTTCCTCCTCTTCCACCACCAATTCCGTTTCATCATCATCCGAATCTGCCTCCATACCAGGAATCCTATTCTGCAGAGCTCGTCTCCTCAGCACAAACACATTGAAATAGAAGCTAACAAGCTCCTTCACACTCCGCACGCGCCTCCTCCGCCGCCCCTCCGCGCACATCCCCATCCCCGCTAGTATCCCCCCACCTTCCCCCGCGCCTTCCCCCGCGCCCTCCCCCCCAGCCCCCCCCTCCGCCCCTCCAGCAGACGCAAACGCGCGTTTTAGCGGCCCCCAGAAGTCTAGACCCTTACTCTGCGGGTAAAGTTCGACAATAGTCAGGAAAAGCTCTATTTCCTCGGGGCTCCACCCCTCCGCCACCTTCTCCCCCATCTCCGCCAGCCCCAGCGCGTGATACGCGGCGGGCCCCAGCTCCGCCTCTAGATCCTCGTCCGCCTCGTGGCAGTGCGCACGCACGCAGTCCGCGGACCCCGCCTTGTCCGCCCCGCACCCCGCGCAAGCGCCCGGCGGAACGCGCAGGAGGTCTCGAGGGGGGAGGTGGTGGATTGTGCGGGACGGCTGGCGCTGGGATGGGAAGGGGGGGTCTTGGGGGGAGCCAGGGTGGTGGTGGTGGTGTTGGCGGTGGTGGTGGTGGTGGTCCGGTAATGCATTCGGCTGCTCCTGCTGCTGTAGCCACGTGGCGGGTAGTGATTCGTCGAGAGGCGGGGGCTGTGCGGCCGCTGCAACAGGTTGAGCGACAGCTTCATGGGTTGCCATGGATGATGCGACGGTTCCGGCGATTCCGCTGCAGCTCTGTGCGACAGTCCCTGCGACTTCTTGGGTGCCGTGCGACGAAGCTCCAGCTTCCGGCGACGGCGAGTCACGAGACGTGACTGCGACACTGTCTTTCGCAATGTTAGAAGCCGCGTCGCAATCGCCTGGAGCGGAAGCGGAGCCGCCATCGATATTACCGTGAGAATCATTCACGCTAACATCAGCAACAGTGGCTGATAATACCAACGGAGCAGCAACGATATCTCCTCCCTCCAACACTAACTCGTCAGCGATAATACCAGCATCTTCGTTAGTGTCACCGCCTTTATTGTCACCCTCACAATCCGCCGCCGCGCCAAGCATACCCCGAGGCACGTGCCAGTTGACCTTGCCTCCCGCCGAAGCAGCCAACGTCCCTCCGAGCCTCAGGTACGGGTTCCCCTTGCCTGCGCCTCTCCCGACCCTCCTGGACCGGGCTAGGTCCGGCCAGACCTGCGTGCCGAGCCACTTCGCTTCCCATGCCAGCTCAGCATCACACGTGCCTTCTTCGCAGCAAACCCCGACCTCGCCGCATGCCCCATCTTCCGGAGCGATCTTCCAGAAGCTTTCTTCAGCCGGCATCAGACGGTGTGGAGAAGAAAGCGGTTCCGGAATATCCGCCTGATAATCCGCGCCGATCGGCGGAGTCTTCCGCGTGGCGGGAGCCGCGAACTGCGCGTGGCGCAAGGGGGAAGGCCACGGGGAAGGGGAGTTCCACGGAGAAGGGGAAAGCCAGCGGGACGGGGAACGCCAAGGGGAGGCGGAAGCGGCCCATGGAGACGGAGACGACAGCCTGGCCGGTGAAAACGTCGACGGAAAAGGTGACGGAAAAGTCGACGGAGACGAGGATACCGGCGGCCATCTGCTTTGGCTCGCGGCAGCGGCGCCGTCTGGCACGGCGAAATAAGTTGCAGCTGCAGGAACGTCTTGAGAGGCGGAGTTTACCCTCGCAAAACGGCGTACCGGAACATCTGATTCAGCTCGCGAAGGTGTTGTTCCGACGTTCGTATTTTCTCGAGATGGTACAGAGCCGGGAACTGCGGTGTTCGTTGGCACTGCATCATTTATGTCAGCGACGCGCGTTAAGTCTGTCGCCCCGGAAGCTTGTGAAGCATCCATGCTGTTGCCGTTGTAAGATTATTTACTTCGCGCAGCGCGTGTTGGGCTACAAATTTTAATTTATTTCTTGATGATTTCGAGTCGCCCTCGGTTTCAACTGACAACTTATGTCTAAAATAGTAGCATCAAGACTGCCACGTGGCGGCACGCGATTGAGGCAAACTAGGGTTTCAAGAAATAAACTTCAGATCCATCAAACAGTAGCTAGAAGGACATTGGATCCAAATCGCAATCTGAAATCTGAGACATTTAGCGAATTCCCAATGTGCCTTCGCCGAAGTGTGGCGAAGCCATTTATCGAAATCGGAGGCTGCTTTTTCAGAGTTCGCCACCTTAGGCTACCCCGACGGTTGCCTCACTGCATGAGAAACTGAGGCTTGCACCACCGAGAATGACGTTAGCAGGAATCAATAGAACACTATGTTGTACACTAGATCCTGCTTATACTGTTTTCTAAATCTTCTCATGACCACCTCAACTTCATCCTCCCAACTTGTGAGGTCTTCCAACTGCAAGAAAATGAGGGGGGCACACAGTAGCACTGGCCACGTTAGAAGAAAAGGCAATTGTAGGACCCTGGATCTCCTCGAGTCTCCTTGGTTAAATGCACGTACGCTGGATGCTTCTGCTTCTTAAGCATGTGCACTAAGACCTTGTAAAAGGGAATTACATGTACACAATCTGCTGGGAAATATACCCGTCGTTTTGAAACATGGGTCCATGTTTCCTCAACGTGACAGATGCCCTCCCTGATTGGCCTCACCATCCTACAAAGTCGTAGAGCCGCTTCTGCTCCAGATGCTGCTTCTTCATGCGTATCTCTAACTTCAAGGTTGATGACCAGTGCTGCTTGATGTAGTGTACGCTCCCGAGCAAACATGTCTGCAAGACACAGTACCACCAGATGAGCACACTCAATCATTAGATCTGATGTATTGAAAGTCAACAATTACAACACCTCTAACTCATACCGGTGAAAATCTTGACATTTCCCCCCTGAAGAGAAATTTCATGCACATGCTATACTAAATTACTATACTTTCTCCAAACACAGCATTCACCAGCTGTTAGTACTTCTGCTGATACTATTCAAGACCCTGCAAACAGATGAGGGCTACTGAAAATGCAAGGAATGTTGAAACTGCTGATAAATGGAAGTCTAAGTGAGTGGACGTGTCTTTGATTGACTGTGTGTCAGCACATCTGTGCATACATGTATGGGTGTGTCTACATGAGTGTAGTCGTGACGTGTGTGAGTGCCTTGATGGATGTGGGTGTGCATGCGTGGATGGGTGCGTGTGTGCGCGTGATGGCTGCATGAGTGAGGGAGGAAAGACGCTCAGGTACTTGCAAGAGTCCATGAGTGACAAAGCAAAAGTGACAGGGTACGCAGAAAAGCCACAGAACGAGAAGGTGGGGAGAGGGCGAAGGAGAAAAGGAGCGAGCAAGCTGCATGCTTTCGGGAATGACGGTGAAACGGACGTGAGTCCAGGTGACGTACCACCAAGACAAAGCTGGAAAACAAAAAGTTGTAACTACTTGCATGACTTGCGACCTTAACCCCTGAAATTTAAAACTACAAGAGGCATATCCGCGTAGGGATTCGGAACACTCGTTACCTTCGATGACCATGTCAAAAACTCGCTCCTCAAATGTAATCACGACATCGAAGGGACCGTCAGCGGCATTGTCCTGCCACTTTTGAGGAGCTTCCTTGACCGCAAGATTCCGTTTCAGCATTCTTAGGATGCCATTCCTTTTATACCTGAGAAAACCATATATTACACATACTCGGCAAAGGAACGAATAAGTAAATCCACTACAAATATGTGAACGCTAGACCTGCAGAAGCTTGCAGAAGTTTTAGGTACCATGCATTTCGAAATGAGTGAAGTGTCTCACTTACAGCTCAGGGTCTTTGCCTTGAAGCTCGTCAAACATGTATTTGTACGGCGTGCCAAATTTATAGACATTGGGTTCTCGTATACTTGGTCCGGGGAGCTTGACGTTACTGCCGGTACCGTACGAGCTGACATCGAACCCTTCTCGTTGAAGAATCGCATGTGATTCCATGCTACGGTTCTGATTCGATGCGCAGACCATGGCGAACCGAAGACGCATCTTGTGCAGCGGTATATTCAGATCCGAGACTTCGAGGTCTCAGCACTTACAAAACCCGAAGGAATGCCACAGAGAATGACAGGACGGACGTAAAACAGCAAGAAAATCCGTTTTCGGACATCAACTACCTAAAAATGATAATAGCGATGTCATGCTCATAAGCTTCCGCAGGAGAAGAGGACTGGTAAAAAGCGGCGAATCCTCTAATGCCTGAAATTATCCTAGCCTGTGCCTAAAGAACCTAACAGCCTGCCTGCGAAACCTGCTAGTCTCTGTATGTGGAACTTATCAGAAAAATACTCGTGCAGCTAATGGTGGTGGGTTTTTGTACTTAGGCTGCGCGAACCCCAACAGAGATAGTCATAGGTTTCGCTAAATTCAGGGGGTAAACATTACTTTTATGAGCAGCCCTGAAAAGCTTCGTCGTCCCTGTGAGGAAGAAGTTCGGGCAGCTGGATGGAGCATCCTTTTGGCTAGGCTAGAGCTCTGTTAGTTGTGCTCTGGGAAGTAAAACGGGTGTTTTGGTGGCATGTACCCAACCTAGACGTTCCGGGAATTGTTTTAGCAGCAGTTCAAATTTGCAAACCGCCCAAAATTCATCAAGGGAAAATGCCCTCCATGACAGGCCTTCCCCTTCATCCTGTTTCAAAAAAGAGCGGATGGTTCAAAATCAATCCCAGAGTGAAAGGAATCACCGTCCCAACCATGGCACACGCTATACGCGTAGAATTCGGAGCTAATCGACAAATTGAGTAACTTGTAAGGCGGGAGTCGTAGTCTTCTACTAACCGCCGTTCGTTTTTCTTGAGAGAACGGCAATCTGTCGATTTCCGTCGACTCTCTCATAAAAAATGCATGCGAACCGGCGGTTTCGCATAGTAGTCGTCCCGTCGTCACTTGGATTTTCCCTCTTTTGTCTCCTTGATATCGTAACAAACTCGATCTTCCGTGCCTGTCTTCACCTCGTTTACCCGTCTCCTTGAGCCCGTCGGAGTCCACTCAAAAATCAACTCAGGAGGCACCTCGTGACATGTCCCTTGACAGTCTTCCCTCGTTACATATCCCTCGTCCGCCTCCCTCTCCTGCCGCTCCCGCGCAATGTTTGCAGCAGAACGAGCACGAGTGAGAATTGCACAACCACACCCCCTCGCCCCTCCGTCTCCACACACACGCACGCACAAGCCCGCTTCGAGGCGTTTGAGAGCCTTCCATGTCTCATTCCAAGCAGCCCAGGAACCAAGGGAAAAGGAAAGATGGCAAGAATAGGCCAAGGGGAGGAGCGAGAGGAGGAGCGGAGAGCTCCATAGGAGACCCTTTCGCTCTCTCGGAAGAGCGTCTGGTGTCGCTTGATCTGGAGAGCGGTTTTAATCAACGGTGAGGATGAAGTTCACACATTTAAGGTGTTTATGCCGTATGATTTCTTTTTTTTCTTTGCCTTCATAGTGTCCACATTCGCTACTTCTTGCCCTCCCCCTGTTCCTCCCCTGTATGACGTTTTGTAGGTGTGTCCAATTTTCTTTGCCCTTGTTGACGTTATTCCATGCTGGTAATGAGGGACATGTTACTTAGACATGCCATGAGCTTCCTCCCCTGTGTAAGTCTGTCCGTATACCTCCCCCTTTCTCTTAGCACATGTGCACACACATGCCGCCATGCGACCATGCTGCCATGCACACATGCTTGCTTGCACACATGCACATTCCATGCATGCATGGCCACAGGAGGGACTACTTTGAAGCATGTCGCGAGCTCTCTCTCCTGCTCCGCGTTGAGTAGGCTAAAAAATTGGCTCCTTAAACGCGGTTCCTGTTTTCAATATCTACCTCACATTCCATTCCATGCATGCATGGCCACAGGAGGGACTACTCTGAAGCATGTCGCGAGCTCTCCCTCCTGCTCCGTGTTGTTTTGAGTCGACTCAGAATTTGGCTCATTACACACGGTACATAGATTAAATATTTCACATTCCATCCCATGCATGCATGAGCACAGGAGGGACTACTCTGAAGCATGTCGCGAGCTCTCTCTCCTGCTCCGCCTCTGCTACTCCCTCTCTCCCAAGCCCGTGCAATCCCACCTCTACTCCCTCGCTCAACAAGTCATTGCCAACCTCCCCTGGTATGAATGGAGGGTTTTTAGTCGACTAGAAAATTGTCGCTTGCTCCGCCTCTGCTACTCCCTCTCTCCCAAGCCCGTGCAATCCCACCTCTACTCCCTCGCTCAACAGGTCATTGCCAACCTCCCCTGGTATGAATGGAGGGTTTTTAGTCAACTAGAAAATTGTCGCTTGCTCCGCCTCTGCTACTCCCTCTCTCCCAAGCCCGTGCAATCCCACCTCTACTCCCTCGCTCAACAAGCCATTGCCAACCTCCCCTGGTATGAATGGAGGGTTTTTAGTCAACTAGAAAATTGTCGCTTGCTCCGCCTCTGCTACTCCCTCTCTCCCAAGCCCGTGCAATCCCACCTCTACTCCCTCGCTCAACAAGCCATTGCCAACCTCCCCTGGAATGAATGGAGGGTTTTTAGTCAACTAGAAAATTGTCGCTTGCTCCGCCTCTGCTACTCCCTCTCTCCCAAGCCCGTGCAATCCCACCTCTACTCCCTCGCTCAACAAGCCATTGCCAACCTCCCCTGGTATGAATGGAGGGTTTTTAGTCAACTAGAAAATTGTCGCTTGCTCCGCCTCTGCTACTCCCTCTCTCCCAAGCCCGTGCAATCCCACCTCTACTCCCTCGCTCAACAAGCCATTGCCAACCTCCCCTGGTATGAATGGAGGGTTTTTAGTCAACTAGAAAATTGTCGCTTGCTCCGCCTCTGCTACTCCCTCTCTCCCAAGCCCGTGCAATCCCACCTCTACTCCCTCGCTCAACAAGCCATTGCCAACCTCCCCTGGTATGAATGGAGGGTTTTTAGTCAACTAGAAAATCGTCGCTTGCTCCGCCTCTGCTACTCCCTCTCTCCCAAGCCCGTGCAATCCCACCTCTACTCCCTCGCTCAACAAGCCATTGCCAACCTCCCCTGGTATGAATGGAGGGTTTTTAGTCAACTAGATTTGTCGCTTGCTCCGCCTCTGCTACTCCCTCTCTCCCAAGCCCGTGCAATCCCACCTCTACTCCCTCGCTCAACAAGCCATTGCCAACCTCCCCTGGTATGAATGGAGGGTTTTTAGTCAACTAGAAAATTGTCGCTTGCTCCGCCTCTGCTACTCCCTCTCTCCCAAGCCCGTGCAATCGCACCTCTACTCCCTCGCTCAACAAGCCATTGCCAACCTCCCCTGGTATGAATGGAGGGTTTTTAGTCAACTAGAAAATTGTCGCTTGCTCCGCCTCTGCTACTCCCTCTCTCCCAAGCCCATGCAATCCCACCTCTACTCCCTCACTTAACAAGCCATTACCAACAACTCCTGGTACAGTGATGTATAATCATTGCAACAATGCTGTTCTCATGCATACGTCCCATGTATTTCATTGTTGCCAGCATGGACGGCGCTCTGCACAGGTCAGCAGCGCGCCAGCTCATCCAGGCATGTCAGGCGGCGCTGCCACGTCAGCGCAAGCAAGCGGTTACCAGCGAGTACAAGCGCCTCTGCGTCATGCTCACTCGGGCGGAGAAGAAATCCGAGAGTGCAGTGGAAGAGGAGGGCGAGGAAGAAGAAGGGGGGGAGGAGCAGCAACAGCAAGAAGCAAATGATTCCAGTGGAACCTCCAAACAGGGTTTCCAGCCCTTGAACTTTGAAAGATCCTCCAGCATGCCTCCTTTTATCCCCACCTCTCAATCATGCTCTCTCACTTCTCATATTCCGTCTCTCCCTCCTCTCCCATCTGACATCCTCCACCTCCTCTTCTCTCACCTTGACCCTTTCTCGCTTGCCCGAGCCTCTGCTGTTTGCTCCCACTGGAGGGACATTGCAGCTGCTGCCGAACCTGACTGGATGAGGCACCTCGCTGCTTGCCTCGTTTCCGTACCTGCTGCCGAGGCCCGGGAGAGCAGGGGTGGGAAGGGCCGGTCCGGAGGGGAGGTGCAGGAGAGACAGAGGCTGTTGTGGCGAGAGTTTGTTTCTCGGTGTGCACAGGGTCAGTTTTCCTTGCTTCAAGTCGACTTAAATTTACCTTAAACCCGAAAACTTTTTGTTCTTTTCCTTTTTTTATCTCTCTTTTTGTTCTCATTTCTCTTGAGCCAAGGGTGTTGTATTGGGAATATGCTGCTAACTTGCAGTCAGGATTTTGACTTCTTCACATGGATCGCTGCTAATATGCTGCTTACATACCATGGGTCGCTGCCACAGCACACCACTAATCTGCAGCTCATCTCATGTCCTGTCTACTGCTTGCTTGCTTCTCCCTTCGCTGGAAGTTAGTTGAATTGCAAAAACAGCTAGTGTTCTCTCCTCTCTTTTCTTGTTTTCCCCTTCCTTGTACCCCCTTCTATCCAGGCTCTTCACTGTCCTCTTTACAGTCCAACCGGGTACTGTGTAAAGAATGCAGCATGGTGGCGTGGACACCCAATTCCGCCCCTACACCTCCTCCTCACGCTACTACTCCCTCTTCCCCCTCGGTTGCACCATCGCTAGCCACAGCCAGTCTCTCATCTGCTCAGTTTTACCGGGGAAAAAATAAGGGCAGGGGTGGGATTGTCACTCCAGGGAATAACAGTACGGGTACGGGTGTAGGTCTTGGTGCTTCTGGAAAGGAAAAAGGAGCTGGAGCCTGTTGCGGGAGCAGCATGGCTGGTGGTTCTTCTGCTGGAGCTGGAAGGGCGGGTAAAGTGGGTAGTGAGACCGTGGACGGGCATGATGTAGCAGCAGACAGGTGTGAGTTGGCAAGCAGGAGTGGTGGTGGTGGCGGTGGTGGTGGTGGTGGTGGCGGCAGTGGCAGCGGCAGCAGCAACGGCGGCAGCCGTGCAGCGGCAGCGGGAGCGAGGTTCTTTGCTAGAACGTGTCGTGTGAAGAGCACAACGAGACGGGGGTACAGAATGCAGCAGCACGTGTGGAAACTCTCAGCAACAGCAAAGGTGAGGAGAAGTTAGGCATTGTAGGTGGGGGGAAGTGTGGCACCGGAGGTTGTTCTTTGACAATGAACAGCACATGTCGTGTGAAGAGCGCAACGAGACGGGGGTACCGGATGCAGCAGCACGTGTGGAAACTCTCTGCAACAGCAAAGGTGAGGAGAAGTTAGGCATTGTAGGTGGGGGGAAGTGTGGCACCGGAGGTTGTTCTTTGACAATGAACAGCACATGTCGTGTGAAGAGCGCAACGAGACGGGGGTACCGGATGCAGCAGCACGCGTGGAAACTCGCTGGAACAGCAAAGGTGAGGGGAAGTTTGACAGCATGGGTGAGGAGATGTGTTGCAGCGGTGCAGTGAGGTTCTTTGCTAGAACGTGTCGTGTGAAGAGCGCAATGAGACGGGGGTACAGAATGCAGCAGCACGTGTGGAAACTTGCCGGAACAGCGAAGGTGAGGGATGTAGCTTCCGTAACTGCTGTGCCACACACGAGACTGCTTATTGTCCATAGCTCTTTGTTCTTTGTGCTATGCCGGCACCTCGTAGTCACACACACAGGTGTATATGATCCCTGTTGCTTCCTGCACACATTGTAATCACGCATGCCGCTCTCACGCGCACTCATCACTTCTCTCTGTCCCTCCTAGTGCAGGTTGTGGCATCCCTCTCTGACGAGTTTGAGGGGGAGGAGTCCAGTGATGAGGACAGCGAAGGAGTAGGCAGAGCTGGTTGCCACTTCAAACCTGCATCTGCTGTGTCTCTCCCTTCTCCCACTCGGCCTCCTGCTGCAGGTTGTGGCATCCCTCTCTGACGAGTTTGAGGGGGAGGAGTCCAGTGATGAGGACAGCGAAGGAGTAGGCAGAGCTGGTTGCCACTTCAAACCTGCATCTGCTGTGTCTCTCCCTTCTCCCACTCGGCCTCCTGCTGCAGGTTGTTGCATCCCTCTCTGACGAGTTTGAGGGGGAGGAGTCCAGTGATGAGGACAATGAAGGAGTTGTTAGGCCTGGTTACCACTCCAGTGCATCCACTGCGTCACGGTTTTGGTAAGGTAAAAAAATGTACGCTCTGATTCAATTTTCACTATAGTGCATTACAATTTCGACTATAAGACACATGTCTTAACTCGTACACGCACACTGATCAGAAACACCCAGGTGGCCACGCAGCACAGCACACTCATACACCACTATCAACAGATTCCATTTCCCCTATCGACCCCATCCCAACACTCATCCCCGACCCCGACGCCCCTTCCCGCTCCGACGCCACCGCATTCGCCCCTGGCCACGCAGCACAGCCATGAACTCACACACCACTATCGGACGATTCCATTTCCCCTATCGAACCCATCCCAACACTCATACACCACTATCAACAGATTCCATTTCCCCGATCGACCCCATCCCAACACTCATCCCCGACTCCGACGCCCCTTCCCGCTCCGAGGCCACCGCATTCGCGCGCCGAATCTCCTGCGAGAAGGTCGGCCCGCGGCGATTCTCCAAGTCACTGTCAATGCGCACCACCAGGGGGTCGGGGTCCGGACCGAGGAATTCCTCCTTCATGGCGATGAGGTCGGAGAGAATGCGCGCCATGGAGGGGCGGGTGGCACATATCTAGCCAAGGCACGCAGCACAGCACAGTCACACACCGCTACCGTCATCACCCGGATATAAGACAGTGTTGAATAGAAGACAAGGGGTGTCTATTATCCGGGTGTCTCTTATAAACGGGGTAGCCTCATTATAAGACACCTATTTGTGTGTACGAGTTAAGCCCGTGTAGGGGTTAGAGGCAATTGTATAACGAGGGGGTATCTTCTAAACGGTTCTTTGTCCATTTATAAGACTTATAAGACACCCTAAACCGTCCCAAATACAAGACAACCCAAGCATTTTTGCCCGTGTACGAGATAAGACATATATGTCTTATATCCGGGCGATGACGGTATCAACGGACTCCATTTCCCCTATCGACCCCATCCCAAGCCCCGACCCCGGCGCCCCTTCACGCTCCAAGGCCACCGCATTCGCCCGCCGAATCTCCTGCGAGAAGGTCGGCCCGCGGCGATTCTCCAGATCACTGTCAATCCGCACCACCAAGGGGTCCGGGTCCGGGCCGAGGAACTCCTCCTTCATGGCGATGAGGTCGGAGAGGCGTGGAGGGGCGGGTGGCGACGGGCGTGGCGGTGCAGGAGAGGGCGAAGCGGGCGAGCTTCAGAATGACGTCATTGGGAGCGTCTAGGCGCGGGTCCTTGATTGCCTGAGCGTTGTTTTCGGCGACTAAGGGTTGCACCTGGTGGAGGGGAAGGGAGGGAGGAAGGAAGGGACGGAGGGAGAGAGGGAGAGTGGGTAGGTGTGAACAGGGAGAAATACAAAAAGTATCCACGTCAGCACCGAGAAACTCCTCCTTCATGGCGATGAGGTCGGAGAGAATGCGCGCCATGGAGGGGCGGGTGGCGACGGGCATGGCGGTGCAGGAGAGGGCGAAGCGGGCGAGCTTCAGAATGACGTCATTGGGAGCATCCAGCCGCGGGTCCTTGATAGCCTGGGCGTTGTTTTCGGCAACCAGGGGTTGGACCTAGTGGGGGGGAGGGGCCGCGTGTACAGGTAGAGTGACGCAAGAAGCACAAGGAAAGGCATGGCATGGCATGAGCTTGAGGAGCGCGTCGCTGGGAGCGTCCAGACGCGGGTCCTTGATTGCCTGGGCGTCGTTTTCTGCGACTAAGGGTTGCACCTGGTTGGGGTGGAGAGGGTCGGATGTACAGGTGGAGAGATGCAAGACGCACAAAGGCATGGCATGGAATGTGTTTGTGTCGAAACTATAGGCAAGAATCAGAAACAGGAAAGAGAGGTTTTCACTAGCAGCAGTTGAGATACATATAGGAAACCCTAATTGGGTTGTACTCGCTATAGAGTACCCCACTGCAGGCTAGACAAACATCGACATTCTGACACACCCCCATAGTCAAAGTGGGGTATGATCAGCACAACAAGCAGCAGTTTATAGTTCACAAATATAAGCAAAGCTAGAGGCTATCACAGAGGGCAAGTGACGAGGAGGAGAAACTATGGAGGACGAGAAGATGAGAGGCGACGGCTGAAGCTGCAGACACACGGGCAACAGGAGTGCGCAGCACTGACGCTACCAGGCTAAACCCGGGCTACACGGCGACAGGCGCAGCTGGCTCACTGTGCTCCCATGAGTGCTCACACTGTGGCTACCGGGCGCAGAGCCCCGGACTACACGGCCACAGGGGGTCGTGGCTCTCTGGACTACCAGGAGTGTTCACACTGTGGCTACCGGGCGCAGAGCCCCGGACTACACGGCCACAGGGGGTCGTGGCTCTCTGGACTTCAGGCGCTGCGGACAACAAGTCGGCTACCTCCGGTCAACCTCCCCCAACTGTCCCACACCCCTTTCACACACCCCCTGCTGAACCACTAGCACCGCTCACACGCCACCCCCCTCGTACCACTCCAACGGCTCCAACACATCCACCCCCCTCGTACCACTCCAACGGCTCCAACACATCCACCCCCCTCAGCGGCAGCTGCAGCAGTGGGAGACGGAGGAGGAGGAGCAGGGGACGGCTCACACACACGGCACCCCCATACTCTCCACCCCCAAACCCTGACACAGGAGTGCGGTCAGAAGCTCGGGGGACGGCGTGCGGCACTGGGGCAGACGGTACGGGCCGCTCACGGGCCTGGCGCAGGCCGGACGAACCGCACGCGGGCTGCCCGAGCCGCGCGCGGGCCTGGCGCAGCCCGTACGGGCCGCGCGCGGGCCTGGCGCAGGCCGTACGGGCCGCGCGCGGGCTGTACGGGCCGCGCGCGGGCCTGGCGCAGCCCGTACGAGCCGCGCGCGGGCCTGGCGCAGGCCGTACGGGCCGCGCGCGGGCCTGGCGCAGGCCGTACGGGCCGCGCGCGGGCTGTACGGGCCGCGCGCGGGCCTGGCGCAGGTCACGCGGGCCGTTACGGGCGACGGGGGGCGACGCGCGGGTCCCCGGGGGCGCTGCGATGGGCGACGGGGGGCGACGCGCGGGTCGACGGGGCAGAAAACCGCCGCGCGCCTCGGGGCGCACGGCGGGCAGAAAACCGCCGCGCGCCCCGAGCGCGCGGCGGGATGAAAAATACGCCGTGCACCCGAGCGCGCGGCAAGCAGAACACGTCGCGCGCCCGGGGCGCGCGATAGGCAGGACAGCAGCGGAAGCATTAGGTGGCGGGCCCATCCACAGGATCGACCCAGGAGGGTCGACCTGCTCTGATAGCATGTCGAAACTATAGGCAAGAATCAGAAACAGGAAAGAGATGTTTTCACTAGCAGCAGTTGAGATACATATAGGAAACCCTAATTGGGTTGTACTCGCTATAGAGTACCCCACTGCAGGCTAGACAAACATCGACATTCTGACAGTTTGAGCACCCTTGTCGCTGGGAGTGTCTAGACGCGGGTCCTTGATGGCCTGCGGGGCGTTGTTTTCCGTGACTAGGGGTTGGATCTGGAGAAGGGAATGAAGATGTGGAGAGACATAAGGGGCTTGATTGCTTCTGAGCCAACTCAAAGATTTCATACGTACAGTGGTTAGCAGGTAGGGTGGGTGTGGCTAGCAGGTAGGGTGGGTGTGGCTAGCAGGTAGGGTGGGTGTGGCTAGCAGGTAGGGTGGGTGTGGCTAGCAGGTAGGGTGGGTGTGGCTAGCAGGTAGGGTGGGTGTGGCTAGCAGGTAGGGTGGGTGTGGCTAGCAGGTAGGGTGGGTGTGGCTAGCAGGTAGGGTGGGTGTGGCTAGCAGGTAGGGTGGGTGTGGCTAGCAGGTAGGGTGGGTGTGGCTAGCAGGTAGGGTGGGTGTGGCTAGCAGGTAGGGTGGGTTTGGCTAGCAGGTAGGGTGGGTGTGGCTAGTAGGTAGGGTGGGTGTGGCTAGCAGGTAGGGTGGGTGTGGCTAGCAGGTAGGGTGGGTGTGGAAGGCTTACAGGATGATAAGTGCCTTGAGATTGCCGAGCTCCACAGGGATGCGGCCAGACAGGGCGTATTGGCCGAGATTGCTGCATGGGAGGGGTTCAACAGGGTACGTCGCGGTGAGGGGGGGTGCGGTTAAGTCGACTAAAAAATCCAGACAGGGCGTTTTGGCCGAGATTTCTGCATGGGAGTGGCGTGTAGGAGGGTACGCGGTGGTGAGAGAGTGGGAGACGAGTAGGAACAAATGGGTGTGTAGCGAAGCAGGGAGACGGTGTGCAGTGGAGCGTGGAGCAGGGATGGCGTGGGGAGTGAGGTGGCGACTCACAGAGCTTCGAGGTTTGAGAGGAGGCCCAGGGAAGCAGGGATGGCGCCTGTGAGGTTGTTGCCGTGTAGGTACCTGCAAGCAACCATGCATGCACGGATGATGAGGTGCAGTGGTGAGAGGTGAGTGGCAACATGGATGATGTATGCATTGGTGGGACGATGGATACACGGTTGGGAGGAAGCATACGTACAGCTCATGCCACCCCATGCCACGCCACCATACCTCACCCCATGCCACGCCACCATACCTCACCCCATGCCACGCCACCATACCTCACCCCATGCCACGCCACCATACCTCACCCCATGCCACGCCACCATACCTCACCCCATGCCACGCCACCATACCTCACCCCATGCCACGCCACCATACCTCACCCCATGCCACGCCACCATACCTCACCCCATGCCGCCCCATGCCACACCATGCCACCTCATGCCACCCCATGCCAACCCATGCCACCCACAGCTCTCTCAGCAGCTTCATCGGGCAGGGGGCCATGCAGGTGGTTGTCGTGTAGTGAGCTGGACGCACACGCACAGCGAGATTGGGGGGGGGGGGGGGGGGGGGGGGGGGAAGGAGGTGGGGGAGAGGGTTAATCGAGTTTTGAGACGTCTCAAAACTGGTTGTCGTGTAGCTAACTGGGCGCACACGCACAGCGGGAGGGGAAGGGTACGGCAAATTAAGAGGGGGGGAGAAAAGGGGGAGGGGGAGGAGGAGGAGGAGGAGAGAGAAGGGGGGTTGGGGATGGGGAGAGAGAGTACGTAACAAGTAAAGCCACGTTTTTTGTTTAACCGTGATCCCAGAGGAGGCAGTTATGGGGAAAGGGGGTGGCCGGGAAGCTGGTTATTGCGGCCTTACAGTGTAAGGAGGCTGGCAAAAGCGGAGATTGCTTTTGGGATGACTCCTGTGAGGTTACGACTGGCTAGGTTGCTGCAGGGGGGACACGGGAGGCAGGGAAGGCGATAGAGATGGGTGAACGAGAGAGCGTGGGGGAGCAGAAGAGAGTGACGGGCAGTAAAGAGTGAGAGAAGGAGGTGGAAGAACATAGAAGTAGACATGACTCGGTACTCACATGCGCGTCACCATTCCCTGAGCGTCGCACGAGAGGCCATTACTCACATGTTAGTCACGTGCCCCTCACATGCTCCTACCATGCTCGCACCCTCAGCACTCACATGCGCGTCACCATGCCCCGCGCGTCGCACGTGATGCCAGCCCGCAGGTCGCACTGCTCAAACGGAGGTAGCCGCCATGCCTTGCTCAGCGCCTGTAGCGGCCGCACTGGGGATGAGATGCGAGTGCGGCGGGGGAGAGGAAGGAGGGGGATGGGGAGAGAACGAGCTCAGTGAAAAGCGGAGCAAACGGAGGTTGCCGCCACTCCTTGCTCAGCGCCTGTAGCGGCCGCACTGGGGATGAGATGCGAGTGGGGTGGGGGAGAGGAAGGAGGGGGATGGGGAGAGAACGAGCTCAGTGAAAAGCGGAGCAAACGGAGGTTGCCGCCACTCCTTGCTCAGCGCCTGTAGTGGCCGCACTGAGGAAGGGAAGGGAGGAGAGGGGAGGAAGGGAGAGGTCAGCTTTGAGTCACTGTAAAATGCGGAGACGCCTAAAGGAGGAACCGCTTGAGAGGAAACGCCTTGAGACCGCTTCAGCGGTTGCACTGTCCCTGGTGTCACACGTACAATCGCCTGGCTGATTTCTAAACTTCTTAAAAACTTGCCCAGAACGCAGAAAGTGATAACTCAAATCCCCCGCATAGGAATAATACTTGAACGTATGCGCATACGTTGCGATTCGTGAAGTTTCGTCGAAGCAGAACTTGCTGAAGCCACGGAGGTGACGAAAAGGGAGGAGCACAGGATAAGAATCGCGATGCGGAAAGCTCGCGCAGAACTCGATATTCGCGTGGAGCTCAAAGCTCGCGCGGAACTCGATACTCGCGTCAACCGCGCCATCCTCCCGTAAAAAACGGTGGTGTATATTACCGTAAATTCCAGAATTTTATATACTTCAGATGCACTACCAGAACTTTAGATGCAAGTTGCTCTTTCGGCGGAAAAAAATAACGGCCGAACTTAAAAACTCCTTCTGTGTAAGATTTTACTCAATTGCCTGACTGTTGATATCGGAACTTGTTGGAATAACCGAAAGGTTATCATTAGCATTCCCGAAGGCTCTCCACTATCGCGTCTCTCCATAGCGAAGCAGACGCCTGTACCAGTACCGCATGAGCTCATATAGAGCACGCGGAAGATCGAGGGTCACCCGAAGGTCAAGAGTCGAAGACAGTCAACGGTCGTGACCCTTGACTACCCAGTAACCGCACAAAGGCAGTTACGAAATGCAACATGGTAACTGTCTAGAATAGCAATAGTCGTGGGTTACTGTAGCAATGCAATTCAGTTAATAAGGGAATGTACCCCTCAGAGTACATGGCTAGCTAGGCTTGCTATTTATACGCTTGTACTCCTATCTTATAATCATCTTGTTCTCTTTCAAATTATTAACAAGGTCATTACTGAGACTTCACAAGTTCTCTCCTACACTTAGCAGCTTTATTCTACCCACTACGATTCTTCGGTTATAACATCATGGTATGAGAGCTAGAGTGGATTATAAGGTCTGCTAAGTTCTTGTTCTTGCCAGAACAAACTCCTTATAAATTATTCCTTACATCATTAAGGACTCTGCATCACTATGGCTCCAGAAGGAAAAGCCACTGCAGACTCTCCGGGCCCACCAACAGCAACATCACCCACTGCACCATCTGCGGTGACCTCCGTCAGCGCCGCTCTCGTTGAGCAGCTGGTCGCTCGCATCAATGCTCTTGAAAGCCATCAAGCCATGAGCATCGATGGCTCAAGCTTCGCACGTGGGGTTGCTGGACTTCCTCTCCCAGGAGAAGACCGTCGCGTCAACTCTGAGAGATCATTCACGTTTGACAACCGTCAAGCTTCAGCTCCTGCACAAGACAGTCAACAGCGTGCACACGCAGACACGATTGCAACAATACATACAAAATTTGTCCTGACATCAAAGCTGAAGACATCGGTTCCTTTTGACGAAAAGGACTTCTACACTTGGAGCTTCGAGTTTGAACTACTCGCTACAAACGCGCAAATCCGGATGTACTACGACGGGAGCTTACCGTTTCCAACGGAAGGCACCATCCAAGAGAAGAATCAATACTACCACGAATCTCTTCTCGCGTACACCACTCTGCTCCGAAATCTCTCCCCCGCCGAACAGCTTGGCATTCGCTCCTACAAATCAGAGTGGGCACCCGCGTATGCCTCCTGGGAGCACCTGCGCAACTCATACATGGCAACAGATCCAGTTACAATGAGTCGCCTTCTCAGCCAGCTCACATCGGTTAAAATGCATCAAGGGGAGAAAGCGGGACCGTATATCAATCGGTGCCGCAATCTGCGCGACCACATCAAGAAGTGCGGTGGCTCCGTTCCCGACGACATGTTCGTCTCAATGGTTCTTTCAGGTCTTGGTCCTGACTGGCGCCAATGCCAATCCCTGCTCCGCGCTCGAGCAACTGTTTCCGAATCAGCTCTGTGTGCTACGCTCCTCTCCGAACAAAAGGAGATCGACCTATACAACGAGAAGAACACAAAGCGGGAAAAGTTAGTCTTTTACGTCGGATCATCTGAAGGGGAACAGCACGGAAAGAAAGGGACTTTCTGCAAATACTGCAAGAAGCCCGGTCACACCATCGACCGGTGCTACAAGAGAAAGGCCGCCGACGAAAGGCGCAACAACTCCTCCAACCATCAGTCACCCGCTCCCTCGACCTCCGCCACAACAACCACCGTCTCGCCTCCCTCCGTCGCAAGCACCTCGCAAACACCTGCACGCATTACGACCAAGGACAAAGGCAAGGGGACAATCATGAGCTGCATGGCTCGCCGCAACAGAGGCTTCCGATACTACGATCGAGTAACATTCCCGATTGATGATCCGATCAACCATGTTGCGCCCAGTCCGAACAACGACCCCACTGCCCCTACCTGGACTACCTCACCACAGAGGCACCCACCTGACTTCGAGCTGCCACCGCCAACACCGGAATCGCCTCCCAGCATTTCGGCGAATCGATACTTCGCTCTCTCGCCATACACCGGCGAAATGGATCGCGTGGTCACGCCGAAAATCGCCAACATCGCGAGGCAAAGCCGCGAGAACATCAACACCTGGTACCTGGACAGTTGCTGCGGACAGCACATGGTGGGGTCGCCAACATTCATCACCAACTCCAAACGCATGCGACGACCCTGCGAGATCACAGTGGCAAACGACGGCACACTCAAAGCATACGACATCGATGAGATCTTCCTTGAAGCTGACGACACTCACTTCACGATTCACATCGGCGACGTGCTCGTCGCTCCAGATCTACGATACAACTTGCTTTCCTCAGCCCAGCTTATGCGGTGCAGAGTCGACATTCGAAGCAATCGCAAGGACAAGACCTTCGAACTTTTCTACGGCAACACTTACATTGGCAAAGCCGTGGATAACGACGAGGTCTTCGTGCTGCAGTTCTCAGCTCAAGGCACCTCAGGAGACTCTCACCGCACCTTACTGTTGAAGACAACCACTGCAGAAGCCCCGACCTGGTCGCATCCCACAGAGATGGATCTCGAACGACCCGCCTCGGACGGCCTCCTGCGACTACGCACCGTCTCAACCGCCTCGACCTCCAACCCAGCCGAAACCGGACCTGCATCAATGGAAGAAGACAGCGGAACGTCAGCATCTGCGGAACCATCCGCCAAAGGAAAAGAAAAGGTCGGAACCGAGTCAGTTAGTCCTGGCCCTGCACTCGGTCCCTTGGGAGAAGTCTTAACACCAGAGGAAGCGGCTGTAGGAGACCGCGGCACCATCTCGGCAACAGTAGCAAGCGGTGCCGCCAAAGGTGGCTGGAGCGCAGAAGGCGGCTGGGGCGAAGGAGCTGGCTGGGGCCCCGACGACAACCCCGGTGGCTGGGGCACCTCCGCTGGCGGAAGCGGATGGGGCACCTCTGGAGGCCAATCGGAATTGAGGCAGGCAGCCCCTCCATATCCCGAAGCTCCGGGACTCCCTTCAGCCGAAACCGCGGAGCTCGATCCCTACAGGGCGACACGTGGCACCAGCTGGGGCGGTCCTCCTCTTCCGGACCAGTACGCCCCTGACACACCAGAACCGATGGAAGAAGAGTCAGAGGAGCAGGAAACAACTTTCGAGTTCTTCGGCGAACCAGCAGAGCTGCCAGCACCTACCGAGGAACCGCAGCCACCAGAACAAGGACCACAAGAAATTGAGGTCATCGGAGCCGAGTTCAGCTACTACCGCATCCCCATGAAGGGACTCCCAGTCCGAGACTGGCCTGATCGATGCCTGCTCGTCACTGGAGACCAGGTCGACGCCGGCGACACCGACGACATCATCGGCATTCCACACGCGCTTCTGGAACAAAAAGCAATCCGCGCGTTCGCCGCCGACGCCGACAACGCCGCCGATGCCAGACCTGAAGGGGAGGCAAACGACGAAGCAGCACGACAAAAGTATTATAAGAAAACAGTCGGCTACCGGGCGGAACCAGAAATCTGGCATCAGCGGCTAGGGCATCCCTCTCACACAACACTCAAGAACTCACTGAAGGCTGGCGTCCTCGACAACGAAGCGCTACTCCTTCCACGCGGAGGATTCCTCACTGCAGACTCAGACGACCCGACCTGCACAGTGTGCCCTACAGCATCGCTCGCTCACAAACCCTTCCCCGACTTACCGCCTGGACATGAACGCTACAAACCACTCGATAAGTTCTACAGCGACTTCATGTGCCTGACGCAGGGAGGACTTGACGGCGAATACTACACACTGACCTTCATCGACGCGAGCACTCGCTACGTCTGGGCTGTCAACACCGACTGCAGGTCGCTCGCCTTCGAATGCTTCATCGCGTGGATGAAGCGAGCTGAACGACAATCGGGACTTGAACTGAAGAGCTGGCAAACGGACGGAGCTCTGGAGTTCTTCTCAGACGAGTTCAAGGAGCTCTTCCGGAAAAAAGGGATTGAACACCTGGTGTCCCTGCCTTACGCTCACGAGCAACAAGGAGTAGCAGAACGGACAAACAGGAGCCTCGCCACCAGGATGAGGGCCCTGATGAAGCAGTCGGCCATCCCAACTCGTTACTGGCCATTCGCCATGAACCATGCAGTCCGGCTGCACAACTTGCTGTCATCCCGAAGCCTCGAGAACAACAACTCCCCCTACAGGGCGTGGACGGGCAGAAAGGCAGACACGCGTCTGCTTCGGGTGTTTGACTGCATGGTACAGTACAGACCACATACAGCAAGGACTGGAAAGTTTGCTGACCGGGCTCGCTGGGGCATCCACCTCGGAATCGAAAAGGAATTCAAGGCGTGGATCGTGCTGGACTACGCGACACACGAAGTGACAAAATCACGTGACTGCATCTTCTATGAGAAACTGACCCTGCCACTGTTCAACGAACACCGCGAAGCTGACAGGGCACCGGAAAGGGTTTTCGAGGGACACCGCAGCTTCGCCACTCCACATGACGAAGCTGGCCTGGCGGAAGATGCGGACGCGACAAATGTCTCCCAATTTGACAGCGCACCCAACATCCCCCTTACAAGCCCCTTCCAGACTCCAACCTTCATCCCTCTACACCAACCTGATCCTGATGATACGACTCGCGAAGCCCATAACTCGGCACCAGATGCCGAGTTACCACCACGAAACACCTCGCGGGACTCAATCCGCC